ACTCCAAGCTCTGTGTCATGAAGCGTAGCGGGAAGCCTGGCGAGTCTAGCGAGCAGCGAGCTGCATCGGATCTCTCCTCGCACCGCTCGCTCGCGACGACAGAAGACACTTCGCAAAGCAATACTTTTGCACGCCCTGGCACCGCATTTTCGTGCTCTACAGCCGTCTCTAGCCCGTGCGAGAGCGCGTCTACTTGGACTCGTGGTTGAGGATGTTCTTCGAGAGGATCTTGCCTGCGAGTCGGCTCGAGTCAGCCGTAACGACGGGAAAGGGCTGTAGGAGAGCTGCGCACCGCTCTTGTCGAGCTTGTAGACGATGGGAACGCCGGTCGCAAGCTCAGTGTTGACGATCTCCTCTCCCGAAAGGCCCTCGAGGTGCTTGATGATGGAGCGCAACGAGTTTCCGTGCGCGGCGATGAGGACCTTCTCGCCCTTCTCGACGCGGGGAGCAATCTCCTTCTCGTAGTAGGGGAGGACGCGCTTGAGCGTCAACTCGAGCGACTCGCCGCCCGGGGGAGGGACGTCGTACGAGCGGCGCCAGATGTGGACCTGCTCCTCACCCCACTTCTTGCGGGCTGTGCCACAAATGCGCGAGGGCGAAGCGAGTCAGTTGTCAACTCGACGAAAACCGAACATCGCACAGCAAGCGCGAACGCACCATCGTCCTTGTTGAGGCCCGTCAGCTCTCCATAATCGCGCTCATTCAGCGCCTGGTCCTTGTGCGTCTCGAGACCCTCCTGACCGATCTCCTTGAGGATGATAGCGAGGGTGTCGTTGGCGCGCTGGAGGACCGACGTGAACGCGACGTCAAAGTGGGTGTAGCCGGCGGCCTTGAGGTTCTTGCCGCCCTCGAGGGCTTCGGCGCGGCCCTTCTCTGTCAGGGCTGGGTTCTTCCAGCTGCAGGAAAGCATCCGTCAGCCCAAGAAACCTTCCACAGCGTGCGGGACGAACGCACCCAGTGAAGAGGTTGAGCTGCCCACGCAAACCGGGGATGAGCGAGCAGGTCAGCTTCCCGTACAGCCGGCTCAAAGTACGCCTCCCAACGCACCTTGTTCCACTCAGACTCGCCTGCAAAGCGAAAACGAGCGAAAGGGTCAGCTTCTCATCGCCCGGAGTTGGCCGGGAGATGACGGGCGGCGAGGGACGCACCGTGCCTGCGTGAGGGGAGGTGCCAAGGTAGCGAGGTTAGCTGTGAGCCTGGTCAGCATGTCGCAAGGGACGCACCTGACGAGGACGAGCTGTGTGCGCGACGGGAGCGAGCGAGTAGATCAGTACGAGGATGCGAGACGACCGCTGCGGCGCTGGACGGGCGAGCTGTAGGAGCGGCAAGGGCGCAAACGCACGAGAGAGCCTTCGTTTGCAGCCATTGGTATCGAGGTGGTAGACGCGTGGTGTGAAGAGGAGAAGCAGCATCGATAGCGGTGGTCGATGAGGCGATATCTCGTGCGATTGTAAGCAAGTGTAGACGAAGCGAGATGCAATGCAACAGAGCTAGAGAGACGTGCGATGACCGGATACAACAGATGCGAGCGAGAGAACCGAAACTTCCTCCTCCTCCTCATGAAGGCTCCTCCTCCTCCTCTTCAGCCGCGGCCGACTTCGTTCCTCCCCACCACTCCCGCGGTCACCTCGAGCCGCAAACCGCAACTTCCTCTTCCCGCCGCGGGACTCCTCCTCATCCCAGGTCGCGCTCAACCCGCCGGCGTCGCCCTCAACTTCCTATCCCTATTCCTCACGCTGAACATGAAGTTCGTGAGCGTCTCCCCCTCTTTCAGACTATCCCTCTTGTCCCAATGCGCCGTCGCCTTGGCCGCAAGCCGATCAATCAACTTCTGCGGATCATCGAACGCGCTGAGGCCGGCGAACTCGGGCGTCTTGGGCTCGATCCAGGGTCGCTTGGTCCCTCGCGCTGCGGGTGTCGAGTCTGCGGCGCTGGAGGAGGGGTCGGTCCCGTCGGTCGTTGTCCCAGTCTCCGGCACCGCTCCTCCCTCGCCCCCCGCGGCAGCCGCAACAGCCGCTGCGATCTTGGCGTTCATGACAGCCGGTATATACGTCTGTTTCGCCCTTCGGAAGTTGAGCGTGCGGCCGTCGAGCGGGGGGTAGAGGGTCGCTGGGAGCGGAGGGACGGGGAAGACGGCGTGGTAGTAGGAGAGCGAGCCTTGAGGTTCGAGGAGGCCGTCTGTCGCGCGGAGGCGTTAGTGAGAAGAAAGAAGAGGACGGGAGGGGGACGCACAGCGGCTTAGGTAGCGCTGCAAGGCTTCGGGCGGGAGGGAGGCGAGCGAGATCTGGGTGTATGCGGCGGCGGGTCAGCTCCCTCTCTCCCTGGCCACTCCTGCTGCCCCAGAGCGTGCGCACAAACTCACAATGGGCTGCCGAGGCTGCTGCATGTTCTCCTGCTGCTGGAGCTGCTGCAACTGCGCGTTCTGGCTCGCCGCGAGCTGTGCCTTCGCCTGCAAGCGCTTTGTCGTAGGTGCTGTGCCGGGGAAGAAGTCCGGGTCTGCATTAACCCGTCGTCGCTTTGTCGTCGACGGTCCGGCTGACGTCCCGGCTGAGTCGTAGCCTGCGGTGCTCATCGAGAGAGAGGGTGGAGTGAGGAGGTCGTGTGGGCGAGCGGGAGGACTTGGGGCGGCCGCGCGAGTGCACAGCGGTGTCGAGTGTGCTCTTGAGAGTCTTCTAGCGGATCCACACGATCTCTGGTGGTGTGCGAGCTGGATGACGCCGGACGAGCACCCGCGCCCGCTCCGCTCGCTCCGGCCACTCACCTCACACCCACTTACTCGCTCTGCTGAGATGCTTTGGGCCCGAAGCTGAAGCTGAGTCTGGACGGTCTATGGAGCGACTGGCGTTGTCGACGCTCGCCCGGACGCCGCTCACCCGCTTGTCTCGACCACCTCGCCCGCTCATCAATCGGGCGCTCAAGTTGCTTGTAACGGGCTGTGAGGACGTGCAAGACGGCTGTGATGACAGCTCGGGCATGTGTGGCGGCAGGAAGGCGAGCGGAATAGTCATATGCGGCTGGCTTGTCAGAGGCTTCGTTACCCTCGCTCATTCCGCTAATGCGCCCTCCGCCGCAGCCTACGCCGCCTGTCCTGCAGTGACCTGTCGCTCTTCGCACCAGCTACAAAGTCTGCTGGACTTCCTGGCCGTTTCTCCTGGGAATGCTGTACAATGCAGGGCGAATGGCGGGATGCGAACGAGGTCGAGCGGGGAATTGGCGCAGCGGCTCGCTCTCTCGCGCCTCACAGACTCTGGCTGGAGTCCTGCCTGGACGCATGAATGCTTCGAGGAGTAGCCTAGCCTTCCAGTAAGACTGAGGGCGCGAGGGTGAGGCTCTGAGTGTGGACCTCCCTTTCTCCATTCCCTCGTCACCTCTCTCGCTCGTCACACCGCCAGAATGGGTCTTTCAATCTCGAAGCTCTGCAAGTCTATTTCCTGAGCGTCGTGGGCCTCATCCTAGCCCGCCCGGAGGCCGGACGGACGAGACTGGCGCCGTCGACGCCAGAAGTGTTGGCGCACCGTCACCCGTCGCGCGCACGCCTTGGGAAGGGCCGTCCACGATTAGATCAGTGAACTCCCACATGTACGCCTGAACCACCTACACTGTTTGTCGACGGTCCGGGCGAAGGGAACGAGGAAGGGAGAGGAGGGTTTGAGAGAGACCTCGCAATGGACGGCCGCCCGCTGCATCGGCGGAGCGGGCATTCTCCGTCGTTGCGAGCACAAGCCCGGCGTGCGCATGTTGACTTTTCGAAGCAAGCAAGCGTTTGCGAGTGACAGGGGGAGCTCGAGTTGGCCGGCCTCAGGCCTCAGGGACTTCGCCGAGAGCGACACCGCCTTCGCCGTCTCACGCTCGTCTCACTCGCTCCCTACGGGCTTGCACTGCTGCAGAGAACGACTCAGTACGATGGCACTTCCAGCGCTCGGACCGGCCGCAACAGCGTTCGCAGGCGCCAGCTCGTTCATGTACCTCGACGCCCTCTGGCGCATGGGCGAGGACTACAAGCTCGCCCGGGGGATCGTCAAGGCCCGCGTTGCGCTCGCTCTCAACAACAGGAGGGACAGGAACTCGATCTACTACGTCTTTGATGATGCACACAGGAAGAGGGGAGATGCCGACTGTTACGTCTGCGACGGGGTCACGTACAGCTGGAATCAGGTCGCGCTCGGTGAGTTGGCGCTCGTCCATACTCTCGTATATTCATGGGACAGCCTTTGGCGTCACCGCCAGCTTCCCCCGAGCTGACCTTGCCGACTTCCTCCTCCTCTCCCCACTTCACCGGTCCGCTCTCTCGCGACTCTCGCAGAGGTCAACCGCCTCGCGCACTGGTTCCTCTCGCAAGGCATCAAGCGAGGCGAGACCATCGCCCTGTACATGCCCAACAAGCCGGCGTACCCGATCGTCTGGCTCGCTTGTCTCGCTGTTGACATGTGCGTTCGAAGACTTCCTTTCTGCTCCTCCGCTTCCGCGAGCGCGATGAGGTGCTCATGGTATAACTTTGGCGCACAGCGTTCCCGCCTTCATCAACTATAACCTGACCGGCCAAGGTCTCGCACACTGCATCAACGTTGCCGGGCCCCGTCTCGTCCTCTACGACTCGGACTACGCCTCCCCAATCGCCGAAATCTCCTCCTCGCTCTCCGAGAAGAACCCAGGAATCAAGTTCGTCCGGTGGTGCGACCGCTTCAACACGGGCGTCGGCGAAAAGGCCCAGGGAGGAGTCGAGGGAGAAGTCAGGCTTGACGAGGCTGTGTTGAGGCAGATGAGCGAGAAGAGGATCCCGGATGAGAGGAGGGCTGGAGTCACGTGGCAGAGCCCGTGCTGCTTGATTTACACGTCGGGGTGAGTCTCGCCGGGGTTTAGGCTGAAGAATGAGGGACGAAGGAGGACTTGAGCTCTTCCTCGGGCCCTCTCGTTGCTTTGGCGTGAACCTGGACTGACAACTCCTGGATGCAGAACCACCGGTCTGCCGAAGGCCGCCCTCACGCTTCACGGACGCTGCTCAACCGCTTTCAAGGTGCGTCCACTCACCGACCTCCTCCTCGCGCAGATGCTCACGCTTTCTCTTGCAGGTCTGGACCAGCTTGAACGAGTTCGACAAGAAGACGCGCATCTACACTCCCATGCCTCTCGTGCGTCCCCTCACCCCTCTCTTCCTCTAACCTTCGCAACTCACCTCCTCGTCCACACGCAGTATCACTCGACCGCCGCCCTTCTCGCCGTGGGAGTCGCCTGGAACGCAGGTGCGACAGTCGTCATCGGACGGAAGTTCTCGGCTTCGTCATTCTGGAAGGATGTGAGGGAGAGTAGGGCGAATGTGATTCAGTATGTCGGGGAGGGTGAGTAGTCGCTTTCGCTCACTCGGTGCACGTGTCTCAAGAGCTTAGCAATACTGATTGAGCCGCGCGACGATCGTACAGTCCTGCGGTACCTCCTCTCGGTCCCTCCCAGCATCGCCGACAAGGACCACGAAGTCCGCCTCGCGTACGGAAACGGTTGCCGACCTGGTGCGTTCTCTCACAAGTTCACTCGTTGCTCCAACTGACGCCCGCCGGGATCATCTCGCAGACGTACGCTTGCACAACAGCATTCTCCGCCGCTACTCGCAGTCTAACGCTTCTCGTCGCGCAGGTCTGGGAGAAGTTCCGCGAGCGCTTCGGCGTGCAAGTCATCTCTGAGTTCTTCGCATCGTCCGAAGGTATATCCTCCCTCTTCCTCTCCCCTTCTTCGCTGACCCATCTGGTGCGCAGGCAACGGCTCGCTCTTCAACCACAACGGGAACAAGTTTGGCGCAGGCGCCGTCGGCAAGGAAGGGATGATCGTCGGGACTTTCCAGCGCAACAAGCAGGTTTTGTTGAGGGTTGATCCGTTGACGGAGGAGCCGGCGAGGGGGAAGGATGGGTTGTGCATTCGCGTGGGTCCTGCGCTTGTCCTCTTGCAAAGTGTGGTGTGCTGATGATGGTCGTGCACAGGCGGCGGTCAACGAGCCGGGCGAGCTGGTCATCCAGATCGACAACACCTCGCCTTACCAGGTCCGTCTCTCCCCTCTTCCCACATCCAGCGAGCCGGCGCTGACACAGCCCCTCCCAGGCCTTCGCGGGCTATCACAACAACCCGGAAGCGACGAACAAGAAGATCATGCGCGACGTCCTCTCGAAAGGCGACACCTACTTCCGCACCGGCGACCTCTTGCGCCGCGACGCCGACGGTCACTGGTACTTCGCCGACCGCCTCGGCGACACGTTCAGGTGGAAGAGCGAGAACGTGTCGACTTCGGATGTCGCGGCGGCACTGGGCGAGGTCGTCAAGGAGGCGAACGTGTATGGCGTTCTCGGTGCGTCTCGCTTCCTCTCACCTTTCACAAGCACACAGCTGACCAGTGTGCACGCGCAGTTCCGAGCCAGGACGGGCGTGCGGGATGCGCTGCGATCCCCAAGTCGGCTGGACCGGTTGACTTTGTCATGCTCAGCAAGCACGTCTCGAAGACGCTGCCCAAGTACGCGCAGCCGCTCTTCATCCGTCTCGTCGATGCGTGCGTCCCTCTCCCTCCTCCTCCTCTCCTCTCCTTTTCGAAGACTGGACTGATGTGGAGATGGGAACAGCCTCGAATCCACCGGCACAGGCAAGCAACTCAAAGTCACCCTTCGCAACGAGGGAGTCGACCCCGACGTCGTGCGCGACCCGGTCTTCTGGTTGCACCCGGACAAGAAGGCGTACGTGCCGTTCACGAAGGAGGACTGGGGGCTTCTCAAGGCGGGCAAGGTGCGCCTCTGAGCGACGAGCGACGGAGGGGAGGCGAGAAAAGGATTCTGTTGTGATTGCTTCGAGCATTCTGTAGCTCTTTTCCTTTCGTCATGTTTGTTAATGTCTGATGTACCCCTGTTCCATCGATCCGGGACAGCTACAACAGGAGAATGAGAGACGAGAGGGATACGAATGAGCAGAGATGAGCGGTAAGCGCGGACGAGTGCGGCATCGGTCGTGGCGTCGCTCAGATGTGCTCGTACCGGTGCTTGAGGGTACGTCGCCGCAGGTGTCGGGCGTGAAGTCGCGAGACGGCCGTCGAGAGCACCGAAACCTGCGTGGCGAGCTTCGAAATCCGCTCCGCGACATCCGCTTCGGGCGAGTTTTCCGCTCGGGCAGACACAGCGCTTTTGTCGAGAGCCTGGTCGACCGTGCCGCAAACGATCGCTTGTAGCTTGTCCTCGAGGGAACTGAGGCGGCTCGTTTCGTCGACTTGGCCGTTGCGCAGTTCCTCCAGTTTCAGGGCGATGGTTTGCACCTGCAAGAGGCTGCGCTGGAGTTGGTGGAGGTGGGCATGTGTGTCGGAGAAAGCGTGCGACGACCCCTGAGCGTTGAATTGGGAGGGAGCGAGCGGGAGAGAAACGGGTGAAGCGTGCGAGGACATGGCCCACGGGCGAGAGGTGCGAGTTGGCGAGAGTGAGCGATTGAAAAGAGCAAATCAGAAGCAGCTGGGGCGGAAGGAGGTTCAGCCAGGCGTGACTTGACTGCCTTGAAGAGGCGGACAAGACTGCCACGAGGCGAGACTGCGAGGGCAGGCGTGACTTGGGCGGTCTCGTCAGGAGCGCAGAGCCTTCGTTCTCGGAGCCACGCCAGCCGCACCCAGCAGAACAGCCCTCTGAGCCAGCAGTCCTTGCGAGGTCGTCGGTGTAAGGTCGAGGAAGAGAGGGTATCGCAACCGCATGTGCGGCCAGCGCGGCGACACTCTGAGCACAGAGAACAGTCCTAGCTATCACTCTGAGTCTTTAGCAAGGCGCACGACGAGGACGAGGTGACTGGTCGCTGGCGAACCTGCTCGTCATCTTCGACCACACCCTCGCTCAGGCTTTCCCTTGCTGCTGAGTCCTGTGCTGCAGTCTGTGGCTTGCTGAGAACCCGCTACGATGGCTCTGCCTGCGCCGCTCATCTTTGGTGCGTCCAGCGCTTCTCGGGCCCCACTCGCCTCCTTCGCTCGCTGACCTCGACACACACGGCCACCACGCGCTCGCAGTGCCAAAGAAGGTCACGCAGGATGTCGACTTTGCACCTTCCCTCCGATCCATCATCGCCAAGCAGTACGCCGAGTCGCCAGACAGCTACAGCGACGAACTCGGCGCACTCAACCGAGCGAGGCAGGATGCGCTCAGGGGCTCTGCCGGATCGGATACGACGGCGAGGGATCTCTTGTATAAGTACTTTGGCCAGCTCGAGCTGCTCGAGCTGCGGTTCCCCGACTTGAGGGTTCCGTTCCCCTGGTGCGTCCGACGTTCGCAGCATCCGCACAACAAGCGTTGACACGGTTCCGAGCGCAGGAACGACGCTTTCACGCAAGTCAAGATCTCGCAGCAGTCGCTCGCCTACGAGAAGGCCTCCGTCATCTTCAACATCGGCGCGACCCTCTCTTCCCTCGCGGCCTCTTCTCCCCGATCCGCTCCAGAAGGCCTCAAGCGCGCTTTCCACTCCTTCCGGTCGGCAGCGGGCATGTTCGTCTACATCAACGAGAACTTCCTCCACGCCCCGTCGACGGACCTCAGCAAAGAGGTCGTCAAGCTTCTCGTTGGCTTGATGGTCGCGCAGGCGACAGAGGTCTTTATCGAGACGATGGGACCGGCGACGGGCAAGAGTTCGGGTCTGCGGAGCAAGCTGTGCATGCAGGTGTCGAGCGCCTATGCGGCGCTGGTCGAGGATGTCAAGGAGTGGGTCACGAAGGGCGTCTTCCTCCGCGAGTGGAGCCTGCTCATCCAGGTGCGCTGCCCTCGTCCTTCCTGTCTCTTTCCGAAGCTGACTATCGAGCGATTGCAGACTAAGGCGAAGTACTTTGCCTCGCTCGCCAACTACCACCGCTCTGTCGCCGACAACGCCGCCGGCAAGTACGGCGAAGCGCTCGCGCGGCTACAGATCTCCGAGTCGCTCGCGAAAGAGGCGAACCGCTTCGCCCAGTCCTTCCTCGGCACGTTCAACTCGGTCGCGGCCGCCTCGTCGCTCGCGGCAGACGCGCCGAACGCCATGTCTGAGCTCGCCAAGTCACACTTGAGCATGGTCTCGGAGGCGCGGACGAAAGCGCAGAAGGACAACGACATCGTCTACAACGAGGTCGTCCCGTCCGAAGCGTCGCTCGCACCTATCGATAAGGGCAAGCCCGTCGCCGAGCCGATCCCGATCCACGACGTCTACGCCACGCCCGAGGTGCAGAAGATCGTCGGACCCGACCTCTTCCAGCGCCTCATCCCGCTAAGCGTGCACGAGAGCGCCTCGCTCTACTCGGAGGAGAAGGCCAAGCTCGTCCGCGCAGAGTCGGAGCGCGTTGAACTTGCAGACGAGGAACTCGCCTCGGCACTCGAGTACATGGGATTGCCAGCGAGTCTCGCGCGCTTCCAAGCTGGCGCTGCAGCTCAAGCTTCTCTCGCCGATCCAGGCCCGCAAGTGCGCGGATGGGCCGACGAAGTCCGCCATGGCGAGTCGAGCGGGCGCGTCGACGACCTCTTCCGCCGTCGCGACTCGCTTCGGGACCGAGCTGCCCAGCACCTCGACAAACTCGCCCGCGACCTCGACGAAGAGTCGCGTCAGTGCGAAACGATGCGCGCCAAGTACGGGCACCTGTGGGAGCAGCAGCCTTCGTCGAGCGGGACGAGGTCGTTTAGGCAGGACATTCGGTCGCATCGCGAGTCGCTTGAGCAGGCTGCGGCATCGGATGCGCAGGCGCAAGGCTTGTGGGAGGGGATCAGGGGCGACGTTGCCCTTCTTGCCGACTCGGATGCGCTCGAGAGGGCTTTCGTTGAGGCAGTTGCGTCAGGCGGCGCAAACGAGGCGAGTCTGCTCGACACAGACCTAGGCGATGACGACGAGGCCGAGACGACGAAGCGTGTTGAGGTCGTCTCCGAGGCTCTGTCGAGGCTCAACAAGATCAAGAAGGAGCGTGCGGAGGTGCTGCGTGACTTGAAGGAGAAGGTGCGTCCGCTTTCTGCCAAGTCTCCCAAGCGATCGCTGACATCTGCGCCTCCCCGCAGGTCCAAAGCGACGACATCTCGCATATCCTGCTCCTCAACCGCAAGGGCACCGCCGACGTCCAGCCGAACCTCTTTGCTACCGAGCTCGAGAAGTTCCGCCCGCATCAGCAGCGCCTCACGCAGACCTTGCAGGCGCAGCAGTCGACCCTAGCCGACATCAATTCCGGCTTCAAAGCTTTGACCGAAGGGTCGAAAGCGCGGCAGGTGCAGGGACAGTGGGCCGCGGCCGAACGCAAGAAGCGCGATCTCGTCACGCGTCTTGGACGAGCTGCGCAGGCGTACAGCGATGTCCGCACGGCTCTCGACAAGGGCCTCCAATTCTACCAGGACTTGGCCGACCTTGTCGAGGGCTTGCAGCAGCAGGTCAGCGGCTGGCTGTCCGGTAGGAACAGCGAGCGCGACAGGATGGCGGGCGAGGCGGACATCAAGCAGCGGCTCGAAAGCGGGTCGGGCGGCGGCGCCTCGTCGCCGTCGCCTCTCGACCGAGCGATGGGCTCGCTCAACCTCGGTTTAGGCAGTCGGTCTCCGCCGCCGGCCGCCCCGACACCGCCTTCGTTCGGTTCGTCGTATCACTCCTCGCAGTCGCCGCCTCCTCCCGCCAACCCGTACGGCGCCATGCCGTCCACCGGTGCCTTCTCGCTCGAAGGCACGTCTCGGCCTGCACCTCCCTCCGCCCCTTCTCCTTACCAGCGACAGCCATCGTACCCGCCTCCTCGACCGACATTGCCTGCAACCTCTTATCCTTCCCAGCCTTCCGGTTACGCCTCGCCTCCTCCGCCTGCACCGTACAGCCAGATCTCGCGTAACGAGACTCTCCCGCCTCCCCCTCCGCCGGTTCAATCTTCCTACCTTCCTCCGCCTCCTGCACCAGTCAATTACTCGAGCTATGCCTCTTCGCCCGGTTACACGAGAGCGTATGGTCAAGCAACGCAAGGAGCGCAACAGCCGCCGTATCCGCCGCCTCCGCCGCAGCAGCAGCAGTACTCGTCGTACAACGGAGCGCAGTACGGCGCGCCTCGTCCTCCACCCCCTCCTCGACCTTACTGAGCTGCGGATCGCGGTATTGTAGCGACTCTCTTGGACACTTGCAAGCAGTACACCGTCTCTTCACGGCTCATCTTCGGCCACGAGAGCTTGTGAGCGAGGACATGCATTGCCGCGCTTAGGCGCTCATCCCGCTTGCGCATGCAGCGCGTACACAGCACGCCGAACAACAAAGTACGTCTCGCCCGGACCTCCCTCGAGGACGAGGCGACCCCTGCCAACCTTCCTGACCGCAACGCGTCCACCACTTGCTTCCATCGCCTCGTTGAGCAAGGCGTCTCGGACGAACTTGGCGCCCTTGCGCGTGTCGATGCCGGCGCGCTGAGCGGCGCTGGAGAAGTCGAAGTCGAACGCTTCAGGCGGGGCGGGACCGCAGACGAGGATACCTTCGCCGGTGAACTCGGATGGAACTTTGAGCGCCGCGAGACGTTCCTTGAGCAGCGCGAGACGGAGGTCACCAATGAAGAGGGAGGGCTTGAGGGCAGGGAGGATCGAGGGATCCGCTGGCTCTTCGGACGTAGCCTTCTCCGCGTCTGCCTGTTCCACTTCAGCCGCCGCAGCCTCGCCGCCGCCGTTGGCGATCGTAATGTCGGTCCCGTCCGGCGCAGGAAGCGCTGAAGGTGCTGACGCTGCGTCGGCGAAAGTCGGTCGCTCAAGGACGGGCAAGTCGGATTCGGGGTCGATGTGGACGATACCCGAGACGTAGGCGACGTCGTAGTCCTCGACCTGCGTATATAGTCGTCAGTGTCGTGGACAGAGACTACCAAAACGGAAGAACTCACCCTCGACAAGCGGAGCGTCGCCATGATGCTGTCGCCAAGGCGGATCGAGAAGTTCTTCGTCTCCTCGCCGACCTTGATTGTCTCGCCAAGAGAGGGTGTGTAGATGTCCTCCGTCATCGATGTGACGGCCTTGCACGCGCCTGCGAGATCTTGGATCGCTTCGGAAGAACCGTCGACGATGACCTGCGGGACGAGGGTCAGGTCAAGCCGCAGGACACAAGCTGTGACGAGACGCAACTCACGAGCTTGCGCGCATTGATTTGCGGCAGAATAGTCTTAAGAGCGCGCCCATCGCTCAAGCCTTCCATGTCCACAACGAACAGCAGGGCCTGTAGCGGAACCTCAACGCGGTCGACAACGTATTTGTGCGGCGGGTCGGGTTTCTCCTGCGCACGGAAATTGTCAGCGGAGGCGGGACAAGGAGTAGGCGCAACGCACCTCCGGCTCGGGCTCCTTCTCATCCTCCCTTGCTCGCTTGCCCAGCACCTGAGCATTGTTGGGCGACAGCGGATCGTCATCCTGACCCCTGCGCAGCCATCCTTCGACATCGATGGCCTCGCCGTACGCGTCGACCCTGCGCTTGCGCTCGACGACCGGGAACATCCTGAACCTAGGCAAGCCGCCCGCAGCGCTGCGCACACCGTAGGACCCGCGAACGTAGATATCGAAGACTTGGCCGCCTGCGGAGCCTGCGAGCGTCTGAGCGTCGAGAAACTCGTCCCAGGCGCCGGCACCGCCCGTGAAGCCGCCCAGCCGTCGCCGTCGGACAGGCATGGGCTGGTCCTCATCGTTCGCCGCACCATTTGCTTCTTCCGCAGCGTCTGCCTCCTCGCCCTCAGAGTCGGACTCGTCGTCTGAGTCGCCGCCGGCGTTGTCCTGCAGCATCCGGCGAGATCGTTCGAGAGCGGCTTGCTGTCGTGCGACGAGTTCTGCTGCTTCCCGCTCGGCTGCGAGGTGCGCTTCGAGCTCGTCGCCCTCGAGGTAGACCTTCCGCTTCATCTGTGAATGTGGAAGCGTCAGAAATGGATCAGCTCAGCCACACGTCGCGATGCAGCGCACCTCGAGCTCGATAGTCTGGTCCATCTTGACCTCCTTCCCGACCTTGCCTTCGCCATACTTGCAACCCTTCTCCTGCTGCGGCTCCCACACCTCTCTCGCGAGCCACCGCGCCAACGACCCAGGTTCGCTCAGGCCAGTGAGGAGGACGAGGTTGGCCGGGTTGCGGGCAAAGTCGAGGAAGAGGGCGCGGGAGTAGCCATATGAGAGCGTCGAGGGGACGGTGAGGATGAGCTTCGGCACCGAGGGCGGGATAGTCGTGGCGATCTCGTCGAGCGAAGAGAAAATGCGGAGGTTGCTGCAGTTCAAAGCGGTCAGCAGAATAACGTTCAATGAGATGCGTCTGGCACGCACGCAAACTTCAGCTTTTCTGCACCAGAACCAGCGATCTGACCACCCATCCACTCGGTCAAGCTGCGCACGAAACCAACAGCCTCCCTGCCCGTTCGACTGATCAGGCAAAGCGGGAACTGCTGACCGAGGTTGGCGAACTGCCAGTGCGTCTCGAGGAGGATGAGGAGCTCGAAGAGGCGTGCGGAAGGGTCGGTAGGGAGGAGGATGGACCCGCCAGATTGCAGGGTCGAGGTGATCAAGTCTGTCGGCGGGGTGAAGCGTAAGTGAACCGCTTGTGCAGGACGAAGCGATGCGCAGCGCACCGAGCATCTTGCGCTCGCGATCGATGCGCTTGATATTGACGACCTTGCTCCGCTCAGCGCCCACGATCATTACGCCCATCCTGCGGAAGTTGTCGTCGACGTTGCCGGCGTTCAAGAGTGAAGTCGGGTCGAGGTGGTGTTCCTTGACGTGGTTGAAGAGTGGAGCGTAGAGGAGAGAGGAGGCGGAGGATGCGGGAGAGAGGGAAGACGAGAGGGACGGGCGGAGGGTGTAGAGCGAGCCACCGAGGGTGTGACCCGACCGGTGCGCGACGAGCGTGTAGCCCTTGAGCGGACCTGTAGCAAATTGATAAGCGTCGCCGTAGCGGAGAAGAGGGGACAGAGAGAGGCTAACCTGTCAGGTGGATCGGTTGCGTCCACCGAACGGCGTTGATGGCGAGGAAAGCGTCGCGAATCTCTTGCGTGGTGAGCTTCCATGCATCCGACCACGGATCCCGAGACTTATCTCCGTCTTCCTGCTTGACGACCGCGCCGTCCTTCATGTTTGCGTCTCCGTCTACCTCCTCCTCTTTAACGACCATCACATCCTCGCCAACACCGACTTCCGCAACCTCGACCTTGGCCTTTCCTTTCCGCTTCTTGGCTGCTGCAGCATGCGCGACCGCCGCATCCTTGCGCTTCGAAGCGCCAACCGCCTGCTCCAAAGCCTGGTAGCGGATCTCATTCTTCTCCGCCGCACTTCGCGCCTCGACCCATTCTTCCACCGCATACCGACCCATTTCTCGCGTCGGGAGCGTACCGTAGACGGGACATCTCAGGCCGCATCGGGCGCGAAGGAAGGGAAGGAGGCCGAGAGAGGTGAGGAGAGGATGGGAGAGGAGGACGAGGTTGAGCGAAGGAGCGAGTTTGCGGAGAGTCGAGAGGTACTCGGCGACTTGTTCGGATGTCGGTTCGTCGGTTGGGGCGGAGGAGGTGGATGTGGAAGGCAGTGTCGCTTCGCGGCCCTTGTCGTACGACCCACAGTCGAGGAGGATTTGCGCATTGTCGACTGTGAGGAGGTATGTAGGCGGCAAGGGATGCGCCGAGAGGGGCGTAATGGTGATGCTCATGCTGGACGAGGGCGAAGGCGGGATGCGAGATGGTCGAGGAGGGGAAGTCGGTCAAGAGACGACTCGCAACGCCGGTCCAGCTTCCGCTGCTACACTCTGCCACTCAGATGCCCTCAACTGCGGTGCCTGACTATCCCCTGAGCCGCTCAAGCGGTCGTGGCGACGCGAATGTCCTCGATCCGAGGTCGAGGAGATGCGGGCGAAAGAACAGCGAGCGCGGCCGCTGGATAGTGTGCTGCGGCTTCTGGGGATTCTAGTCGACCGTCAAGAGGACCGTATGGACCGAATAAGGCGAAAGGAGCCGCAGAAAGCGAGTTGTCGGATGCGAAGGAGGTCGAGGGGGGATACTCGCGCCTCCTCTCGCTCTCTCACGCTCCAGAAAGCCCAGCTGATCGCTGGCAAAGTTCTGACTGTCTTGTGGACCTGTCTAGACTTTCAGCGAGGAAAAGCGTGCATGTAGCGAGAATCTGGGTGTCGCCCTCCCCTTCTCCTCCCCCTCGTCACCTCTCTCGCTCGCGACACCGCCAAAATGGGTCTCTCAATCTCGAAGCTCTGCAAGTCCAATTCTTGAGCGCCATGGGCCTTGTCCCAGCCCGCCTGGACGCCCGGGGGACGAGACTGGCGCCGTCGACGCCAGGAGTGTTGGCGCACCGTCCCCCGCCGCGCGCACGCCTCTGGGATGGCCGTTCAGGACTCGAGCTGACCATTGAAACTCCCACATGTACGCCTGAACCACTCACGCCTCTCCCCGCCGCCGCCATCGCCCGCTGTGACCGTCTCCCCCTCCAACACGCGTCGCCACGTCTGGCCCGACTCGCCTGATTGCGCTCACCCATCGCGCGAACGGTCGACTGTACCCTCCTATCATCTCTTACACCACTCTCGACTATCTCGATGAACCCACGCGTCCGCGCGAGCAGTGTCCGGCCTCTTCGGCAAGAAGGAGATGCGCATCCTCATGGTCGGACTCGACGCTGCAGGAAAGACGACCATCCTGTACAAGCTCAAGCTTGGCGAGATCGTCACCACCATCCCCACCATCGGTGAGTCTCGCCGCGGAGCGTTGCCGTTCTCTCGAGCGTACTTGGAGCAGCGCGAGGCGCGAGCACACGACACTGGCGGCGATGTCCATGTGTGCCAGTGTGACTGTTCGTTGCGAACAGAGCGAGTAACGCTCGCAGCGACACTTGCGACCGTGCGATCGCGACTCCACGATCACATGCGCCCCGGTCGAACTCGCGTATTGACCCCTTCCTTCCTCTCCCGCCTCGCAGGCTTCAACGTCGAGACGGTCGAGTATAAGAACATTTCGTTCACGGTGTGGGACGTCGGAGGTCAAGACAAGATCCGTCCTCTTTGGAGGCACTGTGCGTCCGCCTCCGCTTTCTCTAGCGACCCGATCTGACATTCTCTCCTGCTCGCAGACTTCCAGAACACGCAGGGCATCATCTTCGTCGTGGACTCGAACGACCGCGAGCGTGTCTCTGAGGCGCGCGAGGAGTTGCAGCGCATGCTGAACGAGGACGAGCTCCGCGACGCCCTCCTCCTCGTCTTTGCCAACAAGCAGGACTTGCCCAACGCGATGAACGCTGCCGAGATCACCGACAAGCTCGGCCTCCACTCGCTCAGGCAGAGGCAGTGGTACATCCAGGCGACGTGCGCGACGAGCGGTGACGGTCTCTACGAGGGTTTGGAGTGGGTGCGTAGCCGGCGTCTCCCGCCTACGTCTCGTTTCCCTCATCCTGACGCCTTGGCTTGCAGCTCTCGACCAACCTCAAGCGCCGGGCATGAACGCCTCGTCGCCCCGACATTGCAGCACATCTCGCTTCTCCTCTCGCATCACCCTGTCGTCTCTCGTCCCCCGCCTACCCCCCTCACAAAGCGCCTTCGCCGCCCATGCAATCCGGACTGTTGTCTCTGCCTGTCTCTGTCGTCTCCACAGTCGCAACACCCGCCTCGATGTGCGGGCGTGCAGCGCACCTCCCTCCTCCCTCTCCCTCATACCACAACCGGCCTCTCGCCTCCCCCTCGTTTCTTTTGCGTCACTTCGTTTTCGTTTCTCCTCTTTGCTCTTTCCGTGAAACATCCTTTCCTTTCTAGCCGTCGGTGTCGTGCGCGTCGAGGGTTCCGTACTTCTCCTCGCTCGCTCGCTGCGTCGTCTCGCTTCCTTCGCTCGAGCCAGCTTTGCTCTCGCTGTGCAGAGTTATCGTCCTGCGTCGCTTGCAAGCATTCCGCATCCAAAGAAAAACTTCCTTCGAGCTGAACGAGCTTGCGCCGTCCGCGCGTCTCTCTTTCTCCTCCATACACATACCACGGACGACACAAACCAAGGGCCAAGGGCGCCTCCTCGTGCCGGACAGCCCATGCCCGTCGTCTCAGAGGAACGCAACACACATCCCGACTCTCAAAATCGACGCCGCCAGTCCTTTCTTGCTTCGAGGTCGTCTCGTCCTCGCGAGAGGCGAGGCGGGCTTGGGGTGGGATTGCGGGCGGGGCCGTTCGCTTGAGCCGTACACTCCTGTCACACCCGACAGCGCATCGCACAGCTACTCATCTCGCTGTTGTAGACCTCCCCTCCTTCTCCCTCTGCAACTCGCTCTTGTCACGCACACACGCGCTAATCGCTTGCCTGAGAGTTTCGCTAAGCATGGTCGACTACGTGCCTCACCACGCACAGCCCGTAACGCTCGCCCAGCTCCGCGCCATCGAAGCCGACTCGCTCGTCCCCGGTGAGTAATCCCGTCTCGCTCCTCGCACGGCTCACGCTGACCTGTGCTCGAGGAGACAGAGATTGCACGGCTGGAGAACTCGATTGCGCATCTGGAGCGGTCGAATCAGGAGTTGCGGGATGCGGTGCGAGAGGAGCAGGCAGGGACGGACGTGGACGAAGACGCGGTGAGGGAGTTTGAGGCGGCTATCAAGGAGAACGAGGAGACCATGTGCGTACACTCTGTCGTTATCAGCTTTCTTGGCGGCGTTGAACGAGCGGGAGCTGACGACGCTTCCCTTCTCCCCTCTCAAACAGCGCTGCCCAGCAAGAACGCATCACCATGATCCGACTAGCGTTGGAAGAGAAGATCGGCGTCGACGCTGGGAACCCGCACTACCAGCCGGCGAGTCAGGCGCGAGGGCGGGCGAACGGGACGGAGCGGAATCAGCAGGCGAATGGCGTCGACGACGCGATGGGCGTCCAGGACGACTCAGCAGACGGCAGCGCGCGAGCGACGACAGCGAGTATTGCTGCGACTGGCGCAGAACGACAAGCGGACGCAGCAGACGACGGCATGTACCTCTGATTTCGCGCAGCCGTACCACGACACTCGATACCCTCTCGTACGATACCCCGCTGCACTACCTACTTCTGACACACCCACGCCTCGCCCCCAAAGATTCCGAGCGAGTCCTTCGTTGAAGGTTCCGGCAGTGGGACGAGACGCAGTCGTCGTCGGACGGCGTACAAGTCTTGCTCCGCCTCGCGCTTGAGCAGCTGGAGATGCTGCCGCGCAGCTTCGATGTCTTGCGCCGGTGCCGCTGTACAGCCCGCCAACCGTAACTTGACTCCTCGCGCCGACCCCTTCGCTTGCTCCAGCGCTCGCAACTCGCCCTTGATGAGCGGCACCCTCAAGCTAAGCTGCCTCTCCATCTCTTCATCCAGCTTGCACTTCCATCCCAGCTTCTTCTCCAAGAGGTAGTCCACCGCGGCGATCTCGTTCAGCTCGTCCGTCCAGCCTCTGACAGCCGCTTCGTTCTCCTTCTCCGCTGTCGACCTGTCCCTCTCGCTCCGCACCTCGCCTGCCTTCACGTACGACTCCTCTACCGCTCGAGCGAGTGGCAGAGCGTGCGCGCCGATCCGCCTCGACCAAGCCGCAAGGAGGATCCTCGCCTTCTCCTCATCCTCGCTCATCTCGTGCCCGTCCTTCCCAGGCCGCTGACTCGGCGCGTTCAACATCGGCATCGAGAACCTGCTTATCCCTCGCAACTCGTTCATCGCGAGCGCAGGCGGGATGGTCGTGCGCAAGTCGAGCGTAATGAACCGCTGACGGACGATGCGTTCGAAGGCGTGGAGGACGCGAGGGACGGGACGAGGAGCGTAGAGGGAGAAAACGGTGTCGAGGAGTTCCAAGTGACCACCTGGAGTGAGGACGCGTCGCAGCTCTTCGATGAGCGAGTCCCAGCGGTGTTCTGCCAAGGTAAGTCGGGTCAGGACGCTTGTCTAGCTGTGATAGGGTTCGCCACCCACCAGGTGTGCCCGAATTGACGCATGCAATCCGGACATAGTCGAACTCTTCGTCGAAGAAGGGAAGTGGTTCGAGGAAGTTGTGCTGGACGAACGAGACTCGCGCTCGAACCGACTCATCCAGCATCGAAGGTGGGACGAGGACAGGTACGAGGTCGAGACCGACGAAGCGCGACTCCTCCCACCCTGGCGCGGCAGCGGTCGAGAGGATCCAGCCTGCGTTAGCACCGCAGCCGATGTCGAGGACTCGGCGAGGTTTCGGGTCAAGCTGCGCGACAGAGTCGCCGACGCAATCGTGCCATTCTCCTCCGATCAGAGCGTCCCTGCGAGCCAACGTCAGCGTCAGTGAACGGCGTTCGAACGGGCCTTCACGCACCAGTCCTCAGCCGGTCCGCCAAACCCGAGCCAGAATGGCGCCGCTTCGGACGCGACAGGGTGCGCCTTGCTCGTTCGCAAGCTGCCAATCACCGGGAACTCGTCGAAGAACTTGTACGCCTTGGACAAGCGGGCGAGCTCCTCTTCAGCTGGGGGAAGCCCGCCTGAGCCAGCCAGCGCGGAGGCAAGGAAAAGGTCGAAGCGAGAGACTCGTCGGGACTTGCGATCCATCCTGTGCAGCAGGTGCAAGGAGGATACGGAGCGACAGCGACGTGCAGGGGCATCCGGACAGTCCGCGGATCGAAGGGAGAGAGAGGAGGGGACCAACGCGCGCGCCGCGAGACGGTAGAGCAGCGCCGTCACGAAGCGAACGTCGTTGTGACTGAGAACACTGTCCCGGCATAAATCTGGTCGACCTGGACTGATGCGAGGTCGAGTATTCGCCCGCTCGAACGACGCAAACTCAGCCTGGTTGTTAAGGGAGAGTGCAGATACTCTGTGAGCGTGCTCGTGCTGTCCAAGAGGGTCAAGCGCGACCTGAAGTGGTGCCGAGGAGACAAAGAGCGGCGAGGAGGGGGAGCGAGCCTCTTTGCCTCCGCCAGCACACCGCCATCCATGCGAGCGCTTGGGACAAAGCCGCAGCCGCACAGGCTGGTGCTAGGAAGGCAGACAACCGAGCGCTGTCCGCTCCGTGCTGTTGACGCCTCGTTCTCCTCCTCATCAGTCGAACGAATCGAACGACCCGTCTCGCTTGCGAGGGGGCTCGCGAGGCGTGCTGGCCGCATCGGCTTGGCCAGCTCAGACCGAGCAATCGGGGCGCACGACGGGAAGGAACCCTCGAGTTGCAGAAGGACGATCCAGCATTCCTTCGTCGTCGCGTCCATTTCGAGGCGGAAGACGCGTCGGAGTCGTACGATCGCAGAGCGGCTCGTTCGACCATGCTGTTTGGACCTCCGCAAATCATTATGAGGCGCGCCTCCGGCTCGGAACCGTGTCGACGATCCCCTCAACCCTTGCTTGCTGCTGCCTCCTGCTTCCGAAGACGATCCTGTCTGCCAAACCACAGCTCCGGATCGGAACATTTCCGTGAGCATGCCATCGCACCGAAGACGCGCCCTCAAGGGTCACAACACGTCTTCGTCGGCCAAACAAGATCGCATCCCCTCCTCGTTCGCTATCTCTTCCTGCTTTCTTCCGCTTCATCCGACTCTCGCCTCGCTCGCTTTGCTTGTTTGCTCGACCACACTCGTTTGACACCACACTCGTTCAAGTATCTCAGTATGCGCACCACCTTCTTCGCTCTCGCTGCCCTCGCCGCTGGCGCCTCGTCCGCCCTCGCCTCGCCCGAGAGCCACCAGGGCATGGTCAAGGTCGCCAAGCGTGCCAACGCTCCCACTGACACCGAGATTCTCAACTACGGTGCGTGCAGTCGCTGTCGTCGTCGGCGTGAAGCGACACAAGCTGACCTTCGCAACCTCGTCTCGTCCTTCAACCCGTTCCTCGCCTGGGCCTTGCAGCCTTGACCCTCGAGTACCTCGAGCGCAACTTCTACGCCGACGTCCTCAAGAAGTTCTCGGCTACCGACTTCAAGAAGGCTGGCTACGCGCCGCGCGTCCGCGAGCGCTTCCAGGCTCTCGCCAAGCAGGAGGCCAGCCACGTCCAGTTCCTCGAGGCCGCCCTCGGCACCAACGCTGTGTCGGACTGCTCCTACATCTTCGGCCTCACTTCGGTCAAGGCCGTCGTCAGCACTGCTCGCCTCCTTGAGAACATCGGCGTTTCGGCCTACCTCGGCGCCGCGGGCGACATTCAGAGCAAGGAGTACCTTGCTGCTGCCGGTAGCATTTTGACTGTCGAGGCTCGCCACGCCTCGGTACGTCTGACCCACCTCCTTCGTAGAACGAGGCTTACCCGGATGTCGCACAGTACCTCAACGAGATCAACGGCGCCTCGGGCTTCCCCGACGCCTACGACTCGCCGCTCGACTACGCTCAGGTCTACTCGCTTGCTGCGCCGTGAGTCTCCAGCCGTCCAGCAACGGACCCAGAACTGACCGCCTCTCGCACCATTAGCATCATCATCCCCAACACCTGTGGCAAGGCTGCCCCTCTCCCCGCTTCGATCCAGAAGTTCCCGGCCCTCGCGCTCAAGACCAAGACGCCCCGCGCTGGCCACACTTCCGCCTTCAGCTTCGCCCCGAAGCAGGGCTACTCGGGCGACTACTACGTCGCCTTCATTGCCGACGGTCAGACGCAGTACTCCAAGGTCGGCGCCGAACAGACCGCTCACATCCCCAAGGGGTTGACCGGCCTTGTCTTCGCCATCGTCACCACCTCGCCCAACGCCCTCACCGACGCCAACACCGTCGCCGGCCCGGCTCCCATCTTCCTCGCCTAAGAGGGTCACTTCGCTTTTCACCTCTCCCCCTGCTCTTATCCTCGCGTCCTGCCAACTTGGCGATCCACCCTCACGGCCCTTTCCCCCTTCCCGTTGTTCACGAGCCTTCCGCTGTTTCCCATCACTCGCCTGCAACAGCTGTACATATTCTCGCTCTCCTTATGCGTGGAATCGAGCTGGCTGCCGCGAAGAATCGTCACGTCTGGCTCTCGAGCGGTATCTAGTCAGAAAGCCTCAACAGCGCCATCCTCTCGACGGGTTAAAGGACGTCTGCGCAATGTGCGTCGTTGCGCGTACCATAGTCGGAACAGGGTAAACCGAGGAAAAGAAGAACGGAAAAACTGCGAGAGGTAGTATAGGGGAAAGGAAGGGAGGGACGGGAAATCAGGCGACCCTGACTCGCGGCGCGCCGGTCATCTCGTCCCGTCGCCTCGCTGGCGCAGTCGGAAGAGGGGGAGGAGGGAGCGGGAGGTCAGATGCGGCTGCGAGGTGTCGCTGGATGCTGGCAGCGAGAGAAGCGGAAGCGGCTTCAGCTGCGGTGCGGGAGGGAGTTGAGGCGGCGGCTGTTGCTTGCGCGGTCGTGGCGGTAGGAGCGGATGCGGCGGCAGGAGAAGAGCGGCGAGAAGTAGGGAGAGGCTTGATCTCCCTGTCGGTTCGGATGGGCAGAGGCGCCGTCCGCATGCCGGAAGGCGACGTCGCGTTCGTCCGAGGACTCGTCAAAGACGCTCCGTCGAGAGCCGACGCAACATTCTCGACCATTTTGTCCGGTGCCGCCTGCTTGCCCGCTCCACCCTCCTTCTTGCCACCCTCGCCTCCGCCCGCGCCGCCATCCTCTTCCTCCTCCTCTTCCGACTCTTCCTCCTCGTCATCGATGTTGTCGTCATCGAACAACGCGCCCTCGCCTTCTCCTCCGCCTCCCTCAGCTCCGGCGTCTCCTCCAACCGGTCGCTCGTCCCAATCAAGCTCGCCTTCCGTTCGAGGCTGCAAACAACGGCTCGTCAGTCATTTTCGCTCACAGACGAAGCTGGAGCAACAGCACGCACCCTCATCCGCATCCACATCATCCTCGGCCCGCTCTTTGCCCTCTCGCTCACCCTGAACCCGTAGATCCGCGGCTGATAGATCTTGCTCAGGCTGGTCGAGGCAGTCGTCGGAACTCGTTTTGAAGGGTCGCTCGGGGCGGGTTGAGGAGCGGGGAAGGGAGAGGGAGGCGGGTAAGTCTGGAAGAGGAGGTGCGGGAAGGTCGTGCCGAAGAAGGCGCCTGCATGAACGCGAGTTTGTCATTTCCGGGTCATCGCACATAGAGGTGGGAGAGGCGTACCGTCGACACCCTGGAACCGCGAGCTCGGCGGCACGTACATGTCGAGGCAGCTCGGGCAGAAGAGCTTGACCGTGTCGACGCCAGGCAGGTCACTCCGCCCGCACGGGACGAGCTTGGTCTGTCCGCAGTAGACGCGCGGACAGACTCCAAAGTGGGCGGCGTCGAACTTGGCGTACTGTAGAAGCGAGTTGTCAGCGAGGACGAGACGAGAGAAAGGAGGAGGGGACGCACCATCTGCTGCAGCCCTTGTCGCGTCAGGATGTACCGCTGGTGGATGAGGCCGTACAGCAGCTCTGCGCTCGACTCGACGATTGAGACGTCGGGGACGCGATGGCCCTCGTCGTCCTCTGCGTCCGGGAAAAGGGCATCAGTTCCGGGTCATTTGCAGCTGTGCCAAGGGACGCACCCGGCTCGACATCCAGAATCATTTCCATCGCCTCCTTGTAGAAAGGCACGAGCTGGATAAGCCCAGTGAGGTTGAAGTCGTCCTCGATGAAGTCCTGATTACGCCAAGACGAGCAGAGTCAGCCTTCGTTTGCTTGCTTGCTCGCAAGACGAATGGGTCACAGCGCACCTCGGCGACCTCGCAGAAGTACTCGTGACCAGGAAGCGAGCAGAACCTGTGGACGAAAGACAGCTGTCAGCACCTCCATGGCGCACTTCAGCCGCAAGTCGAGCAAGCGAAACTCCGCCTCACCAGTTGATCCACGTCAGCGTGTCCGTCTCTGTGCTGGGAGACGATGAGGACTCTGCAGAGCCGCAGAGCGAGGCGAAAAGAGGTCAGCAAGGGAGCACGCGAAAGGGCCTTGTCGCAGGGAGAGAGGGTCGAGGTGAGCGAGGCGGAAACCGGTGACCCAGCTCGCGCAACCACTCCCGAGCACCGTCCACTGTGTCGTTCAGCCTACCAGTCTCCATCCTGAGCCCGCCACGCCCATTTGAGCCGCCGTTCGCCTGGACGCCTCGTGCGCTCACTTGCGCAAGAGGGACGGCTAGTCCGCCTCCCGCATGCCAAGTAGCTGCCATCAAGCATCCCGAAACTCACCGTAGAGCTCCTGCTGCTCCTCCTCTTCCTCGTCGTCCTCGAGCTCGTCGTCGTGCATGGCCTCGCCCGTCGCTCCCGCCGTGTCCTCCTCCGCGTCTGCCGGCTGGGGCGCCGAGTCGTCTGGATAGGTCGCCGCGAGAGCCCTGTCTGGGTCAGCCGGAGTCCTCGCCATCCCAGCAGCAGCAGTTTGAGCGAGCCGAGAGCGGGTGGTGAGAGGAGAGTTGCTTCTCTGACAACGACCAAGTCGACCTCCCGCGAGCTGGGCAGGGGATGGCGTACCCAGTCGACCCAGGCAGGACTGTCACCTGGGCCAAGCACCCCGAATGGGAGCAGGAGCTCGTCAGCATCATCGCCGCCCTCCCTCGCGACGACCAGATCATCGTCTTCGCGCCCGCCACGCACAGAAGCGCCCAGTGGAGGAGGGACAAACAAGATCTACTGCAGGCAATCACGGCCGACCTGTTCGACGCGCATGGAGACCCCGACAAGGCGGCGAAGCAGGTCGCGAGTGTCCAGCGGAAACTCTCACAGTACGTCGCTTCCTCGCTCTCTGTTGGACTGTGGGCGAGTGTGCGATGGCAGAATACGGACGTGCGGTCTCCTGGTCTATTGGCGCGGCGCCCTGCTCGTGTTGTCGTCGTTCAACCGCCCGGACCTCCTGCGGCGTTGACATCTCGTCTTGAATGGCTCTCTCGCTGACACCGCGTTCTTTCCGGCGCAGGCTTGCCAAGTGGTACTCTGGGCTTATCCGTGAACTCGTCAACAACCCCGAAGAACGAGCGGCGCTTCTCGGTGCGTTTCGTCTTCTCACCTCGCGACTTTTCCTCGTGGCTGACCTTCAGCTTCCTGTCGGCAGCCTTTCTTGGCTCGAAGTGCCCGACATGGATTCTTCTGCGGCCTGTCCTGCGCGACCACCCCGACTTCCAGTACTGGGACGAGAATGCGACTCCTCCGGCTCCGCAAGCTGCGAACGACGAAGCGGCAGACCCTTACGACCCGATGCAAGGTGCGTTGCCCCCACGTTGAGCGATACTTGACGAAAGCTTGCTACGCGCCGCTGAGTCGGGGACTGACAAGACCGCTCGTCCGCAACTCGCGATCCTCCCTTCTCGTCTTGCTTGAACAGACGTCCGCTACCACGATGCTGCCCAGCCAGCCCCCGCTCCCGCCGCACAACCAGCCCAACCCGTCGCCGGTCCAGCATACCCAAACCCCGCTCTCGCACATCTCTACGCCCCGAACCAGCTACCAAACCACGCCAACAACCAGCCCGCGACGCCCGTTGCTGCAGGACAGAAACGAGCGCGACGCGATTCGGCTGATGCGACGGAGGGAGAGGCGAGGGACGCGAGGCAGGCTGCGGCCGCGGCGGCGCTGAGAAGGGCTGATCCGCTGGCGGCAGAGTTATTCCCGACTCCGCCTGTCAATCGGGCCCGGGGTATCGCTCTGACTCCTCGAGCCCCGGCACCGCCCGCCGCTGCTCCCGCCCCTCCAGCTCCCGCTCCGCCTCCTCCAGCCCAACCCCCCGCTCAACCCGCTCCTCCTCCAGCCGCCCAACTCGCCCCCCTCGCCCGCGAAGACTCCCAACTCTTCGCCTCCTGCCCAAAATGCGCCTTTCCGCTCCTCGACCTCTCCCCCTCCGAAGCCGAGACGCACCTCCGTTCTTGCCTCGACTCGAGCGGAGCGACGGTTACTGAGTGTCCGGTTTGTGGGATGCTCATGGACGGGTTCACCGAGGGAGAGGTGGAGAAGCATGTGGATGATTGTTGTAAGGGTGTTGGAGGGTCGGGATCGAAGGCTGCGAGGGAACACGTCGGTGGGTAGAAATCCTCCTGGCTCTCAGCTCGTCTTGCGCCGTCCACTAGCTTGAAGCTGATTGTCCTCCGCGGGTCCCCCCACAGTCTTCATCGCCGACTCCAAGACGGTCCCGAAGGACGAGAACACGGGCGCAGCACTCGAAGTGCGTCTCGCTTCTTTTCTCCCTCGTACCGCTCACAAAGCTCACCTTCCGTTTCGTCTGCAGTGCATCATGTGCTTCGACGAGTTCGAGCCGTCGCAGCGCCTCGCCCGCCTGTCGTGCTACTGCTGCTACCACGAAGCTTGCATTGTCGAGTATTGGCAGAACCCAAGCAGTGCGTTCGGCTCTCGCCTGAGCGTTCCTGCGCTTGGACTGACTGTGACTCCCGCTCGTCCTTGCAGAGTTCTGCCCCACACACAGGGAGCTCGACACGACGCAAGAGATCGAGATGAGGAGTTGAAGACGCCCTCCGACCGCATATCCACCGCCAGTTCCGCTTTCGCCTTTCGACCTCCGGACCGCATTCCGTCTTTCGCATCACTTCGTCCTCCCCACGCCGTGCCCTTTGTCCGTTGTGCCAATACTCGCTTCGCATGCCCCCTTCGCCGTACATACCCGTTTGCCGCTGCCTCCTTCACCCCTCGCACGCTTCTGCAATGCCGGGTTCGCAGTATTCGCACGAAGCACTCTCCACGAGCGCTGAGAGAGAAGAGCTCGCTAGGACAGGGGTTCACTTTGTCCCCACCGCGAAGGTCGTCGCTCGTCATCCTGGCAACATCCTCGTTCGCTCGCCACTCACTCTTGCTGCCGGACTTGCTTTGACCAGTCTCAGATGGTGAGCGACTCGCCCGCTCAGCCAGCGCAGCTGCCCAAATCCGACTCGCCAGCGCCCTCCTCGTCCCGGTCCGCCTCGTTCATCTCGGCAGACTTGAATGTGCGGCTCTCGGGGCGGATCGTGGGCGATGGCGAGGCAGGACGGATAGAGGGCCTGCAGGTCGAGCTGGATCAGGGCGGCATCACCGTCGTGCGTCTGGCTCTCCCTCTCTCACTCTCCCGACGAGCGTACCGCCCCCTCCGCGGGGATTCAAACGCGATAAGGGGACTGGCTGACACCGGACTCGCACGGGACACGCAGAGATACCCTCAGCTACTCAGTGTGCAGACGAAACCCGAGTTGCAGACGCTCTCGTCCACCAACACCGGCGAACGCCTCTTGACCCTCCCGACGCCGTTCATCACCGCCTCGTCCGGCTCGTCCGACTCGAACGAGTACGATGATGCGTTCGAGGACGACAGTGGCAGTTCGACGCCGAAGAAGACGGTTGTGACGCTGCACGAGGGGTTCCTCCCGGCTTCGGAAACCGAACAGATCGAACAGTCGCCCCTCTTCTCGTCGACCTTCAAGATCCTCGTCGACAGCCCGTCCTTCCCCGCTCCGCACTTTGATCCGGCGTCCCTTGCTCCGCTGACTCCCTCCGTCAAACCACTCGACCCAACTTCCGCCTCGTCCGCAGCCGCGTACGGCGGGATCCTCAACTCGCCAACGCTGCAACGGGCACTCCTCTCGCCCCTCTTGTCCCCTCAGCGCCGCGCAGCAAGTCAGGGTAGCGACTTGTCTGTCCCGCCTCTCTCGCTCGGGTTGAGCCGGACGAGCAGGGCGTCCTTCTCTGGCGCCGGCGAGCGTCCGCGAGTGCAGGGCGGCGCTCAGCCCTCGCTCGTCTCGCTCATTCCGTCACTGGCACCTCCCGCATCAGGACCCTCAACCGCCTCTTCCTCCTCGACCGACCCACCGCACTCTTCCTCAGTCCCTCACGGCCCCTCGCTCGCCACAACCCTCACCCACGCGCTCTCTTCGTCCGCGAAAAAGACAGCAGAAGAGATCCTCTCCCTCCGACGCACGCACGACGCCTACCAACGTCGGGCGAAAGCCGAGTTGGAGATCTTGGAGCAACGAATCGAGATTGCGAGGCAGAATGGAGCGGGAGAGGGAGCGGAGGGAGTCGTGAGGGGGTTCAAGACGAGGGAGGAGAGGGAGAAGAGTGTCAGTGCGAGTCGGAGTCGCGAACGGGATGAGAAGGACAAGAAGGAAGAGGGGAAGAAGGCTGGGAGTGGCAGCAGGAGTAGGACGAGGGGGACGAGTGGCGAGAGGAGGGGCGAGAGTACGGCCTATCCCAAGTCGGCGTACATGGACGAGGAGATGTCTTCCCGTATTCGGGAGCAGGACGAGCGTGAAGAGGAAGAGCGCGGGAGGTCCAGGTCGCGCAGTCGCGGTGGATCAGGCGGGAACGGTCGACAGGCGTCAGCGCGCGGTTCGTCCGAGCAGTACACTCAGTCGGCCAATGCCCAGCGCAGCAGGAGCAGAACCAAGGCGGTTGCAGAAGCGACGGCTAAGGCGGTCGAGGGAGCTCAGCAGCGCGGGCAGAGTGGGAGTCGCGAGCGGGCGGGTCAGTCGGCTGGCGCTGCTACCGACGAGCGAGGACGCGGACGTGGTTCGAACCGCGCGGAGAACCTGCCTGCGACGCTCGAGGAAGAAGGCGAAGACGAAGCCGACCGCGGCCGGTCCTCCACCTCGACCCGCTCCGCCTCTGCACCGCGCGACTCGACCACCGACACGCAGAACAACCTCCTCTCGCCCTCTTCCGCCGCACAAGCAGTCCGAGGCCCCTCGAGTTCGGGTGCGACGCCGACGTTCATTCCGAGCAGTCATGCGCTGGTTGCGATCCCCGAGAGCGAGGAGTTGTCGCTGCCGCCGAGCGAGGCGGGTGATGAGACAGAGGAGGGGGACGGCGATTCGAAGAAGCAGGACGGCGAGGACAAGGAGGAGGAAGGTGCGTTGCGCGCTTTCGTTTGCTCAGCAAGTGCGAGCCGAACTGACGAGTCGCGCATCGCTCGCAGAATCCGACCCGCCTTTCGAGATGGACGAAGACGTCGACGTCGAGGAGCTCGACATCGGCTCGTCTCGCCAGCCCGCGCCGCTCGAGAGCCCCAGCCTCGAAATCGCCAACGGCGACACTCCTCCTCCGCAATCCGTCGCCGGCCAGTCGCGTTCACGCCAACCGCCATCTTCGACTCAGCCCTCGTCGTCTTTCCGCCCGGGCTCGTTCCAGCGCGCCTCGGCTCTCTCGGCGTCTTACAACGCCTTGCTCGCTTCACCCCGCGCTTTGGCAGCTACCAAATCCCCTCTCTCGCCTCCCACCGTCCAACCTATCTCTCCCTCCGTCGCGGCCATCCGTTCCTACGGCTCCACCACCCGCTCCTCATCCGACTTCAGCCCCTCACGCACCGCCGCAGCCCTAAACTCACTCGACACCCTCCCGCCCTTCTCGCCTCCCGAAGCGCACGCACATCTGACCTCCTCAGCGCGGGACGACGCCGAGAACGCTCTCGCAGCTGCGACGTTCGAGCATGCGACGCTTTCCCGCGGGCGGAGGGGGGCAGAAGGAGCGGGACCGGATCCGAGGGAGGTTAGGCGCGGGGAACAGAAGATTAGGGATGTGCTTGCTATGGATGTGCCGAGTCATCGGCCGAGGAACTCGAAGAGGGAGAGGGAGGGGAGGGTTGGGCTTGAGGCTGTCAAGGGGAGGGCGGCGCTCGAGTCGGATGAGGAGGAGGAGGGGGACGAGGAGGCGGTCGAAGATGGCGACGACGAGCGCATGACCCGCTCGACTGCTGCGTTGGGCGTCACGGCTCCAAGCGGCCAGATCGACCCCGCCACAAACGCTTTCGTCGGTTCGCTCCCCATCGCCCTCGGCCGTCCTTCGACCATCAACGCCGCGCTCTCGTCGTGGCGACCGGACCCTGAGCGCTTGTGGGCTCAACAGCGCCGCGAGCGGAAGACGAGCATCTCGAGTCGCGGCGAGGCGGGGTGGGTCCCGCCGCTCAAGACGGGCTTTGGAGCGCCGATGCCGACTCAGGGCGGGAGGGCTGCGGCCGTCCTCCCTCACCAGCAGCAGCACCAACAGGCGTCGTCGTCGTCGTCGACGCAGCCGCTCGAGATTGGGAGCCCGTCGACGCCGAGACCGGTTGCGGGCGGGTCGAGTCTCGCGCAGAGTTTGCGGCATGCGTCGTTCAGCCATCGCGCTGCTCTCGACGAGCGTGGGACGAACGGAGGGGCCAGCGGGGAGGGAGTCGAGGATGCGGACGGAGGAGAGGACGAGGACGACGAGGACGACGGCGAGTTTGTGCCGCCTCACCTCGTCGCGGATCGCAAGGGCCGGCGGAGTGACGAGGCGATGCTGAGCCGGAGTGTGTCGAGCTGAGCATGGAAGGAGTTCCCGTCGAAGGAGGTGGCGAGAGTGCGAAGGCCGTCGCATGTGACTGTCCCGAGAGAAGTCGAGCGAGGGGCTCTTCGTCCGCTCTCTCGCTCGTTCCTCTCACTCGCACTCGCAGCTGCTCCTGCTTGACGCTGCACACACGCTCAGCTGCTCACACACGCTCACACACGCGCTCATCGTTCCACCATCACCTCTCCCGCTTGCACCGCCCCGCTTCCTCATCGCAATCACTTGGACCCGCTCCACACAGCTCGCAGGCAGCCATGGCACGTCATAACACTCTCAAACACTCTTGCACATGTCGCTGACGACGCCGCACACCCGCAGGACTTTCTCACGCAGTCGTTCGCACCCGCTCCCGCTCGCCAAGCAGAACAAGCCTCGTCGGCTCAGGCCTCTCACCCTGCGTCGCCCGACACACTCGACACGGCTCACGACGTCTCTCCCACCACGGCGACAGCGACGAACGACTCGAACCCGTTGCTCGCCGCCGATGTCGTCCAGACGAGCGACAAGTTCGCTGCGTTGCGCTCGCACTCGCCCGCTGCTGGGCCGCTCGAGGACGAGCCGCGCATCGAGTACCCGAGCGTACAGAAGGGTGATTGGCGGGCGTACGGGCGCGTCATGGCCCAAGTCGTCCTTTGGCCCGAGGGAACCGTCGGAGAGAAGGGCGTCAAGGCCAAGAAGGTGAGGGAGGTTCTCGCCGACAAGGCCGACGAGTGGGTTGTTGAGGGAACGCTCTGGATCACAAAGGTGCGGCCGGTGTCGAGCTATCGTTTCTCGGCCTGCGCTGGTGCGCACAGCTCTGCTGACGTGCTCTCTTCACGCCCCGCCGCAGAACAAAGAGATCCTCCTCGTCCTCGACCGCAACGTCCCACCCTTCCACATCGACTTCTCGACCCTGCGCGCCGCTCCCACCCTCTCTCGCCGCCTCAGCCTTTCCGGCCTCCGCCGCTCAATCTCCCGCACCTCGACCACCTCAGGCGGCGACGCTCGCGAGGACACGGAAGAGGACAAGGAGAATACGGGAGGAGGAGTGAGGGGGTTCGTGAAGAAGATTGTCGAGGCAGTCAAACCGCGTAGGGCGTCCTCATCCGAGGGTGGAGATGGGCTTGCGTTGACGCGCACGAGGTCGTCGCACAAGAGTCAGAGGTCCATCAAGGAGAGGAGGAAGTCGCATGACGCCAACGCTGGAGTGGCGAAGGGCGAGGAGGAGAGGAGGGGAGAGAGGGAGGAGGGTTCGGCGCAGGGCGGACAGGGTGGGTTGGCGTTCGCTGAGCCGGTTATCGAGAGGCGTGAGGGACCCTTTCCGGCTTACAAGGTGCGCATGCGGTGCTCGCTCTCGCGGGAGTCGACGGAGAAACTGACTCGCTTCTCCCCCGCTCCTCCGCGTACTTGTTTCTTTGCGCACAGGGCCACTCCATCACCGCTCTCTACATCTCCTCCCCTTACCTCATCCGCTCCATCCGCTTCTACGCACAACACAAGCCCACGTCCCCTCCCTCCCTCGGCCTTCCAATCTCGACCCCTCCAGACGACGCAGCCGCCCAAGACCCCTCTCGCGAGCCTCGTGAGGACCTCGGACTCGTCCCTCCGGTCGTAGAGGTGGATGTTGCCCAGCCCGAGGAGGGGAGGAAGTACGAGGGCGTTGGGGAGGGAGAGGGATTGAGGATGAGGGAGGTGACGGTTGGGTTCGTCTTCCCGGATGTTTTGCTCGCTGAGTGAGTTGGCCATTGCTTCTCTGGCTCGCCTTTTTTCTCGTCGAACGAGGACGATGAGCTGAACATTGGCGCCGGATCACAGCGAAGCAACCGACTTCCACACCCGCATCGAGTCGCTCCTCCGCCCTTCCTCTCCCAGCGGCCCGGCGGCGACTACGACAACCGGCTCGTCACTCTTCCGCACCCTCTCGCGCGGTGCTAGCTCCCCCTCCGCCCCTCCCATCCCACCCGTAGGCGAGGGAGATGGAGGAGAGATTCCTAGCGAGACGGGCACGATCGAGATGATGGCCCCGACCCAGTCGCAGCCGAAGCAGAGGAGGAGGGGGAGTAGTTTCTTGAGGGGGATGCCGCAGGGGGATGTGTGGGTGTGAGCGGGCGAGGGGTTCGCTGGTGGTTCTCGTTCTCTCGGTTGTATGCTCTTGACCTGCGTCTCTCCTCCTCTTCCTGTACAGTTTGCTCGCGTCGTGCCGGCACTCTCACGTTCTGTATAGTCACCGTGCTCGTCGCTTCTCCGCATAGTCAACTCTCGGCTCCTCGTACATATCTCATTCTCCAGGCCGCCCTGCATTCGAGCCTCGTTCACAGTTCGTCGTCGATGCACTATATACAGAGAGCCCTGCTCGCACGCCTACCAAGGGATCTCCTTGCCGGCATAGTCAAGGAACCTCCCACCATCCTGCTCGCTCAACCCCTTGATGACATCCAACAACTTTCCCGTGGCCTCCTCCGCCCTGTGCACTCCCTCCTTCTTGCCCGCATCTTCCTCGCGGGTCCAAGGCTTCGACAAATTCGTCCCGACGACCGTTCCGGGGTGAAGGGCGACTGCGATGGAGGGAGTGGAGCGGAGAGAGAGTTCCCGCTGCAACGTCGCGATCACTTGGTTCGTGGCTGCTTTGGAAGCGCGGTAAGCGTACCACCCTCCCTTCTGGTTATCCCCGATCGACCCAATCCTCGCCGTCAAACTCGCGAGGACGCCCAATCCAGGCTGGACGACTCCGTTCGCTGGGTCTTCCTCCGGCGAGGCTGAGGACGAGGAGGACGAGTTCCGGATGTCGTTCTTTTGGGGGAGGAGAGGGTAGAAGTGTTTGAAGGTGAGGAGGTGGCCGAAGGTGTTTAGGTGGAACGAGTCGAGGAGGTGTTGCGAGTCGATTTCGCGGATGGACTTGTCGGCGTGCAACTGGGCGCCAATACGAGCGTTAGCGAACACCTCGTAGGAGGCCAAGGAGAAGAGAGGACCCACGACACCGCTGGCGTTGATGAGCAACCTCAGGCTCTTCTTCCCAAACTCCTTCTCTACCTCCTGTGCCGCCTTGCGAATAGTCTCCTCCTCCCTAACATCCACCTCAAACACCTTCAACCTGCTCTCATCCACGTCTTGCCCGTCGAGGCCGGAGAGGATCGCGCGTTTGGCGGACGAGGGGTCGCGCGAGGTGCCGACGATTGAGAGGGAGGAACGGGTGAGGAGGTGACGGGCCAGGTGGGAGCCGATTGATCCGCCTGCGCCTTGGATCACTGCGACCGAGGCGACCATGTTTGAAGTCGAGTGTGGGTGCGAGTTTGAAGAAGAGCGAGTGTGCGACGGGTGAGTGGGGGCTTGGGAGTGAAGCTGGATCTGAGCGAGTTGCAGGGCGTCAACGGCTGAGCCGTGCGCGAGTGTCCATCACGCACAGCGTTGACGAGAGAGGTCGGGCAGTCGAGGATCGAGAGAGGTGACCTTCCCAATCTGAATACGAACCAGTTGTAATCAACTATTAGACTCAAGTTTGTAATGGCTGTCTCATCGCGCTTCACTCGGCACTCAGCCGGCGCCCGGTCGAAGCCCCGCAAGAACTTGTCCTTCTCTCTTCTCTCTCAACAATGTGGACACGCTCACCGCGACAGCTGCTCGCACCGTATGCGCGACGGCTGTCGACCCAGGCAGCAGGCGGCGCGGGCATGCCACCGCCGCTCAAGGGCGTCCGCGTCCTCGACCTCACTCGCGTCCTCGCGGGGCCGTACGCGACGGTGAGTGGACATGTACACGTGCAAAGGGGTTCACTGACGCCCTGTAACCTCTGCAGATGATGCTGGCCGACTTGGGCGCAGAGGTGATCAAGGTCGAGCGACCTCAGGGAGGAGACGACACTCGCGCGTGTGCGTACTCCGCTTTCCTTCTCCCAGACTGACCTAGCTCACCGTCGTGTAACCACTCAGGGATCCCTCCCAGCGCGCCGCTCATCGAGACACCCCCACCGCCCCCTCCCTCTCCCACCTCCTCGACTCCCCAGATCCAGCCCGACAACTGGAACGACCTCCCTCCCGAGTCGGCGTACTTCTTGCAAGCGAACCGCGGGAAGAGGAGTCTGGGACTAGATTTCAAGAAGGAGGAGGGGAAGGAGGTGTTGAGAGAGTTGGTCAGGAGGGCGGATGTGTTGGTGCGCGACCTTTTCTTGACCCCATTCTCTTCACAAGCGCTTACGTGGTTTCACGCAGGTGGAGAATTACGTACCGGGTACGCTGGCGCTCGACATTCGACCGTTCGTCAACTAACGCCCACTCTCGCCTTCGCAGGTAAACTCGCCGAAATGGGTTTCAGCTACGAGCACTGCAAAGCGCTCAACCCGCGCCTCATCTACGCCTCCATCTCCGGTTCGTCTGCCTCCCCGCTCTTGCTCCTGACTTTGGCTGACGCTTTCCGTGGATAGGATACGGCCAGACGGGTCCGTTCGCGCAGAACCCGGGTTACGACGTCGTCATGTGCGTACCGCGCTCCGTCCAGGCCGCGCGCCACTGACGTGTGTGCGTGCAGTGAGGCAGAGGCCGGCTTGATGCACATCACGGGCGAGCCAACCGGTCCGCCCGTCAAAGTCGGCGTCGCCATCACCGGTCCGTCCCCATCCCTCCTCCCCTTCGCCCTCAAACTCACCTTCCTTGGCGTGCAGACCTAACGACCGGCCTGTACGCCAAATCCGCCATCCTCGCCGCCCTCCTCTCGCGCGCACAAACCGGCTCAGGCGTCCACATCGACGCGAACCTCTTCGACTCGCAGATCGCTTCGCTGGCGAATATTGCGAGTAATTATTTGATTGCGGGGAGGGAGGCGACGAGGCAGGGGACTGCGCATCCGAGGTGAGTTGCCGAGATACAGCTTGTAAGGGAGAAGGGAGAGCTGACGAGGATTATGCGCAGTATCGTCCCGTATCAGGTCTTTCCGACGCAGGATGGGTTCATCATGATCGCAGCAGGGAACGGTGCGCCGCCCATTCCCCCTCCCAGCCCTCACGTCGCTCACAATTTCTCGTACAGACTCGCAATTCAAGAAGTTCTCGGCGCTCGTCGGCCAACCCTCCTGGTCCGACTCTCCCCAATTCTCAACCAACTCCTCCCGCGTCGCCAACCGCTCGACCCTCATCCCCCTAATCGAAACCGCCCTCTCGTCCCACCCAACCTCTCACTGGCTCAAGCTCTTCAAGGGCAAGGGATTCCCCTTTGCGCCTGTGAACGATATCAAGGGGACTTTTGAGCATCCTCAGACGAGGGAGAGGGATTTGGTGAGGGAGATCGAGCACCCGAGGGCGGGGAGGATCAAGTTGGTTGCGCCTGCGGTGCAGTACAACGGCAAACGGATGGAAGTGCGTCTCTCTTCTCCCTTCTCTCGGGCTCGTGAGCTGATGGAGAGGATGTGACGCGCGCAGTTCACGCGCCCGCCGCCCGTGTTGAGGCAACATACGGTCGAGGTCTTGCGCGAGTTGGGGTATAGCGACGAGAAGATTGCGACGCTGCAGCAAAAGGGCGTCGTCTGAAGTAGAGTAGTAGACTCTGCAAAACTCGTTATCCCGTATGAAGCTGGCGCGTGAGAGACGACAGCGTCCTTTGCATGCGCGAGAACTGAGAAGGGGTTTTACCACTTCCACCGCATCCCATCACCGTCAATCCCGCCTCCAATACCCGTCCCAATCTCCCCAGCAACATCCTTCAGCTTCTTCCCATCGAACGCCCCGCTGCCGCCCGCCATGAATCCCCACCAAAGCGCGACCGCAAAGATGAGGTGCAAGACCGCTGCGACGACGATGAGTAGCCGGGCGGAGACGTTGGGCGCGTTTGAGAGGATGGGGTAGAGATTGCGCGTTAGGAAGAAGAGGGAGAGGAGCGTGCCGAGGAAGGCGAGGAAGAGGCGGAGGGGGGCGATGGGGATCAGGGTGAGCCACTGCGGGAAAGAGGCGGGTTAGTCCTGTCTCGAGCGGGTAAGAAGCAGTTGATCACGCACGGCGACGAGGATCCAGACTGTCGACTGATAGCCGTACAGACTGATGACCTCGACAGGACTTCTCTCGGAAGCGCCCGCCCAATACTTGATCGCGGCCCACATAACGACGGGCAGTCCGAGACAGTAGGTGTAGCTGAGAATGCTTTGCATGAGTGATGCGTTGCCAACTCACAGAAGGCGCGCAACTCACACGACAGAGGTTGCTGCGCCGAGACGGGTAAAGTCGTAGGCGTACTCGACGTCGTTCAGGTAGGCGCTGATCGACGACCACAGCGACGAGGTCAGGAAGAGGGAGAAGACGAGCGTCGAAGGTACCCAGAAGGGGCCTGTCGAGCGAAACGAGCGTTAAGAGGGCGTTCGAGCGAGTTGAAGGACTGAACGCACCGTAGAGATCTGGCACGCCCGCCAGCACCTCGCTCACGTAGTCTTCCGTCGGTATCAATGTCTTGTAGCACCGCGTCAGGACCGTCATCGTGTCGACATCGAACCAGCCAGAGTCTAGGGAGGGAGGTCAGCAAGGCCACACCAGCGAGTCGGATCGCTGGACGTACAGAAGTCGAGGTTCAGCACTCCGCCGCTCTTTGTCGCGCCGTCAATCGTCCCGCCGATGCGTTGCTCTGCGCTGTACAGCTGCTCGTTTGCGCGCACATGTGGGGAGGCGTTGGGAGAGATGCGCCCGCTCGGGAGGTCTGGCTGGATCGTGGTCGAGCCAAAGTCTGTCCCGAAGAGTGTCAGCGCAGTCTGCAAAACCGCCCATCGCCTTGTTGAGCCGTGAGATGACGGGACGCACTCTGGAATGAGAGATTGCCCGCCGCAGAGTCGTCGACGTCGAAGAGCGTGTCTGGTCGCGACATTACGGTCGTCTCGAGATCCGTACAGTCCAATCCAGCCAGTCAAGCAAGCCGCACGAGCGAGCTGAGCGCGATGGCACGACCTTGTCCTGGTCGAACCTCCCTCTCGCTCTTGCCGCTCACTGCTCGCACCGCTTGATACTGCTTGACCCGCTCGAAAGTTCTGCTTGAAGCTATGTCCGACACCGACGACTCTGCCCAAGCTTTGCCTCGTCCGTTCGCGTGGGATCGCCTGCCGGAGGAGCTCCAGCTGGAGGTTCTCTCCAACCTCGACTACTTCGAACTGAAGGAGGCGAGAGCGATCAGCAGGCACATCAAAGACCTAATCGAGGTGCGCCGCCTACGTACCTCCGCTCGAGAGGCCGACTTCTCGCTCACCTCTCCTCTTGCAGACCGATTCCTCCTTCGACTCGCGCCTCTTCCGCCAGAAGCCGCCCATGTGGCTCGAAACAGGAACTGACATCGAAGTGCATCCGATGATCCACGAGCTCGGCGGGATGGTCACGCTTCCTCCGCTCATCTGGAATTGTCCCGACCAAACTTCGAATGCCTTCGACTACCCGGCCGCCGACGAGTTCGCCACCGCTCCTGCCTGCACCTACCTCTTTGTCGAGCTCGGCACAGGCGATCCTCTTTACGTCCGAGACCCCACAGGCATTACCGTCCGTCTGCTCGCCACGAAACTCGCCGACTTCTGGACGACGCCGCCATCCTGGCCTCATGCTCAAGCCGTGCGACAATTCTACGGCTATGGGCAGGATGTCGAAATCACGAAGTGGCACATCTTGTGCGATCACAATGGCTGGGCAGGCTGGAGACCAGCTCAGGTTGACGAGGGTGGCGGCGTGTACCTCGCTGCGAACCGCTACGATAGCTGACGATCGCCAAGTACTATAGTACGGTGCGTTCCTCTTGTCACTCGTAATCCTGTTCTTGCCGCACCTCTTGACTTCCTTGTGCAGGTACCATACTCGGCTCGATCTTCGCGTCCTCCGCGTCCTCCAGTCAACGCGGCACCAGCGAGTTCGACTTCCGAGAGGCAGTGGTGCTGTGTAGGATCGACGTGCAACGAAGCTTGAGGTTCAGCGAGAGCACGAGAGGAGGATGTCGCTTTTGCGGTCCCACTCTTCTCTCGTCGACTCGTCCGTTCTGTTCGACTTCCGTGCTTTTCCATCGTGACACCACGCTATTAATTTACCGCTCCAGCTTGCGCACTCTGTCGGGAGGACGGACGAACTGCTGACTGCGCCTTCTCCCTCTTCCTCCTCACCTTCACTCGCACCGTCTCTCCTCGCTTCGGAGCTCGCTCATGGCCACTGCAGAGACTCTCGCTCGGGCATCTGGCCCGTCCGAAGCGCCGGTCAAGGAGCCCGCTGCGTCGCGCGCGCCGGACGAAGTCTGGTATCTCATCCTCGATGAACTCGACTACATCGGGCTGCACAGGATGGCCGGCGTGGCGAAGAGGTTTCAGAAGCTTGTCAAGGTGCGTGGCGTCGTCTGCACTCCTAAGGCCGTCCCACGAGACGCTGACAAGCTCCGCCCTTCCGCTCGCATCTTCCACCTCTCGTCGCCCGCTGCGAACGCTTCTCTACCTCCGCGTTGCTGGGTCCCATGAGCAGGACACCCGCTTCGACGACCGCCTCTTCCGCACGAAGGCTCCGAAGCGTCTGAAGCCCGGCACGCTCGTTGCGATCCACCCTCTCCTCAACGAGACCATCTGCATCTTCACCGACAAGAAGCCCGTCACCTACGCCGACATCGATCGCAACTCGGAGCGGACTGCTTTCGACTATCCTGCCGCCGAAGAATTCGCGACGAACCCCGCTTGCTCCGTCATGCTCGTCCACCTCAACACGAGCAAAGCCCTCCCCGTCACCGACCGCAACGGCGTCAAGGTCAAGCGTCTCCTGCAGCGTCTCAGCTGGTACTGGAACGCCAAGCCGCCGCTCGACATCCGCTACACCGTCGCGAGCCAGCTGGAGCTGGACCCCGAGAAGGTCGGATGGATCGACACGCTCGGCGACCGCTGCGGATGGGCCGGGTGGGAGTTTGGCAAGGTCGAGGACGACGGATCTGTCCATCTTCACGCCAACTGGTACGATTCGTGAAGGACGGCCGCCGACGAATCCGCATCTCCGCTTGTCGTCCAGTCTGCTTTCGACGTCGCTTGCTCTCGTACTCCTTCAATGTGTCTACACCTCTGCCTGCAAATCTAGCTCACAACCTACATGCGAGAAGGAGAAAGAGGAGCGAAAGCGCGGCTGACCTTCCCAACCTCGTCGAAACTCTCGTTCGCAAGGACGACGAGAATCTTGGCAGGCGCACGGGGTATGCTGAATGCAGGGTATCGGAAATTGCCTCTATGCGCAATCTACACGCCGAAGTTGAGAGCCGTCTCGCGAAGCTGTAACCGGACAGTCCGCTCCGCCGGCCAGTCGAACACAACCCATTCGAGCGTCGCCGCAAGTGTCATGAGAGCTGCACGAGCGTTAAAAAGCCAGTTAGCCACTCGGACGGGCGCGAGGCGAAGGCGACACTCACACTCGTCCCCGACGTGAAAGTCGTACGTCTTGTAAGGCGTCGCGGACGAGCTGCTGCCTTGACGCGCAGGTGCCCCGGACATGAACATGCCGAAGATGCCGCCGCTTACGCGCCAGACGACGACGCGGTTCTCCTCGAGCGACACCGTCACGAGGCGATGGCCGTCCGGCGACCAGGACAACGCGGTGACAGGGTGCTTGTGGCCCTCGAGCACGTAGAGGCGCGTGGCGGTCCGCAAATCGTACACGATGGCGGCGCCTTCATGTGTACCGACCGCAAGGCGCTGCGAGCTGCCGTGGAAGGCGACCGAGGGGAAGCTGGGGACTCAACCGAAGGTCAGCTTGCTAGCTCTTCCGCACTCGGAAGTTAGCGCACGTTCTAACGAGCTCGTTGAGGATGAAGGTAGCTGTCTGCTGCACGGTCTCGCGCAGCGACGAGATCTTCGGATCGAGCGACTTGACAACGGTCTCGACGAGGCGAGGCAGGTTCGAGTAGAGTATGAGAGGTTTCTGCAAGCGAGAAGTTAGCCAGCCTGCAGACCGGCCGCTGATGTGAGGACTAACCTTGCGAATGACGAAACCGAGGAGTTTGAGGGTTGCGTTGCGAGCCTGCGCTGTCGGTGCGTTGAGGATATCGAAGATGAGGGTAGTCATGAAGAGAGGGGTATTCGAGCTGGCGACGTGAAGCGTTGCGTTGCGTGCCAGAATGCGTAAGTCGCCTGGAGTCGAGGGGTTGCGGCCGATCGCAATGGCGAAGAGGTTTCGGACGAGCGACATGGCGTCGACGTAATTCTGCCAGACCGCAAAGCCGCGCGAGCACAGCTCGGTCGCCATTGCTTGATGGTATGGATGCTCCTCGTCCTCAAGATATGCGGCGATTGACGAAGCCATGTCCTTGAGAACTCTGCGAAAGGAGGCGGAGTGAGCCAGTGCGAGGGAAGAAGCTCTGCAGGAAAGTTGAACGCACGTGCTAGACAGCAGGCTGTACCGGTCGATAGCGACAAGGCCAATGAGAAGGAAAGCATGGTCGGTTTGGCGGTGTGGAGAAGCCTCGCTGGATCTTTCCGCGGGAACTGCACAAGAAACGGCGTCAGCATGCGCACGCCGCCGCACTTGAGGGCCGAGTGACTGACGGTGATTCCTCCAAGACTCGACGAGAGCGAGGATGTCCTCGTCCTCCATGGAGGCGAGGTAAGTGCCGAATAGCGAGCGCGCGGCCTGCTGCACTTCGGCTGCGAACGAAAGGGTCAGCGGTGTGAGGCGAAAACCTGCAAACGAGGGCTCACCATTTTTGTCGAGCCAGAAGGAACCGAGGACTTCGAGCGATGGCGGAACAAAGCTTGGTCCGACGGCGCCAGCCAAGCAGGAGGCGTAGTAGACGATTGCCTCGCTCGCAACGCGCTCGAGGTCTGCGAGGCACTCTATCAGCACAGTATCCACGAGGAATCGGAAGCGGGCGCACCTGGGTAGTTGAGGAAGAGTCGGAGAAGGCAGACAAGCTGAAGCAGCCGGCGGGCGGTCAGGCTGGAGGAGATGCCCCATGCCTCGTCCGAACGGATCGCATTGATCATCGCGTGGCCGTCGTTGCTGCATGGTATGCTGTCAGTCTCGAACACGTGAAGAGGAGGTGAGCAAGCGCACTCCGCTCCGCACACGCCAACGATCGCAGGCAAAGGCTCTATCTCGAGATCGTTCAGGATATCCTTCAGCCCGACATCGTTGACAGGCGCCGCGAGGCTGGCGATCAGACGCCTAGCGATCCGGTAGTGATCGATTGAACCGGACGTCCCATTCGCGTCGCAGACATCCTTCGACAAGTTCGGGGAACCGTCCGGCGTCTCTTTCGCTTCGGTCTCCTGCTTCGAATGGGTTGACCAAGGGAGACTCCGCGTTGCGTTGTCAAGGAGCTGGCGAAGGTCGAGGGTGATGGCATCGGCTGAGTATAGCCCGCAGTTAGCCACGCGTGTCAACGTCGTGCAAAGCTGGTCTCACCGATGGGTGCATTGTTCGGACGCTCGCTGCGCCTCGCGCGGAACCTGCAGAAAGCCGGATCAGCAACGCAGGGGCGGACGAGATCGGCGAGCTCACCACGTCGACCAGACGTCCTCCGCCAAGACGCTCTCGGTCGTCTTTCGATCCATGCTGCGCCGAAGCTCCCTCGTGGCGATGTCGCAGACTCGAGCGAGACCTTGCTCGTAAAGGACGAGGATCTCGGTCTGGCTGAGGGCGATGAGCTCGACGGCCGATCTTGTGCCAGGCAGCGTGAAGAGATGTCGCGGAGGAAAGAGCGAGACGAAAGCGACGGGCGAATTGGCGGAGACGAAGGCGACACTGCCATTGAGCGCAGGTGGCGCATGGACGGTCTCGGACGTCGAGATGAAGGCGAAGTCCGTGACGGGAGAAGCGAAGAGCGTCCAGCGCCCGAGACAGTCCCAGTCCCTGCGCGCAAGACGTTAAGGACAATGAACGGTGACGGACATCACGCGGAGACGGGAACGAACGAAAGATTCCACGCGGCGGCGTTTCCGCTTGAGGTACCGGCGATAACGACTTGACGACCTGCCAGCTCGACGACGTCAAGGAGCGTGATTGCGCCGAGAAGCTCGCGTTCGCTACTCGCGGAGTGAGCGTTGTCTGGACCAAGCGAGAGGACTGCAACAGCGCCGGTGTCTGCGAACCCAGCGTCAGCGACGAGACCTACCATTCAACAGGTGCAAGACGCACTGTACCCGACAAGGAAGACTCCAGCGTCCAGCTCCTTGGTCTTCGTGACGATTCGATCCGCAGTGTGCGAAGATGGCGTATAGAGAATCGTGGCATCCGATTCGTCCGTCGACTCGTCGCCCTTGCGACTGGCTGTGCGGAGGAGAGAGAGGAGCCGTTCGCTGCCCTTGAGCCGATGGACGAAGAGAGCGCCGCTAGAGTAAGAAGCGAGTCCTTCGACGCGGTCGTCGATCTTGGCCGTCGCGGACAGGCGAAAGCTGCGGGGACGAACTTCAGCTGCGCGCTCGTCCTCTCGCCGTAAGCGTGACTTACGCTTCGGAGGTAGCGTCAAGCGAGAAGTCGTATAAGCAGACCCGCTGCTTGGCTGCAACGCTGATGGTCCTTCCATCTTCCCCGACCGAGATCATCTTGACGTCCTTGATCTCCAGCTTCGGAATTTCGCGTGCAGGTCCGCTGGCGAGGTCAATGACCTGCTGATTCCAGGTCAACACAGCCAGCCCGCCGAGAGTGCATGGGGAGAAACGCACCGAGATGCCGTCGGAACCGTACGCCGAAATGCGCGAGTCGAGCTTGCGGATGCCGCTGACGCTTTGTAAACTGTCTGGCAGTCCGATGCGGCGCTTATTGGAGAAGGAGAGTCGCGCAGATTGATGCTCGTCGAGCCCGGCCTCGAGCGACATGACTCGAGCGCACAACTCGTTAGGACCCGTCGAAGCAGGCGCGGAGAGGTAGACAAGATGTTGCAGACCTGCGAATCCTCCTCAGGTCAGCCTCGCAAGCGTGCAGCGCTGATCGCGGCCAACTCACCGTCGAGGTCGACCACAGCGACGCTATCCTTCGCAGGCGAGTTCTGACCAAGACGCGTAGATGGACCTGCCGTGTACGAGCGCAGATTGAGACTGACTGCGGTGTTTGGCGAACCGCGCGCGATGCAGAGGGCGAACGGTGTCTGCCAGTATAGAGAGAGTGAGCGAGCGACCTGGAGCGACAAGGAAGGGTCGGACAGACCTGCGCAACTTCGCAAACGAGCAGGTCGCTGAACCTCGCGGTAGCTTGAGAGGAGCCCGATTCGGTCAGTCCGCACGAAGCGAAGATTCGCCCGTCGAGAAGCGAAACGAGGGAGAGATGGCTGCGAGTTCCGTCCGGTCAGCCAAGAACGCTGCCATGTGTCGAGAAAGACGCACCCGTTTCGTCGAAGCACCAACAACGCATCGCCCTCGCTCGTATCAGCGCATTCCAGTCCCGAAATCACCGCGAGACCGGCTACTTCGCCCGCACCGCCCGTCCTGACTTTCAGCATCGGTACCAACTCCTTCAGCGCTTCATCCATTCCATCTGCGTCGGCTGCCGGCGCCTCATCAGCTGGGTCTAGCGGAGGCTGCTCCAACTCTTCGTCCGGACTGAGGAGGCTGGCGGAGCTTGAAGTCTCCCACAGACCGATACCCGTCGCGATACTATCCTTCGCTCGCGAATGTGTGCGCTTGTGCGGCGTATCGGGTGTAGACGACCCCTCCTTGCGGCTCGAAAGGGAAGACGAGGAGAAGACGAAGTGAGGGATGGAGGAGGTTGTCGGGGAGAGCGGGGTCGGCGATAGAGGTGGAGAAGGCGACGCGGGCATGTCGAGATCGTTCAGACTCGTTGAAGAGACGGAAGCGGCGGAGGAATGGGTGTGAGAGGCGGTAGCGGGTGTCGCGGCGGAAGTTGACAGAGATACCGTTGCGCTCGCTTTTCTCGGACGCGAATGCGTGCGAACGAGCTCAAAGCTCGTCAGTCGGTCTGGGGTTGTACCAGGTACTGGACTGGCGGAGGTAAGGGAGGAGATGCGCTTGGTGCGCGCTGTTGCGTTGGTGGCGAGGGACGCGAGCGAGCTGCTGGAAAGCCGAGAGCTGAGGCGCGGCGAGGAGATAGGCCGCGGGGATTTGTTCGATGCTGAGAGAGGAGGTGGTGATGGAGATTCGAAACTGTGCGTCGTGGCGTTGTCTGGCGAGAGGAAGGCTTCGCGCGAAATTATCCTGCCGTCTGGAGGAGGCGGACTCTTCGGCGCGTTCGACTGAGCGGCATCGTTCTGGTGTTCTGGCGAGCCCGTCGGCGGCGCAAAGACCCAAACCGTCCCATCCTCACATCCCACAGCAACTCGCATGGAGCTGGCTGACCTCGTCGTCCAGTCTTCCGCCTTTCCCGAACTGCTTCTCCGCCTCGCAGTCCGCATCTTGATTGTTCCCGTCACCATGGCCGTAACTCGACCGCTCGTCTCCTTCATCCAGGGCGGAAGACCCGACTCGTCCTGCTCGTTCCGCCAGTCCTCCTCGCCCATCGCCGCTGACAGGTCGCCCGCGCCATGAGGATAGAGTACGTGGTGTCTGTCCGCAAGCGCGCTGGCGAAGAGCGGACTCAGCGGCGCCGTAGACTGTCCTGGCCCTCTGACCTCCTCATCTCGGACGTCCTCCTTCTCCGCCTCCTCCGTCCGTACAGCTCCTCCTTCATCCTCAGGTCCGTTCTCAACGTCCCAGCATCCAGCAGCCGCGTCAAGTTCGTCGAAAACGTCGGGAGAACCGCCGAACTCGGAGGTCAATGATGGCGGTGGGGGAGTTGGAGGAAGGAGGTCGGCGAGCGGGAGAGAGACGTGTAGTGGCTGGGAAGATAGCGCTGAAGGTACTATGGGCGCAGAAATCGCCATCAAGCTCGTAGCGCGGAGAAGCTGACAGCGAGTGAGGGGTGGAAGGGAGACCTTCGAGTCGAGAGGTCTCGTCAAGCGTCAAGACGGGCCGCTTCTTTTCTCTTTGAAGCTTCGCGAATCACTCTCGAGAGCAACACGATACGCAAGACCGAAGAAACGGGCTACGTTGCGGCGAGGGAGACTCTGCAGACTACGCGGTCCGCCTACGCCTCTCCCGCTGTGAACTCCGTTGCGAGTGTCTCGTCCATCAACCTGCCACCGAAAAGAGTCGGTCAGAGCGTAGCGCAGAAGAGGACGACGGAAGGAGACGCACCTCTCGAACCGCTCCCACAGCAACTTGGCGCAGTACCCGACACTGTCTTCGCCCTCATCGCCATTGAACTGTATCGCATTCGCGCACAGCAGCGCAACATCCCTCATTAACTCGGTATTGGTCGAGATGGCCCCGCTCTTGATCGCCTTTGTGATGTCGCGGAGGCAAGTCGGGCGGCGGACAGCGACGTTGTACATCGGCGCGATCGACTTGGTCACGCGCGATTCGAAAAAGTGCGAGTAGCGCTCCGCTTGGAGTTGCTCGACAATGCGGGTGAAGGCGACTTTGCGGCGTTGAGCGGCGGCCTTGGTGTCTTTCTCTGCGAGCACGCATCCTGGTCAGCGAAAGCCGCGACTCCTGCCAGCAAGTTCAGTGACATACCACTCTCCTCGACCGGCTCCTCCGTTGTCTTGACCCGTTTCCGCTTTCTCCCGCCATCGTCCGCTGCGCCAGGTGGAGGTGAAGCCGCAGGCGGTTCGCTGACCTTGCGCTTCTTGGCGGCTGTACATCGCGGGCGAAGCACCAAGATGACAGTCAGTATGCAATCGCAGACAGATGGGTTGCGAGCAGACCTGCGGACGTACCTCGTTTCGCCGCCGTAGCTGCGGCAGTCCTGCCCTTCCTCCTCCCGCCCTTCTTTGGCTTCGTCTCCTCCTCTTCCTCTTCTTCTTCCTGCTCGTCCTCTCCCTCTTCCTCTTCTTCGCCTACACCCTCTCCCTCCTCCTCTTCTTCTTTTACAACCGCCTCATCGACCACAGCCTCTACCTCCTCTTCCTCATCGACCGTCCCAGCTCTTCCAGCCTTCTTCGTCCGCCCGCTCTTCCGCCCCCCACCGCGCTTCTTCGCGGCCTTCTTAGGCGTCGTCTCGCTCTCGCCCTCTTCCTCCGCTTCGCCCTCTCCTTCAGCCTCGCCATCCGCACCAGCTTCAGTCGCAGCAGAAAGAGGCTTGCGAGCGCTTGAGGAGCCCGAAGGACCGGCTTCGGCGTTTGCTGCTCCTGAGGAGGTTTCTGCGGGTGCGGCGGCTGCGAGGGCCGAGTCCTTCTTTCCCTCTCGGATCTCGGCGATCTCGGCATTCAATCGTCTGCTCCACTCACGACGCATCAGCAGACGAGACGCAGGAAATGAGGGAGAGAGAGGCGCACGCTTCTTCAGCGTAGGTCGAGAGGAGCGAATCGCGGAGGGAGGTGAGGAGGGAGGCGTAGAGCGTGTGGACGAGCTTGCGCGCTGGTCGTGCTGCAGGTTTTATGTTCGTCAGTAATGCTCAGAGCGAAAGACGTGGCGAGAAACGAGTTCGCACCTCGAGGTTGTTGACAGCCAGTCCTGAAGCGGCAGGAACGGACGGTCAGTTCTCCTTGAAGCGGTTGACAGCGGAGAGACCGCTCAACGCACACGTCGAGCCCCTTCTTGCGCATCAGCACCTCGAAAGCCGCCTCATACCCCTGCGAAACGGAACAAGCAGAGTGTCAAAACTGCTCTTTCGCTGCCCGCGAACTTTGGCGCGCACCTGGCTCGTCATCCTCCCCGCCTCTTTTGGCCAGCACTCGCTCTGGTCCAGCATCTCCGCAACCCGAGTCCAGTCTGCAGTCCCGAGCTGGACGACCGCTTGAGCGAGGAGGAGTTTCGCTTCGAGCGGGGGTTCGGTGACGACTGGGTGATCTGTCAGGGGTTGCTGGACGGGCAAGTCGGGCGCGTGGGCGGTGATGGCCATGTTGTAAGGGCGTGAGGAGAGCGTGTGTTGATGAGAATAGTCAGGGCGGGTGAGTCGCTGTGGGCGGATGTTTGGCGGGGCGTGAGAAAACCTGTAGCCTGTCTGAGCGCAATGAGCTGCAGCACGAGTCCAGCAAGCGCTGTGAGCGAGTGGTCGAAGGCAGAGAGTCCGCTCACGACCAAGTCCCACTTCGCTCGCCAGCAACAGCTCCTGGGCGGACAGGAATACCAGCTAACGACACACGAAAAGGTGCTCTGAATTGTCCATGCTGCAGCGGATTTTCCTGCGAGCTCTGCCCCACCGCTCTCCTCATCAGCACGCCAGCTTGCTCTCGCCAACTCACCTCGCTGGCAGCGATGACAGGCTCAGCGTGGCCACCAGAGCTCTCCAAGGAGCACGAGCAACACGTGCTCGACCATGCCGCCGACTGGGCGCTCGCTCACGGCCTCGTCCTCCGTCCTCTCGACGCCTCGACAACGTCCGCCATCCACGCTCCTTACTCGCTCTTTCCGTCGCCGTTCCCGCGGCACTTGTTCGAGGAGGCGAAACGACTCCAGCCGCTGTACAACGACCTCTATGCGCGCATCACGGCCGACGACGCCTTCCTTGAACAGGTCGTCGGAGGAGCAGTCAGCAAGGTCGACGAGTTCCAGGGCAGGCTGTACGAGATCTGGAAGCAAGTCAAGAAGGAGGGCATCAAGCAGGTGAGCTGAGTCGTTTCCCGTTCGCTTCGCACTCCCGCTGACCTAAGCCTTCGCAAACCTTGCCCCCGATAGCCCCTCGCGCTGGGCTTGTTCCGCTCCGACTACCTGATCCACGCACCCGAAGGGACGTCGCCAGACCAGTACGAGATCAAGCAGGTCGAGTTCAACACGATCTCGAGCTCGTTTGGCGCGCTGTCGTCTCGAGTTACCGAGTTGCACCGGTGCGTTTGCTTCCTTCACTTTAGAGTGCTCGCTTGATGCTAACGACTTTGGGGCACAGCTACCTCGGCGCGAGCGGCGTATACCCTGCCCACCCTTCCCTGACTACCTCCGCCCTCCCCCCAAATGCCGCCCTCTCCGGTCTCGCCGCCGGACTCGCTGCCGCACACACGGCCTACGGGAAAAACGAGGCTGTCGTTCTGATGGTCACGCAGGACAACGAGCGGAATGTGTTCGACCAGCGGCCGCTCGAGTACGAATTGATCGAGAAGTGCGTTGCGCAATTCGTTCCTGCTCAAACCTGATCGCTGATGACACGTCGTGCGACAGACACGGCATCCGACTTCTTCGCATCCCCTTCTCTCAGCTCCGCACTACCCTCTCGCTCGACCCCTCGACCCACGCCCTCCTCTACACGCCCCCCTCGCCCGTCGCCTCGCTCCCCTCGCCGCTCGAGATTTCCCTCGTCTACTACCGCACCGCCTACGCTCCAACCGACTACTACACCCCCGCCGAATGGGACACCCGACTGCTCATCGAGCGCAGTAAGGCGATCAAGTGCCCGAGCGTGGGGATGCAGCTTGCGGGAGCGAAGAAGGTCCAGGAAGTGCTTGCTTCGCATCCCGAGGCACTGGAGAGGTTCGTTCGAGCGGAGAAGGGCAGGGACGAGTTGAGGCGGACGTTTACCGAGTTGTATCCCATGGACGACTCAGAGTTGGGAAAGGAGGCGCTTCGAAAGGCGTATGAAGAGTCCGGACGGTTCGTGCTGAAGCCTCAGCGCGAGGGTGGAGGGAACAACATCTACCGAGGGGACATCCCGCCGTTCTTGGATCGCCTGGCGGAGGAGGACAAGCGGCGAGGGATTGAGGAGCAGAAGGGTGCCGAGGCGCGAGGAGAGGGCGTCGAAGCGCAGCCGAGGGGAAGGGAGGGGTACATCCTGATGAGCCTCATCGAGCCGCCGAAGGGCATGGAGCAGGTTCTCGTCAAGGCGGGCGAGGACAAGGGCAGGAGGGCGGACGTCGTCAGCGAATTGGGCATCTACGGCGTCGTCCTCCTTCGCGAGAACATCGACGATGCGACAGCGCCGCCCGAGGTGCTGGTCAACGAGACAGTCGGGCATTTGTTGAGGACCAAGGGGAGGGAGAGCGATGAGGGTGGAGTCGCGGTCGGGTTCAGCGTGATAGACTCGCCCATGCTCACTGATTGAGGGCGCTAGACGGGCAATACAGGCGCATTCAGGATTACTTTGCCCGCCGAGAAGCACCAAACGAGAGTCAGAGTCGCGATTCGCTTTTCTCCGGCGAGGCGAGAACGGTGTGCATTGGGTTGTCTCTAGCTAGATATGTACACAACGATGTGTCAGGGGAGGACAGGAGAGGGGCTGCTGAACAGACGCGGGAGGAAGAAAAGGCAAGGGATAAGGTCGGGATCGCTCAGGCGAGGGTCGGCTCAGGCGGGTCGATCTCCTCCGACGAGATTGTAGGCGTCTCCTCTCCAGTCTGCTCGACCTCAATGTCCGCCACGATAGCCGTCGTCTCCTCCGCCGCTACGTCGCCTTCGGGGGTGACGACAGCGTCCGTCTCGACATGGACGAACGAGCCGCCCGAGCTGGGCGAGCTGTCTTCGCCGTTCTCGCTTCCCGCCGTTGCCGCCGCAGGGACCGCGATCGTCGACGACGAGCCCGACGCGCCCTCGACTTCTTGCAGGAGCGGCTCGGTCGACGACGAGCTCGGCCCAGACGAGGCAGAGGCGGCGGAAGCGGCGGCGTTGATCTCGAGTGAGATGAGCTCCATGACGAGGTCGAAGACGGCGGGAGGCTGGGTCTTCTGGTAGATCATCAGGAGCTCCTGCGGTGCCGGGTAGACCTTGAGGGCCTTGTAGAACGAGATGGCCGACGCGACGTAAAACTCCGGGGCTGTGGTACGTGCGTCCGAGTCAGCTCGACGGCTCAGGTAGAAAGGAAGCGATGCGGAACTCACAGCGAGCGGCGAGCTGCTCTCCGAGGGCGACCTGCTCCATGAAGAACTGCTCCTTGCCCTCGGCCGTCTCGGGGACTGCGAGTCAACCTTGTCAGTTCGGTTTATTCTGAGCCGGCCTCTGCCAGCTCCAACGACCTGGAAACAGAATCGCTGGCTGCACTCACCCTTCTCGGCGTTGACGAGCGCGAGAGCCCGGGTCAGCGCCGCCTTGACCTGCTCCTTTCCGACCTCCTGCTTCTGCTTGACCTTCTTCTCAAGCTTCTTGTGCTCGCGCTCTACAGGCACCCGGTCGAGACGAAGCGCGGGTCGCATGACATTTCGGAAAGTCAGCGATGAGGCGTCCGAGGGAGACGAGAGCGAGACGCACGGATCTTGCGGCGGAACTCGGGGTCGGTGCGACGCTTGTGGTCCCAGTAGGCGGCGTATGCGACCGTGCCCACCGCGATGGTGCCGACGACGGCGCCAGCAATCTTGAGGCCGGTTCGAAGAGATGAGCTGGGCGAGTACGAGTCCATGGCGAGGGCGGCGCTGGCTGTGGTCTGCTGTGTCGACTGTCTGTGCGATGAAAGAGCCTAGCTGCAAGCCTGTCCAAGCCGAGCGAGTTGTGTGAGAGCAGCGAGAGCGTAAGTCGAGAGGCGATGAAGAGTTTGTATTCGGTTGATTACGGCGGCGTTTGTATTCAGCTCATTACAACTGGACCGCTGCCTCTCTTGCTCGTCCCGACTCGCGTACTGCTCATGGTCTGGTCGTGGTGGACTGCTCTCGCCCCTGTAAAGGCTTGCTGGCTCAGTCTCCCGCTCAGGCCTCTTCGCACTCTCCTCTCCCGCTCGCGCCTTCTCCCCTCGTCATGCTCACCGCTGCTCTGCTTTGAACAACTGACGGTGGACAGTAACGTCCCTGTGAGTCCTGGTGGACGTCTCGAGACCGTCGTGTGCTTAGCTCAACCTCCCACAGGGCGTTGCCGTCTCTTCACGACCTTACGAATCCCTCACGACCCCTTTACGACCTCTTGGACGACTCTTTGAACGACGGCTACGACCTCTCACGACCCTCACGAAACGCACGACACCCCCCGATCTCTCTAATAACGCAACACGGGCGACACAACGATGTCTTCGACTCTCGCTCTCGCTTCCCGCGCTTTGCCTGTCCAGACGCTCGCATCTGCAGTCTTGACAGCCGCACCTACGCCTTTCTTACTCTCTGACGACCACTCGAACGCCATCTACTCTGCCCTCGTCGCCTACGCCTCTCGCCAAGCCGCTGCACCCGTTCCGACGCCCGCCTCCCTCGCCCGCGTCCCCCCAATCTCGCTCGCCGCCTCTCCCGCCGTGACGGGCTTCCTGACTTTCCGCCTCGCCGACCTGCCGAAGGCAGTCAGCATCGTTCTCGGCGTTTGGCTCATCTTGCTTGCGCTCGTCTCGCTCGTCGCGGGAACGAGGCTCCTCATCGTCGGCGCTGATGCCGGTACCGAGAGGGGCAACGACGATAAGAAGGGCTGGTTGGCTGGGGGAATTGGCGGGATGCTGTTCGGATCGGTCGCACTCGGTGAGCTGTTCCCTACTCATGTGCGACGAGCACGGTTCTGACCTTGCAACGTCCAGGCGCCGTCTCCACGGTACTCCTCCTGCTCATTGTCTCGAAGCACTCGAGCTCGTCTCTCGGAGGCTGGGCGACTCTCGCAATCATCTTCATCCCAGGACTCCTCGGCGCAGTTGTGGCGGGACGCTGGAGATGGGCTGCCAAAGGGGCCTACGGGTTCCTCGGCGGGTGCGTACGAAGCCCTTCGCTCGCTGAAGTGCTCAGGCTGACGCCACTAAGACGCAGCCTCTCGTTCACCCTCCTCCTCATCACTTCCCTCCGACTCGGTTCGATCACCGCACGCCTCGCCATTCTCGCCGTCTTCCTCGTTCTTCCCGCCGTGTTCATCCCGTGTACGGAGCGCTACGGCCTGTCCATCGCCGCAGCAGCAACGGCTTCCTACCTTCTCGTCCTCGGCATCGACATCTTTTGTCACTTCGGCTTCGTCGACGCTCTCGGCTTACTGGTCGCCAAGAATGGCGTCAGTTCAGCAGGAGGCAAGGCGGAGACGGTTGCTGTCCAGTGGGCGTCGACGGGCGGAAAGGGCTTGATCGCGGCTTGGTGGATCCTGTTCCTGCTCAGCGCGGCGTGGCAGACTTGGTGGGGTCTCGGCGACGAGGGAGACAAGGTACGCTCGTCAAGCGATCTTGTTCAATCCTGCAGCGACTCACACTATGCTCGCAGACCTGGAACGCCTACCTCTCGCAGTTCATCTCGACCCACCCTTCGACTCCAAGCGGCACTCACCTCCCTCCTCTCTCGCTCACAGAGCGTCTCCTCTCCCACATCCCCTTCTTGCGCCGCTCATCTTCGCCGTCCAAGTTCACCGATCTCCCGCAGCGCCGAGTCGTGCCGTGGGACGACCGCGAAGACGCCGCCTCGACCGTCTTCGACATCGAGAAAGGCTTTGCAGCGACGGAAATGTTCGGTTCGGGTCGCTCGTTCGGTGGAAACAAGGCGGACGCGTCGGACGCTTGGGATAGCGATGTTGAGACGCTCGCTGGATTTTCGTCGAAGCGGCGGGGCAACCCTGCGTATCCGACTTCGCCTACGTCCCCTACTCGAGCGTCGAAGCCAGCTCAGTACGGTACAATCTCGACTCGCTTCTCCGACGACGAGGATGACGAAGCGCCTGTTTCGGACGAGAAGGATGGGTTGTGGACGGCCAGTCGCGGCAGCATGGACAGCTCGACGTCGTCCCGCCCTTCGCTCGGGCAGCGCATGAGCTCGAGCGGACTGAGCGGGTCGACGGCCGTCTCGTACCGCTCGACAGAGCTGCGCAAAGGGGCGTTCGAGGAGATCGAGGAGGAGGATGGCGAGTCGGACCTCGAGCGCGACGCCGTCCTCCCACTCGCGCCGACGACCCACAAGCACGCCTCCGACACGATCAAGAGCAAGGTGTCGGGCTTGTTCCGATTCGGCAAGAAGACGGCACCTGCAAAGTACAAATGCGTTGAGCTGCGAGAAGCTCCGAGCGGCGCAGTCCCAGCTACTCCGTCTCTCATTCGCGCGATCGACCGCATCAAGGTCGCGCAGCAACAAGCGCGAGGTGCTCCGCTTGCTCGTCACAACGAGTCGGCGTCGCCAGAAATGCGGGAGGCGCAGAGCGGCGGAAGTACGCCTGTCCGGAAGCCGAGCGTGACGAGGGAACGTCGAGCATCGATGGACGATTGGTGGAGTAAGGTCGTCAAGAAGAGCGAGGGGCAGTAATTCCGTAACGGCCTCGAGCGGTTCTTTCCTTTTCTCTCACGCCTAATCTCGTTAGATAGCCTTGTTGTTCTCCCCTGCAAGTATCGATGGACAGTCTCGCGTGTTCGAACGCGCGAGTTGCAGACTACCGTGCCAACAAGGCCCTCGCATCCTTCATCAGCCCCTCAAGCGCGCTCAGCCGATCCTGCGGCTTCGCCATCTGCCCGCGTCCGTTCAACAACCCTTTCTCCTCGCCCGCTATACCGTTCGCACCAACTTGCTTCTTCGGACTGTTCGTCTCGGAGGGCGCCGCACTCGCTCGTCGCTTCTTCCGCGGCGTCAGGATCGGCTGCGCTGGTCGAAGCCGGTCTTCGAGCGTTGCGAGCGCAGACTGGACGTCCTCGATTGCGCCGGGAAGCTCGTCGTCGAGCGAGCCTTGCAGCGTCTTCATCGGCGAGAGCGTCTCAAGGACAAAGACAGCGAGGTGTTCGAGCAGGACGCGTGCGAGCGAGACTGCGGACCGGGTCAATCAGCATGACTCGTGCAAAGGAAACAGCCAGGCAGACGTACGGTCCGACGCAGGCGGTTGCTGCGCGAGAAGGGTCGCGAGGTCCGGGAAGTTGCCGCTCGACTGGAAGTCGGGCAGAGCGGCGAAAGCAGCGCAGTCGGAGCGGAAGGTGGAGGCGTTAGGGAACTCGGGGAGGATGATTTTGGCGCGAGGTGGAGGAGAAGCGACGGCCTCGCTGTGGGCGATGATGTCCTCAAGTTGACGAAGATATGTCGTCGTGAAGTCTCGGGCTGGGAACGATCCGTATTAGTTCGCTTGTGGGAGGAAAGACGGATGGCGGTACACACCTGCAGACGAGTCGTGCACGACTTTGCAAGCCCGTGCCAAACTTGCTCGCCAAACCTCTACAAGCGGGTTGAGGAAGGCTGCGGGCATCCCTCGTCAGCTCGTGATGGCCAGAAGAGGTCGCGAAGGGCACTCACAGCTGAAGGGGCGCGGGATGCGCTCGTTGCGAACGACGACAGGGAAGAGGAGTTTGGCCGTCTCGACGTCGAAGTTGGACTCGGCACCGTCGAGGCGCATGAGGTCGATTGCCCAGCTGCGAATGTCGACAAAGGCGTCGAGCCGGAGCTCTGCTGCCAGCTCGGCCTTCATAGCGGCCTCGTCCGCCTCGCTCAAGGCGCGGTCGGGGCAGAGAATGATGAGAAGTGCCGGCTTGAAGAGCGACTTCTGCGCGACCTGGCCGACAAGATGGTTCAGGCGTTGCCGTGCGGCGTGCCAGCTGGGAAGCGAGCATCAGCAGGCGAGCTGTCCGCAGGACTCGATGAGACGTACTCAGGCGAGGATCCCTTCGATTTCGTGCAGTCGAAGACGAGGAGGCCGGTTGTGCGGAGTTCCTGCGACGGAATGTTGATCAGTCTCAAGAGCCTCCGCATCACCCGGGACAACGCACCGACTCGATGGGCTGATGGCGTTCGCCGAGGAGCCGCACCTCGACGTCGACATTGGGAGTGTCGATCTCGGCGAGACCTGACTCTTGTCGGATGTCGAACTTGCACGCGAGCCAAGCACCGAACGGCGATTCGGTGTCGGTCGTTGAGGCGAGTGTGGACCAGGTGGGACGGAAGGGTAGGCGATGCGAGGAAAGGGCTGCCGAGGCATGTTGCGAGAGGATGTCGAGGAAGGTGCCGCGAGACCAAATCCGCTCGCGCGTTTCAGCTGCCGTTCGCAGCTTCGTGACGAGGTCGTCGTCGACGGCATCGCGAGGCTTGTCCGGTTGTCGAGCGGCGTCGAGCGAGAGACTGCCAAAGTCAAGTCCTGCATCGGCGAGACCAGCAAGACCGCCGTCTTCCTCCTCGTCCACCATCTCGTCCAATTCATCCTCGTCGCTCGCGCCTTCGTCGTCCTCCGCCCGGCTTGCCTTCGTCCGCTCGATTGTGCCGACCACCTCTTCCCACTCCTTCCGCCGCGCCCGTTCCTCCGCCTTGTGGACAAGGCTTCGCTGCGTGACCCGCCTCCAGCGCTCGAGCGATCGTCGCTGCGAACGTTGTCGTCGGACAGCATCGAGTATCGCCTCCCGCGCAGCCAAGCTGGCCAACTCGTCGTAAGCCTGGTGCGCCAGACGCTGTGCAAGTGCATCCTTCGCTTCGCGCTCCTTCGCCTTCACTTCCGCCCACCGCTCCTTGAGGACGCTTGCACTCGCCCGCTGGACCGGCGCGACGACGGCGGTCGCGAGCAACTCGGCTGTCAAGTCGCGGACGAGCGAGTCGACAAGGGCTTGGCGCCGTGCAAGTGCTGCAGCAGCGACAGTCGTTGCAGGAGATGCAGCTCGAGGCAGCGAGACGCGTCGCAGGCCTTTCGCTGCAATCGGCGATGTTGCGGATGGGCGGCGAGGGGAAGGTACGGGTTTTGGTAAGGCAGGCGGAGCAGGAGAGGGCGTGAAGGAAGGGGCTGTGCCGGCTGTTCGGAGCGAAGAAGGTGGAAGTCGTTTGGCCGGTCGCAATGTGCTAGGCTCGGCGGGGCTGGGGAAGGCAGGAGGCGCAGGCGCACTCGATGCGGGTGGCGGAGCGGGCGCGAAGCTGAAGGTCGGCAAGGAGGCTGCGGCAGTAGTCGCGGGCGGAGGTGCTGGAGGTGCCGCCGCTTTCGGCAACGAGAAAGACGGGACGAATGGCGAGGCGGTGGCGTTGAGGCCGGTAGAAGTACTGGCGGCAGGAGGCGGGACGGGAGAGGCGCCGAAGGGAGGCGTCGCGAAGGGCGAAGGTAGAGGAGAGGAAGAGGCGGCACCGAATGCTGGCGGAGCGAGAGTGGAAGGTGCGGGAGGTGGTAGGGATTGCGGAACGCTTGTCGCGGGAGGTGCTGCCGAGAACGCGAAAGTCGACTGCGAGGCGACAGCAGGAGTCGCTGGGATCGCCTCAACGTGCGCGCACGAGTAGTCGCCTCCATCGATGACAGCTTGGTACGACGTTTCGCCTCGCTTGCCTTCGACGAGGCGCATCGACACCTTCGGCTTGAGCGTCGCAACTGTACGAAACCTCAGTCAGAACCCCGAAGTGGACAGACTGGGCGATTCGAGCTCACTCTTCAGCACAGCCTGCTTGTGCAGCTCAGCCACCATCTTCCCGCGCTCGTCCGCCCTGACAACCACACCGAGCTGTTCGCACACCGACCTCGCATCCTCCTCGTCATCACATCCGAGCACCTTCGCCAACGTCCTCAGCGGAAACGCGCTGTGCTGCTGGAGGAATGCCATCCTGAGCGCATCAAGCGCGTTTCGGCGGACATCGTTGAAGTGCGTCGAGAGGATACACGCAAAGAGGTACGGCGTTTCAGGTGCGGCGACGAGCTTGAAGAACCGCGAGAAGGCGTTCTGCGAGGCTCGTTCGCCGCGGGCGATGTTGGACTTTTGAGCGAGGCGGTGGATGGCGAGTGCGCGTTGGAGGAGGGGGTGGGAAAAGATTGAAGATGGGAGGAGCTCGCAGGACCAGATAATGTCTGGGTCGCGGAGGTGGGTGAGGATGTTGTAGGCGCGGAACTCGGCTTCGTTGGGTGACGGCGAGGGGTTCCCGGACGATCGAGCGTCGTCGTAGAACTCGTTGAGCGACTTGAGGACTGCAGAGAGAGAGTAACGCTCGATGTGGCTTCGGGAGAGAGGCGAGACATCGAAACGCACCCTTCCTCAGCTGCTCCAACTCCTGACTTTCGCTGAACCCGCTCTGTTCCCGCAGCGTCCCGACAGCAAGGACATGATACCTCGCTATCCGCTCGTTGCACTCGATCGCGCTCCTTCCTCGCACGTTCTGAACCGTAAAGTCCTGGCGAATCGAGCGGGTGCGGTCGCGAATGAACGGATGAGTCACGGCGAGAGGATGTTGGGGAAGGAGAGTGTGGAAGAGGTAGTCGAGGGTGCGGTGCAGGACGGGTGGAGGACGGACGTCGGAGGGAAGAGGCTGGTCGTTGCCGGCTGCGGGACGGTGGAAGGCCTTGACGGCTCGTGTCGGGTCGATGCGCGTCGTGCCGGGGTACTGCGCGCCTCAAAGTTAGCGGAGGCCTCGTATGAGGCGCAGATTGCAAGCACACCCGTTCGAGCGGGTCGACGTTGTTCTGGTACTCGCGCTCCTCACGCTCCCATTCCGGACACATCTCCTCGCAAGTCCCCTCGAAGTCAGTTGCCTGGTCGAGTCGCATCGGTTTTGACGGGTCGGGTATCAAGCCGGCCTTGATGGCTTTGAGACGCTGCTCTTCCCGAAGCGGCTTGAGCTGCGAACAGGAGAAAAGCAGCGTAAGTCGACGGATTGCGCGGCTTGGTCGCGTCGAAGCGCACCTCGAGATACCGGTTGTTAGGCAACGTCGACTCGAATCGCTTCCGCCTCGCCTCCGAGTCCTCGCCAAGCACTTCGAGCGTCGAGATCTGCCCGTTCGCGCGCTGCTTCCCTTTGTCCCCCTCTTCCTGGGCCACCGTTGCTTCTTCGCTCTGCTGAGACTCTTGACGGAGGAGAGGGACGGGTCCAGAAGTCGGTTGGACGGGCGCTGCGGAGAAAGCTGAGGGGAAGGCGGTTGAGGTTGAGGCGGAAGGGAAGGCGGAACCGAAGGTCGAGCCTGCATTGCCGAAAGCGCTCGGTGCAGAGCCGAAAGCCGAAGTGCTCGCTTCTGTCGTCTCGAACGCGCTGGTCGCCGATGGCGTCGCACCGAATCCACCGAATCCGCCTCCTCCTGCTCCAAACGCAGCGAACGCACTCGGCGCGTCGGCTGTTACGCCGCCCTCCCCAGTCTCGTCCTCTCCGTCCTGACCATCCTGCGCAGTCGTGTCATCGTCCGCCGGTCTCCGCCAACTCAGGTTCGTATGTCGCTTGACGCCTGGTCCTCCGGCCCCTCTGCCTGCGCCTCCCCTGCCCGCTCCTCTCCCTCGTCCGCGCCCTCTCTCGCCCTGGAAGCCACCGCGCGGGACCCAGTCGGAGGACGAGGTGCGGATGCCGCCTCGCGAAGTCGATGAGGAGGAGGTGGGGTTGGAGGACGAAGCGAATGGGTCGGGCCCGTTCCAGGACATGGTTGGTGGGCCTGTAGGAGCCCTTTGATCCAGCTAGCAGTGCAGCGCGCAGTCTAGGCGAGCAGTGAGGCAAGAGTTGTGCTTCAACCTCTCGTCCTCCCCCTTCCCCTCGACTTGAGCTGGCTCACTTGGCTAGACTGGCTGGAAGGGTAGTCTGCGAGTAGAACGACGCTGCTGGAGCACGCTCACACTGCTCGGCTCGGGGCGCTCGAGCCTCTCCTCGTCACGTCCAGATGAATGGGGCGACGAGCTCGCGCTCGTTTGCCTCTTGCTGGTTCGCCTGCTTGGCTGGCCAGCGTGCGTCGAAGCTGCTGACTGCGCCTGCGTCTCGCACGATCGCTCTCGTGGGATCGCTGCCCTCTCTCGCTTCCGCCTCCCGCTTGCCCATCTCGGCAGACAACCCACTCGAGCAGACTGTCTCGCGAGGCGTGCACCGCGGCGCAACACATCAGCACTGAATCTGCGTGCCAGACAGGAGACTGCACTCGTCTCCACCGCTCGTGACGCGCAAAGGAACGCTCCTTCTTCCCCACTTCCTCCCGTTCTCCTTCTCTTCGCTTCCGCTGAGCGGTTCCAACGGTACGTCCAGCTCCAACACGCAAAAGTGGGCGCGAGTCGCCTGCACCCGCCACTGAAGCGTCTGTCTCGTTCACAGAGTTCTCCCTGCCCCTCTTCCGACACCTTCGCTCCTTCCTCCCGCCCTCCTCTGCCCCTCGACTCGCACTTCACCCTCGTCGCCTTCCCACCACCAGCGCCTCATCCATCTTCGCCGTTAAACGCGCTGTCTCTCCCATGCCGGACTCCCCCGCGGTCGCGCCCAAGCCAGGCGGAAAAGTCGCAGGCTTCTTCCGCCGAATTCAGAGCCGCAAGTCCCTGCGCAAGCTCAAGGACACGAGCGTTGTCGTCGAGGACGACAAGAAGGACGTCCCGCCCCTCCCTTCGACTTTGCCACCGAAACTCGAGCTGCTCGACTTGCCGGTCCTTTCGGGCGACTTCTTCTCAGGCTCGCCATCGTCGTCGTCGTACTCGGGCAGCACCCCAGCGGAGGAAGGGAAGATCGGTGGGGAGGGATTCGGCTCAACCAGCGAGGCAGACGGCGGTCTCGCATCGCTCCTCCAGTTCACATCCTTCGCATCCCGCGCCAACTTCAACGACCGCGACTTGCACAGCAGCACCGAGTCCACCGCATCGACAGCGCTTGTCTGCAGCCTCGACAGGCAGAGCACGTCGCTGGACGGAGACGAAGCGGCCGACGACGAGTACGGGTCAGCGTCCCCGATTGGCGATGAGTCGCTACCGACGTCTCCAAAGACAACGGCAGGCTTGTACCCGTCATTGAGGACACCCTCGTCAGGTCTTACGGACGTCGAGAAGAGCCGGATTGCAATGTGCACGAGGGAAAGGCTTCAGCTCGACACCACGCTTTCTCCGCCGACTCCTTCTCGTCGAGTGAGCACTCTCTCCCAGCTTCTCTCGAGCAAGCACTAATCGCTGTGACTCGCGCCAGGAACCCTCCCTGCGCCAGCAACTCGCCTGGCACTCCATCTCGCGCCGCCTCGATCCCTCCTCTCCCATCAACCGTTCCTTTCTAGTCGCCCACGCCGAACTCGTCTCGCCTACCACGCCTACACTCGCACCACACACCCACTTCCCCCGTCTTCCCGAGTTCTCCGCCCGACCTTCCTTCACCGAACGCTCGCTCGTCACGACAGCGCATACGAACGGTGCCGCGCGCGAAGACATTGCCGGGCCGACTCGTCGCGGCCAAGGACTACGGTACAGCGAGCGAGTCCTCAGCTTGTTGACCCTCGTCTCGAACCCGCTCGAAGGGGACGCCTCGACGCTCTCACCGACCAAGCCGGGTGCGCGTCCTTCGAGGGAAGTTCGACCGGGCGCGAAGAACCCGCTTTGTCCGACTCGTCTGCCCACGCTCGCACTCAACGACGAGGAACTCGTCCCGACACCTCGTCCGGCTTCTCCGCAAAGACAGGTCGACCCTCCGACTACGCCTCTCGCCCCGCCCGTCTTTGACTCAAGCAAGCGTCTCTCGCTCACTCCGCCTCGCAAGCCTGTCTTGCCGGGCCCACTCCTGCTCGACGCGGTCGTCAACCAGGCCGCTCGCCCTTCCTCGAAAGTCGCCAATTCGCCTACGAAGGCACAGGCAAGCTGGGCGCTGAGCGACTCGGACGACGACGAGCCGCTTGCGGTACTCAAAGAGCGCTCCTCGCCGAAGCAGCCGCACCTCAAGCTCTCGCCCTCCGCTTCCGCCTCGTCCAGTCTCTCACCCTCGCCATCCTCTTCGCCTATATCCGTCCGCTCCCGCTCGCTTCCACACTCGCCCTCTCACCACACGCACGATATGCAGTCCCAGCTCCTCGAAGCGCAGCAGCGCGCAGCACAGCTCGAAGCGGAGCTGGTGAGGCTTCAGCGGCGCGATGAGCGTCATGAGCGCGAGAAGCGGGAGAGGGAGGAGGCGGAGAGGGAGAAGGCGAGGCAGAGGAGGATCAGGGAACAGAGGAGGAGGAGTGAGGCGATGATGAGGGTTGGGACGAGGCCGAAAGGCGAAGACGGCGGGGAGAGGTTTTCGAAGAGAGCGTCGACGTCGCCTCAGACGCCGACATTCCCGACGCCGCCAAACCTCCTCGGCATGGCGCCGACCGCGAACACGATTGTGCCTCCCGCCTTTCCCGCCTCGCCATCCTACCCGAGCTTCCTCCCTGTCCCTGTCCTCGTGCCCGTCTACACTCCTTCCCTACAGGCGTCCATCTCCTCGCCCGACCTCCGTCAGAGAACGTCTCAGCAGTTCCTCGCGCCTCCCTCGCCAACGAGCCCGTCCCGCCCTCCGCTCGTCTCCTCGCATTCCGCTCCTGCGCTCGACAAGCGGTCGTCGCTTCAACCGCCGCCTCCCGCCGTCGCGCACTCGACTGCGCGTTTCGGTGAAACAACTCGTCGTCGCTCGGTCCAGCCGCCCTCTTCCTCGCATCCTCTCCCTCTCTCTCGATCTACCCCGAACGTCCTGCAACCTCCCCTCGCTTCCGGCCACCCTCCGCAGCGCCTCCCGCCGCCACGCTCAAGATCGCATCCTCACCTCCCTCCAGGTCCCGTCTCGAGGCGATAGACACCTCGCTTGAAGTCGCTTGATCGTCTTTTGTTGTACCGCTTTATCGCAATGCAGGTTTGCCTCAGTTCCGCAAGCCTCGCTCGAGGTTGAGCAGAAAGGTAGCGGTGTCACAGCAGCGACAATGCGCAATACAGTAGAGCCAGAGCTAGTCAGGCGATGTTCTAGCAGCGGAAGCCGTTCCTCTTCCTCCACCTCACCCCTCCCACTCCTTCACGACATTCTCAAGAATCGGTCTCCAAAACTTGCGGCTGTAGTCGCCCTGATACTGGTACACTGCCCGTCGCGCGAGGAGAGGTTTCTTGTCCGGCCTGTGCCACTTGTCGAGGTCCTTGACGCCGGCGTGTTCGATGGCGTGGCGGAGCTGTTTGAAGAGGCGGTTGGCGGAGCTGCGAGAGGCGAGAGCACGTCAAAGTGGCATGAGAGGTGCGGAAAGGAGGGCGAACGAACCCCTCATGAAGGCGCTTTCCGTAGCCGTGTGCCACGACGAGAGCGATCTGCCGCGTCTTCTCGCCCGTCTTGTGGTCGCGGAAGTTGGTGAGAGCGACCGAAACGTCGGCTTGGATCTCGGCGGTCCATGCTGCGGACAGGCAAACGTGAGCAGGGGCTGAATGCGACTGCAGCGAGAGGCAGCTCACCTCGCTCGATGGCTGCCGTCGTACCGAGGAGACGAGACGAGATTAGCTGTTGCTCTAGCTGATGGCGGAAGCGGGGACGCACCGAACCACTCGGGAGCGGTGCCTTCGGGCGTCCGGTTGATCTGCTCTTCGAGCGAGACGGGAGACGATGCGAACCCGAGCGCGATGTGCGGGTACTTCTTTGACTGCGTCGGGATGCTATGGGGACGGCGTCAGCGTCAGCGGCGTCCGGAGCGAGGGGCCCGCTTACCTGTCGCCCTTCCAGTCACGGCGGAGCTGAAGTTCGAGAAGGTCAATTCACGTCCGCGCCAAAGCAAGCGAGCGACGCACCAGGCTTCGAACGTCAAGACCGTCGAGCGCACGACGAGACGCCTTCAGGTCCTTGTCGAGCGTGTCCATGACCTCCTTCAGCTTGCGGTGTCGCCATGAGCTGCGAGCGAAGAGGCGCGAGGCAGACTCGACGTCGACGGGTTGGCGCGAGTCCTTGTCGAGGCCGGAGGAGTCGATTGCGACTGCGTAAAGACATCGTCAGTCACGATCGCGAGTCAGAGGCGAACAAGCGGGCTCACTTGTTCGAAGAAGCAGCTCAACAAGTTCTTGCGGCAAAGGCGCTCGAACCTGCGACTCTGCAGCATTGTCGGCAACCGCGTACTCAAGCATTTCGTATGCAGGCGGAATCGGATACGCCTTGTCGGCACCGGGTAGGTTGTCGAGGACGTAGCGAGTGACGAGAGAAGAGCAGGATCCGGACCGCTCGATGATGCGCGGGTTGGCGGTGTCGTTGCCAAAGCCTCGGTCTTCGTGGTGGTCGATGATGGCTGAATGAGACGGGCGCAATTAAGCTCCTATTTTCTGGCGAAGCGGGCGGGCAACTCACCAGAAATGCGAGCCTTGCTCCAGTCCGAGCGAGGAACGTTGTGGTCAACGAGCGCGATGCCTTTGATGCGGTGGCCCATGTCGACGGGCTGCAAGGGTTCCCACATTAGTCACTGTTCAGCACGCAGAGCGAAAGGAGAAGAAAGGCCGTGGTTGTCGCGGCTGGATGAGTGCGGCTAGCTGGCTGCTCACCTTGATCGGAAGCTCGTCGGCGGCTGACAAGCGAGCTGGTCAGCGCCACGTATCTCTTGTCGGACGAAGGGGGACGCACTCAGCAAGTCACGGTGTCCCGAACTCATTTTAGCGTAGTGTAGCGCGAGAGCGTTCTCAGGCCGCAAGTCGAGCGCGTCTGCCGTAAGCTGGTCAGCCGCAGCTTCGGGCACACAAGATCTGGACGACTCACCCTGCTCAGTCTGTAAGAGAGCGACGGCTTTCTGAGGCGGGTCGAGGTGGTTGTACATGAAGGAGAGCGCAACGGCCGAGACGAGCGAGTCGAGGTCTCCCGCTTCGTTGCCCATCACGACGATGTATTCGTCTGCATTGTTGTTCCGTAACGCTTCCAGGAAGTCGTCCTTCGAGCGTATTGGCCGTTTCAGCATACCCAGCACCGCCTCCTCCTGCAAGACGAGCCCGTTGAACGGCGTGCGCACCTTGTTCTGTCTGCTCCACTGGCTCAGCCACCCTGTACCCGTGTGCTCTTCCTCCGAACCGTGCATAAAGCCCGCCGCGCTGCCTTGTCCCTGCTGTTCGCCCAAGAGGTCGCTCGAACTGATGACGGTCTGCTGGCGGGCTTCGAGCGAATCTGCTGGCAGGGTAAGGACAGCAGGAGCTAGAGACAGAGCCGAAGCAGCTAGCAGAGGTAGCCAGCGCATCTCGGGAGCGTGAAGTGAGAGGGAGAGGCAGACTTCGCGACCAGGGGCACGTGCGGTGAACCTCGTTACGAAGGAGACTCAAGCTTGCTTTCTTTGCGACCTGGCGATCCGCTAAACACTCGACTCGTCGAAACGCAGGAGAGGCGGGCAAGGGCGGACGAGACAGGCGAACCCAACTCGCAGTCGTAAGCAAGTGCCGGCTTTGGCCGGCTGCTGAGAGACGAACATATTGCACCTTGGTCCCTGATCAGGAGTGACAGGCTTCATTGGTGTAGCAGTAGATGGCCAGTACAAGTCGTAGAGTGTCGAGAGGCGGCGGCAAGCGATCGGACGGAGGATGGCGTCTGCGTAAAAGCAAGCGTCAGATCGCCTGCAGTTCTGAAAAAGGACAACTTACGCACCTCAGGAATCGTAAGGACAAGATTTGAGCAGGACAGTCGGCTCCTTCGTCTTGCTGGCGAGTTTGGGCGGACAGAAGCCGTTCCACCAGACCTTCTCGTAAAGCCAGTCCCTGGACCAGCCCGCCTGGATCTCCTTCTCCCAGAAGGCGATGAGGAAATCGAGAACATCCTTGACCGTGATGCCGGACTTCACCGCAAGAATACCCGGATCGTCGACGTCCTCAAAGTCTCTGTGGTTGAATCTGAACGACATCCGGCTGCAAGCTGGAGACGTGGCGTACTCCTTCACGGCAGCATATTCAAATGCATTGGACTCGTAGTTCATGGTACGGTAGCAAGCCGACGTCTGACTCGAACTGAAGAAGTCGACGCCGTCGAGCAAGGGATGCAACTCGATGCGCATGCGCTTGGTAAGCAGTCCCGGGCGAGGTGCTTCGCGGAAGAGAGGCTTGTCGAACTGCTTGGACTGAGAGAGTCGCAAGGCAAGCACGATGTGCGAGCGGAGGATGGAAGGAGCGAAGGGTCAGGCCACAAGGTTCCATCAGATCAGAACCGAAGCGGCCGAAGCAGCGCACCTTCACGAACTCCCTGAAGTTCTTCGACACAGCCTGCACCTCCTTCAGTTCGTAGTAGTCGAGGTTAAAGAGGAGCTCCAGCTGAAGCTCCTCCGGCAGGCGATCCCACGCGAACGGACGAGGCGAAGTTTGGGCAGAGTCGTCAGTGTCGGACATGGCTGTAAGCAGGTCGTTCGAGCGGGTCAAGCAGTGTCAAGCGGTGCGAGCAGTGAGCGATAAGAGCGAGAGAGAGGTTCGACCAGGACAAGGTCGTCTCATCGCGCCCAACTCGCTCGTGCGGCTCGCTTGACTCGCTAGATCGGACTGTACGGATCTCGAGACGACCGTAATGTCGCGACCAGACACGCTCTTCGACGTCGACGACTCTGCGACGGGCAATCTCTCATTCCAGAGTGAGTCCCGTCATCTCACGACTCAACAAAGCGTTAGACGGGGTTGCACACTGCGCTGACACTCTTCTGGACAGACTTTGGCTCGACCACGATCCAGCCAGACCTCCCGAGCGGGCGCATCTCGCCCAACGCCTCCCCACATGTGCGCGCGAACGAGCAGCTGTACAGCGCAGAGCAGCACATTGGCGGGACGATTGACGGCGCGACAAAGAGCGGCGGTGTGCTCAACCTCGATTTTTGTGCGTCCAGCGATCCTGCTTGCGGTGATGACCTCGCTGACCTGCCCTCGCTCGCAGACTCTGGCTGGTTCGACGTCGACACGATGACGGTCTTGACGCGGTGCTACAAGACACTGATACCGAAGGAGGACTACGTGAGCGAGGTGCTGGCGGGCGTGCCGGACCTCTACGGTGCGTTCAGTCCTTCGACTCGCTCGAACAGCCTCTTACCTCCGCTTCCTCGTTGCAGGCCCCTTCTGGGTCCCTTCGACGCTCGTCTTCTCCCTCTTCCTCACCTCGTCGCTGTGGTCGTCCATTAACGCCTACCTGAACGACGTCGAGTACGCCTACGACTTTACCCGTCTCGGCGCAGCGACCTCTGTCGTGTGAGTCGCGCGCCTTCTGTGAGCCGGCGACGCACCACTGACGCATCTGACGCTCAGCTACACCTATTGCCTCGGACTGCCCGTCGTTATGTGGACTGCGATCAAGTATTGGGCAGGCGCTTCCGAGCGAAGTCCCGTCGAGATCATCAGTCTCTACGGTTACCAGTCGACGGTTTGGATCCTCGTTGCCGTGCGTGATCAACTGCTGCTTACCCGCTCGAGACAGGACTAACCCGCCTCTTTCCCGCAGTGGCTCACCCTGATCCCCATCGCCCCCCTCCGCCTCTTCCTCGCCTTCCTCGGCACACTCCTCTCGCTCTTCTTCCTCACGCGCAATCTCTACCCCATCCTCTCGAACGCGCCAAACGTCTCCGCTCGCCTGCTCATCGTCGTCGCAGCGGTCTTGCACCTCATCTTTGCGATCGCGCTTTGGTGGGGCTTTATGGCGGGCGGCAGCGGGGCGTTCGATGGGAAGAAACTGAAGGATGTGGCTGGGGAGATTGGAACGGGCATTGGTGGCGGGATCGACGGGGACGGCATGCGGTGGAAGTGGTAGCGGGACGTAGACTCGCTTCCTTCGCTGTCAATGCTCGCTTCGCCCGATCTTCCTCTCCAAGGGGTGTGAAAGACGAAAATACCCGCTTGCGAAGTTGCTCAGGCCCAAGTTCCTCTCGCGCCTCCGCTCACGAGACTCAACGAGATAGACCTGAGAGAACAACTTTGCAACCAGAGCCCTCGACGGAAGACCTTTGACAACAGAAAAGAAGAACAGCGGGCACGGGGAGGGAGACGATTAAATAGTGTAGCGGAACGACGGGTTGCCCTCGATGACAATTTCGCCTCGGTCGGCCTTGGCGTTCTGGCGCTTGAAGTAGAACGAGAGACCTACGAGGATGAGGCAGGTCGCCCACTGAACGCCGACTGTGCAAGGAGGATATCAGCGTCGTTTCTTCGAGCTCGAAGGGATGATGCAGAGCGTACTGGTGGTCCACAAGCCAGGAATGTAGCGAGGGTAGTCGGCTTGGCGGTAAATGGTCCTGCGCGAACGGAAAGGAAAGGTCAGCACCCGCCTCGAGATCGTCATCTGTCCAGGGCGACGTACGAAGCCATGATACCGCCGACGCCGCCGAGCCCGACGATGATAGCGCTGTTGACAGCCTTCTTCGAGTGGGAGAGGACGTTGGTCGAGCCATACGCGAGGACGCCCGGAACGTTGCTCTACAAAGCAGGACAGTCAGTCTCGCGCAGCGTAAGAGAATCGAGAAACGAGACGTACCTGGCATCCCATGATGGTGAAGAAGGCGCCGAAGTAGCGAACACCAAGCGGCTTCGCATACGCGAGGATCAAAAGGCCAACTGAACAGAGGATTGCGGATCCGGCGATGAAGGGCGCGCGGCGGCGAGTCTTGTCAGAGTAGTGGGCGACGACGGCAGTGTAGATGGCGGCAGCGGCGTAGGGAGGAGCGGAAAGAAGGAGGGAGGTCTTGGTGTTGTATCCTCCGCCGGCAAGGATGACAGGCAAAAAGAAGGCGAAGGCGTACGAGCCGGTAGTGGCGAAGCAGAAGCAGAGACCGAAGAGCCAGATCTTGAAGTCGCCGAGGTGCTTCAAGACCTTGGCAGCAGTCGCGCCGTCGGGGAGAGCGTCTCCACGGTCGGCATTGACGCGGTCGACTGCGTACTTGCGCTCGGCATCGGTGAGGAACTTGGCGCGGTCGGGGAAGTCGACGATGATGAACCACGAGATGAAGCCGAGGCCGATCGTGATGGCGCCGAAGACGATGAACACCCAGCGCCATCCGAGGTAGCCGTGCTTGCCGCTGAGCTGGCCGATACCCTGCAAGACGACGAACGAGTCAGCGACTCGGAGTTGGGAAGGTCGCGAGGAAGCGAAGGTGGACGTACCCAGCCCATGATGTTCGAGAAGCCACTGACGACCATCGAGGAAAGGTAGAACCAGGCCATGCGACGTCCAGCTTCCTCGCGAAGGTACCAGGTGGAGATAAGGCTGCGATCGAGAGGAAGGGTCAGGACTGTCGACGTTGGACGGTTTGTAAGGCGCTCACAAAGTGCAGCCAGGCTGCCCGATGTACAGGCGACGTCAGTGAGAGGTGAGCTACGCGAAGCGATGGGTAGAGCGGACTCACGAAGAAACCGGCCTCGAGAACGCCCAAAAGAACGCGGCAGGCAGCGAGCTGCTCCCAAGTCTTGACGAAGCCCATTCCGAGCATGACACTACCCCAGAGAACGGTGATGGCAGCGAGCTGGTTGCGAGGGCCGAGCTTGCGGATGATGAGGTTGGACTTGTGCGAGGACGAGGGGGGTCAGCGAGGTGTTCCCGGGCGAAGCGCGAGCGAACGCGAATGGACGGGCAACTTACGGGCAACTCGAAAATGATGTACGGCACAAAGAAGATGAGCGTAATGATGGAGTAGCGTTCCCCAACGGTGAGCTTGAGCTCCTTCGCCCTGTGCACGATGCAGAGGGTCAGCTTTCGGACTCCCAAAGCGGGTATCGACGCCAAACGGCGCAGGAATACCCAGGGAGCTAGGAAACCAGCGAAATGCGACGCACATTCCGAGGAGACGAGCGACAGAGACATTGGTGCGGTCGATAAGACTGATGCAGTAGAGCGCCGAGAGGATGGGGATGAGGTTCCAGTCAATCTTGCGGCTGTTGAGTCGTTAGGGAATGGGACAGAGAAGGGAAGTCGTCAGTTGGCGTCCATCAAGATACTGAGCGACGAGGGCGGGCTCTCGCCAGTCGGCGCCCATTGAGCGACGAGGGCGTGGGCATGGCCAATGGACTCACATAGTCTTCTTTGCGAACGCAGGGTCGACGGACTGGCCCTCGGCGTCGAGGTTGGTCGGCTGGCGGGAGGCAAACTCCTTCTGCTCGATGTGCTGCTTCTCGCTCGTCGAGTCGGGCGTCAACGACATGGTAGCGTCGCGGTCAGAGGTTGTGTGTCGTTGGAACGTCGAAAGTGGTCTGTCTAGCGAGTACGAAGCGGCTAGCGTTGGAGGAGCGAGAGCGGCGGGAGGAGGGAGAGAAGGAGCCCAGGGAACGGCGGCGGGGGGCTGATCCTTGTGCCCCGCAGAGATGCAGCGACGTGGCGGAGGCCCGGACTGTTTGAACGCGGGCCCCCGGTTGATCGTAGAGCGCTTGGCAGAGGGAGACGAGGTCAGACGAGGGCGGAAGAATTGCACGACGCGGCCGGTGCGCCGTGCAAAGGGCTGCTCGTGCGCTCGGAGTGTTCGCCGTTGCGTGCGCTCCAATTCAGCCACTTGCGCCGCTCCCAAGGAACAAGAAGCAGCAGTGACGGAACCCCCCACACCGTGTCGAGGTCGCGAACCCCTCGAGGCGATCGCAAGACTCCTTGGCGTTCTCGCGGCGAAGGGTTCCTCAGCGGGCTCGTCGGTGCGTTTCGCCCGCCGGAACCAACGCCTGCAACGCTCCAGCGGAGAACCCGGGACAACGGGACCAAGCAGAGACCGACGATTGTGGAGATGCAGAGAGTTGCGAGAGCATGGGCGACGACGCTAGACAAGCTATGATGATTGCAGGGCTACAAAGAAGGGTGCGGCGGAAGATACAAACAGAGTGGGGACAGAGCTAACTTAGAATACAAATGCCAACGAACGAAGAAGCTGCGGAACGACGGCTGCGGCACCCCGTCGACGTTGACCAGCGCGTCGTCTACCGACGGCAACGACTGCTGCTGGCCTGCTGCGCCTCACTTCTCCTCGCCGCCGGCCACCTCGTTGGCGAGATCCAGGTCGCCCTCGACTTCCTCAGCGAGCTTGACGTCCTCAGGCTGGTTCGCACGGATGGGGACGACCTCGAGCCCGCTGCCGTCGCGGTTGAGGCGCACGCGCGCCGTGTCGCCGTTGCCCAGCTCGCCACGGAGAATGGCCTCGGCGAGCGGTCGCCGGACGTGCGTGCTGATGAGGCGGTTGAGGGCGCGAGCTCCCCAGCGAGGCTGGTACCCGTTCTGGGCGAGCCAGTCGCGCGCTCCTTGCTCGACGAGGAGGCCGATGCGGCGCTCGGGTGCGGCGGACGAGTGGTTGAGCGTGTGCTGAACTTCGGAAAGGCGCAGGTCGACAATCTTGGCGATGGATTCGGGCGACAGCGAGTTGAAGACGATTTGCTCGTCGAGGCGGTTCAGCTGCGGGTCGAACTTCGTCAGTGGAGGTTCCAGCGGAGGGGTAAACTAGAAGCGCTCACCAGCTCGGGCGGGTACATGCTCTGCACGCGGGCAAGGACGCGCTCCTTCGCGCTGTCCGTCACCGTGCCGTCAGGAAGCGTTGCCCCGTCCTCGGCGAGGATGTCGGATCCCATGTTGCTGGTCAAGATGATGGTGGCTGCGTCGGCGCATTGTCAGTATCTCCAGTGCACTCGCAATGAACGCTGTCAAACTCACTGTTCTTGAAGTCGACCGCGCGGCCTTGCGAGTCCGTAAGCTTGCCCTCGTCGAGCACCTGCAAGAGGATGTTGGCGACGTCTGGGTGTGCCTTCTCGAACTCGTCTGCGCATCGAAAGCGTCAGCATTTTGCTCGCAACGAGGGAGAGGAGGCGGACGCACCGAGCAACAGAACGCTGTAAGGCTTGCGGCGAATCGCTTCCGTCAACTGGCCAGCGTCCTCAAAGCCGACGTATCCAGGCGGAGCACCTGCGTGCGACGGACAGCGTCAATACGGGCTGGCAAGCTCGAGTGACAGCAGAAGGGGAACGCACCGATCAAGCGGCTGACGGTGTGCTTGTCCTGGAACTCGCTCATGTTGATGACGACGAGGTTCTTCTCCGTGCCGGTGAGCTCAGCCGCCAAGGTCTTCGCCATCTCCGTCTTGCCCGTTCCCGTACTGCCGAGGAAGAGGAACGACGCGACGGGCCTGTTGCCCGCGTGCAGTCCAGCGCGGGAGAGGCGGATCGCAGAAGCGACGGCAGAGATGGCAGGTTCCTGCCCCTTGACGCGCGAGGAGAGGACGTTCTCGAGGTCGAGGAGGCGCGAGCGGTCGCCGCGCATGAGGGTGGCAGTAGGGATTCCGGTCGCCTTGGCGAGTACGAGCGCAATTTCGTCGCTCGTGACCCTCGCGCCTTCGCCGCCCTTGTCGCCTTCGCCGTCGCGAGGCAACTTGCGTTCGAGCTCAGGAAGGACAGAGTACCTGAGCTCGCTCGCGCGCTGGTAGTCGCCCTTCCGCTGCGTCTCTTCCAGCTCGAACCGCCTCAACTCGATCTCCTCCCTCGTCTTGCGGATCTCTTCCGCGCGCTCCCGCTCGGCCCTCCACTTGCGCTCCATCGCCTCCGCATCCTTCTTGAGCGTCGACAACTCCTCCTCGATCGCCGTCCGCCGTTCAGCCGCAACCGGATCCGTGTCCTTCCCGAGCGACGACAACTCGATCTGTAGCGTCGTGATCATGCGCTTGAGGGCATCCAGCTCCTCGGGCGGCGACTCCTTGCGCAGGCGAAGCGAAGCAGACGCCTCGTCGACGAGGTCGATCGCCTTGTCGGGCAAGTGCCGGTCAGAGATGTACCGGTTCGACATGACGGCTGCCGTGACGAGTGCGGCATCCGAGATGGTCACGCCGTGGTGGACTTCGAGTTTGGGCTTGAGGCCGCGCAGCATCGTGATCGCTTGTTCGACGGAGGGCTCATCAACCATGACGGGCTGTGCGACGTGGGACAGCAAATAGGCGTCAGCAAGTGGTCAGTGAAGTTGCGTGGCAGCCAGCGGAAGCAGCGCGACGCACCTGGAACCTCCTCGTCAACGCCGCATCCTTCTCAATCGACGTCCTGTACTCATTCAACGTCGTCGCGCCCGCTATCTGCAACCCGCGGGCGAGTGACGGCTTGAGCATGTTTGACGCGTCGAGCGAACCCTCCGCCTTGCCGAGGTTGAGGATCTGGTGGATTTCGTCGATGAAGGCAATCACGTCGTCTGCTTCTTCGAGGTCCTTGATCAGGTTGTTCATCTTCTCCTCGAAGGAGCCGCGGACGGCAGTCTGCGCGAGAATGCGAGTCAGTCAGTCGCTTCCTCGGGGCGAAGAGACGGAGAGAAGAGACGCACCCCCGACATCAGAGTCGACAAGTCGATCGAGATCAAGCGCTTGTTCTTGAGGCTTTCGGGAACCTCGCCTGCGACGATCTTCTGTGCGAGTCCTTCGACGATGGCGGTCTTGCCGACTCCTGCTGGGCCGACGAGCAAGGGGTTGTTCCTGCGCGAGTCGAGGAATAATGGTTAGTTTCCTGCTGGCTGGACGCTCAAGACGAAAGGCCGCTCCGCAAGCAGCCAGACGACTCGCACAGAAGTCACGCGCAACGAGAAGGCCCCACTCACTTGCTCCTCCTTGACAGGATCTCAATCAAGCGCTTCGTCTCGTCGCTCCTCCCGACGACCGGGTCCAACTTTCCCTTCCTCGCGAGCTCGGTCAAGTCGATCCCGTTGTCCTTGAGAGCCTGTCCCGGCTCGCGCTTCTGCCCTCCGCCAAAGATGTTGCCGATGGGGAATCCTCCGCCTCCTCCTCCGCCTCCCGAACCAGGAGGAGGAGGTGCGCCACCGCGTTGTGAGCGCGGGGCGGTGGTCGAGAAGGTGCGAGAGGATGGAGGAGAGCGGTGGGTGGCGAGCGAGAGGGCTGCTGGAGTTGTGCGTGCGAGGCGAGATGACGGATTGACGAGGGAGGAAGCGGGGAGAGAGGTGCGGAGTGAGCGAGCTAGGTGGCGTGTGAGCATGTGCTGGGTGTGTGTAGCGTGTGTGTGAAGTGCAGAGTGAAGAGCAGGAGCGAAAGAGAGCTGTGGGCGAAGGGAGAGGGAAGTTCGGGAGAAGGACGAGGAAGCAGAGAATCGCGGCACGTGACCCGGCGCTGAAACTCGGGGAAGGGCAGCGCAGGCAGATAGTAGTACTACAGAGGCTCTCTACAGTCTCTGGGGAGTAAGGCAAGTCGACCGCGCCGTCCCGGGATTTTTCGAAGTTGACGAGGAGGCGGCAGTCTCCCTCAGCAGCTGGCGCCTTCGCTTGTGAGCCAGAAAATCAATCAAGCTTTCATACGCTAGCTCTGCTTTTCTCAGGGCCCTGGAGTGGCTGTAAGGTGAAGTAGCTGTAGCTCGCCAACGGCTGGTCCTCTCGCCCTCGTTCCACCACCTATCGAATCGTCACGATGAGTAGGTCTCGATTCTGCAGTGTGCGCACGGAAACGCGCTGACCTTAGACGTGCTCGTCTTGTCCCAACAGGCCGCCTCGCCGCGCTGATTCCTCCCAAGCTGGCATCGCCCTCGGCGATTGGTGCACCCTCGTCGGCGGCCCGCATGGCCAAGGTCGTCGAGTTCTACTCTGCGGTGCGTGCGGTTCACGGGCGACTTTGCGGCTACCCGCGAGGCGCGGTCGTTGCGGAGGGACGACACCGCTCACCTCCCATCACCACCCGCGCCTCCTCCCGACCGGCTCACACGGGACACACGAGCTGACGAGGAGCTGTTCCACTCCTCTTTCACACCCTTGCGACTCCCGCCAATCCACACTGCAGCTCCCCAAGGGTCCGGCCCCGAAGAAGCGCGTCGGTGCTTCGCCCCTCGCCCGCTACAAGGCCCGCTACTTCGACGGCCCCAACGCCTCGGCTGCCCCCTTCCTCCACGTCATTGGCGGCCTCTTCCTCCTCGGCTACACCATCGACTGTGCGTCCGGCGTTCCTTGCGTTTCTTTCGGAGGTGGATGAAGGCGGGAGGAGAGGACGCCGAGGACAGTTTGGCAGCGTATGCTGACGCTCTTTGTGATCCTGCAGACAACATGCACCTTAAGCACCACAAGAAGTGAGTTGGCGGATGGTGTTGCGGCGAAGCGGACCCTCCTCTTTCTCCGGAATGGCGACGACCGGCCTGTACTAACGAATCATTCCTTCGCTCTTCCTTGCTTGCCCCTGAGTAGCAACCACCACGTGCGTTGCTTTACCTCTGACCTCTGCGAGACAGACACGAGCTGACTCGCTTTCTCCTTCTTCCTCTTCTTCCGCCCTCCGCCTCTCTCGCATGCAGTGAACGACTCCTTGCGACGAGATGCGTTAGTGGGACGGATAGAATAGTGGGTCGCGGGTGTGGGATCGGCAAGGCTGGCGATGCAAAATGGCGTTTCTCAGTCTGTTCTTCCGCGAGAGGTTAGCGGACGAGGGTTTTCCTCTTCGCCTGGCAAGCGTCTCAGCTGCATGAAGCGTCCACCTCAAGTTTTTTGTACGCTCGCTGGGCCCAGTCGCCATAACGAGCGAGCGACCTTGCCTCACCGCTTGCTCACCGCCGACGGAAGCTTCTCTCCCTCCGTCCCTTCGCTTTCCTCCGCTCCACCACCGCTCGCCCGCGCTCGGCAGCGATGGAAGCCGATATCTCTCAGGTCATCCAAGCCATCCAAGCGCTCTACAACCCCTCCACGGCTCCCTCTCTCCAATCGACTCTCCAACACTCGCTCACCCAACTCCAACACTCCCCTCAAGCCTGGTCGCTCGTCGGACCGCTCATCGCGCACGAAGATCCAGCAGTCAGGTTCTTTGCTGCCAGTACGCTCGAGGAGAAGATCACGCGCGGATGGGGCGAGGTCGAGCATGTTCCAGAGGTGGGGAGTTTGAGAGGAGGAGATGGAGAGCTGAGTGCGCCGGCGAAGGAGCTCAAGGACTCGGTGCTTGCATGGCTCGCCAAAAGCGCCGTCGGGGCTTTCCCACCCGCTTCTGCAGCCGCACAACCAGTGCAAGGCGAGAAACCCGTCTTGAGGAAGTTGACGGCCGCAGCGACGGCTCTCAGCTTGCGGTTGCAGGATAGGTGGAAGGATTGGTTGCTCGAGGTTGTGATGAGGGTTGCGGCGAGCGGCGCGAGGAGGGAGGCGACGCTTGAGGTGTTGAGTACGGCGATTGAGCAGGTTGCGAGGGCAGAGTTGGTCGGCAGTAAGAGGTGCGTGCGAGGCGATTCTTGCTTGACGGCATCTTGAGTGATACCTATGAGCTGTACTTGTCCGACTTCTTCGCAGGATGGCCTACATGTCCTCCCTCTCCTCGACAATACCGCACCTCGTCTCGACTCTCTCGTCCTCGCTCTCTCCGCCTTCCTCGCCCGCCGAGATCAACTCCGCCTTCTCCTGTTTTGTCTCCTACCTGAACGCCGGCCAGCTCTCCTCATCCGAACTCACGACCCTCTACCCGCTCTTCCTCCCTCACCTCTCCAACCCGGCGACCGTCGTGGCAGCTTGCGGCGCTATCGAAGAACTCGTCGAGCGCTCGAGTGGACTATCCGAAACGGGAGGAAGCGGCCTGACGCGCTTCGTCAACCGCCAACGAACGACAGAGCTGATCAACGGCTGGGTGACGAGCCCGTTCGTCCAGCACATCTTTGCGCAGGCGATTTCGGACGCCCGGGAAGGCAGCGAACCGGATGAAGAAGCGTTGGCAGTCTTCAAGCTCGTCGCCTCGCTCGCCGACCACTTCATCACGACCTTCCTCTTCGACCCTCCTCCCGCCTCGTCCATCACCGATCCCTCAGCAGTCCTCTCCCTCACCCATCCGGCAATTCACACCCTCCTCTCGCTCCTCATCGCCCTCTCGTCCTTCCCAGGGCACACCTCCGAGTCATACCTCGTCAACGAGCTCCCCTGCAGCGCATGGATGAATCTGCAGGAACTCGGCGCGGACGGAGAGGGGATGGTCAGTGGAGAGGGAGAGGGGAGAGAAGGTCGATACGGGAAGGAGAAGGACTGGGAGGTCTACCGGGGAGTCTTTGTGGCGCTTGCGGAGGGGTTGAGGGGTAGGGCGACGAGGCCGAGCGAGGAGGAAGTCAAGGTGTGGCCGAAAGGTGCGTCACCGCTCACACGCTCTCGGTGCTATACTGCGTACCCCAGCAGAAACCGCTGATTCCACTGTGCGATGAGTGCGTGCAGATGTCCGAGAAGCGTTCCGGCAGTACCGCTCGACGACTCTCGCCGAGACGGCCCAGAACGCCTACTTCGTCTTGCGAGACGACATGATCTCGGGTCTCGTCCAGCTCGCCGCGCAGCAAGTCTCGCAGCCGCCCGCGCCAGGACAGGACAGCTACGAGGACCTCGAGGCCTCGCTCTTTATCCTCTTCTCGATCGGCGAAGTCGTCCCACTCTCCCCTTCTCTCGCCGACCTCGATCCCGCCGCTCCTCCCTCCCGCCTCAACCAGAACCTCTCCCTCCTCTTCGGTCCCTCCATCCTCGGTCGACTACCTTCTCAGTCCGGTTCCTACCCCTCTCTCCGCTCGACCGCCCTCCGATTAGTAGGCGCCTACAGCGCCTGGTTCTCCTCCAACCCCGACGCTTGCCTACAAGCCGTCTCGTTCGTCGTCTCCGGCCTACAAGAACCGGACCTCGTCCCCGGCGCAGCGAGGGCGCTTAAAGGCCTTTGCGACGCGAATCGCAAGGTGCTTGTTGGACACGTTGCGAGTTTCGTGCAGGTGCTCGGCAACTTGGAGGGAAGGATTGATGATGCGGAGTTGGCGAAGGTGTTGGAGAGTGTGGCGAGTGTCGTGCAGGCTTTGCCCGAGACGCAGATTGTCGAGCCTCTCCTGGTGCGTTGCGGACCGTCATATGTTGGACCATGTTTGCTGACTGCCGCACCCGCGTAGACTTTGACAAACCCCATCATCGGCAAGCTCAGCTCGGCTGCCGAAGGGAACGCCTCGGTTCGTCGTGCTTCGGTTGTCCTTCCCCTCCCGCGCATGCTGACGAGCTTCATGTGCGTCCAGGCTCCCAAGGAAGACCCTCGGGAGGTGTGTGTCCAGCAACTCTCGTACCTGTCGGCGCTCGCGAAGGGCCTCGCGGATCCCGAAGACGACCTCGTCGACCTCGACGCGAGCTTCGAGGAGACAACTTCGACCCGCGATGCCGCCCTACGCATCCTGCGAGATTCTCGAGTCGTCGACATGCGAAGACGACTCGCACAAGCGATCGAAGCTGCCGCACGAAGATGGCCTAGCGATACGGAGGTCGTGACAGCCTTGTCCGACTACATCCGCCACTCGACGTCCGACTCGGTCCCGTCGCCTCTTGCGCTCGACTCGCTCGACCTCCTGAACTTCTGCAGCGCGGCACTGCAATCGGCGCCATCGTCTGTCTGGCTCGGCATCGAGGGACAGCTACTGGCGAGGCTGGCACGGGATAGGACAGACGCTGAGATGAGCGACGACCAGCTTGCAAAGGTCGGGCAGCCGATCGAGGGGGCGCTGAGGGTCGTCCTCGGCACCCATGGCGAGGTTGCGGGTGAGTTTGCCACGGCTTCCGTCTCCTACAGCACATTACTGACGGCAGATTGCTAGCAATGGCTGAGAACCCCGATGTGGTCGCCGCTTTCCTCGGTTTGTGCTGTCAGGTGCGTCCGCATCGCCTGTCTTGAGGAAGCGACGCTGACCAGACTGCTTTGCAGGTTGTGCGGCTTTACCCTCGCATCTTCAGCGTGCTCCCTGCGCACTACCTCGACGCGGTACTCGCCTTCGCCGAGCGAGGCTTGGCGATGCAGGAGCAGTTCTCGCTGAAGGCGACTATCGAGCTTCTCGTACGCTTCCTTCGCGAATGGCCCCTCACCCCTCCAGCTGACGATGGCCCGATAGCTTTCGAGCGTCCAGCAGACGAAGATGGCATCATCGTCGTCTACCGCATTCCGCTCAGCCTTGATTCCTCGCGTTCCTTCGCTTCTTCGCGCCCTCATGACCGGCATCGGCGGCAACGTTCCCCGCTCGCACCTCACCCAGCTCAGCGAACTGCTGCATGCCTGCTTGCTGCGATTGGCGGAACAAGCACGACCAACGCTCCACGACCTGCTGGAAGAACCGGGGTTCCCTTCCGAACGTGCGACGCCCGAAGCAAAGAGCAGGTTCGGGCGAGCGATCCTGAGGTGCGCTCGAAGGTCACTCACTCGCCTCGCCCGCGAGATACTCACTTCAGCTTGTCTCGCAGCGCACGAACGGGCAAGCAGGTTCGGCAGGCGGTTTCCGACTTTGCGCTCCTCTGCAGAGGCCTCGACGGCAGCGCGTATGGCGCAGCGACTCATCTCTACTAGCGCTGCAACGACGCCGAGTACAGCATACTGTCCAGGGAGTTTGCAGAGAGAGCTACACCTTATTAGACCGCTACGAGAATCAGGATGCACAGGCAACAAGAGCGAGAGAGCTTCCGGGACAAGACGAGAGGGGATATGAGTAGAGACGGGGTATAGGAGAGATCAGGTGAGGAGGCGAGCAATGCCGGTAGGAAGGCAGGTATCGGCAAAGGTACTGACGACGGGCGCGGCGTACTCGCTCCAGTGTCGCCAGCCGTACCATGCAACGAAGAGGAGGACCGGCATCCAGAAGACCTGCATAAAGTACGTCAGCGGGCGTGTCGGGCGGTTGAAGAGGCTGGAACGCACCCAAAGCATCCAGTCTGCCGTTCGAGATGCCTCGCCCATGACACTGCCGGCGTCCGTCTCGGCGTCCGTCTCGTCCGAGGCACTCGATGTCGCTGAGAACCGGCGACGCATGCGGGACCGAACAGGCGTTGCCTTGGGAGGTGAGCGAGAGACGGCGGTCGAGGTCGAAGGCGAGGTCTTCTCGTCCACGGGCAAGGCTGAGAGGGTGTCGCTGGGGGTGTACTGCGGAGGAGGCGACGAGGGCGTCTTGGCGTGCCACCATTGCGGCGCGTAGAAGGCCGACCGCCAGTCACGGCCGGGAGATGGGCTGAGCTCGCCCTCCGTCTCGTCGCCGTCGCCGTCGCCGGTTGCCAGCTGCGGCTCGCCGACCGTAGCGGCGCGTCGTCGCTTGGAGATGCTGCCGCCGCTGATGTGGCGAGTGAGCGCAGCAGGCATGGCGGGGAAGGCGGTGAGCTCAGGCATGTGCATTTGTGGAACGCCGAAGCGGTTCGCCTTCGCTCGCTCCCACACGCCCGTCACGCCTGCAATCGGCTGTAGCTTGTTCAAGCTCGGCGGAACAGCAGGCTTGAGCTTCTGCGACAGCCAAGACGCGGACGACGTAGGCTTGACAGGCCTGGGCTGGGCGAGGATGGGTTGTCCGGCTGGAATGTCGTCCTCGTCTGCTGAGGCGCAAAGTCAGTCAGGGTGGGCTCGGAGGCATGAACCTGAGAAGGGAAGCTCACCGGGAAGAGAGACTTGACGCGAGCGAGGAGTCCGCCGTTCCGCCCTGGTCTCTGCCTCGGCCTCGAGTAGGTATTGCAGCGAGACCGTCGACGCGTTCCTCGAGCGAGACCAGGTCCGCAAGTCGACCTCCCCATCCGCGTCCTCGTCCCAAGAGTCGCCTTCTTCGTCCGAGACAGTCCAGTCGCTCGGGAACTCGTCCGACTCGAGGGACCACGGCTCGTCGTCATCGTCCTCCTCATCGCTGGCGGAGTCCTCGGCAAAGGAGCTAGCCAAACTGCTGCGACGACCGAATGTGGCTGACGAAGCTGAAGGCAACGCGCGCACGCTGTGTGCGGGCGAGAAGCTGACGAGCTGCTGCCTTCCTGCGCTGCTCATCGTTGGCGTGACCTGCGAAGGCGACGTTGTCGCGCCCCTTGCCAGCAGCAGCTCTTCGACATCGACGTCGTCGCGGTCGCGAGCGATGTCGAGAGCTGTCCGGCCGTCGTTCACCCTGACGTTGATCGATGCGCCGCCCTCGAGCAGTAAGCGCGCGATTGTGACGCGTCCATACAAGGCAGCGAAGTGCAGCGCCGCGTAGCCGTTGCGGTCGGGCATGTCGACAGCGACGCCGCGCTGGAGGAGGAAGGAGACGAGGCGGTGGAAGCCGAGGAGGGTCGCGAGGTGGAGAAGGGTGTGTTGCTGTCCGTTCGCATGCGAGATCGGCGGGCGGGTTGACGGAAGCGAGGGTGCGGCACCCGGGATGAGGGACGGGTCAAGGTCGAGGAGCGAGAGGAACTTTATGACGATGCCTTCGAAGTTGCGGGTTTCGCCGGATGCGACGGCCGGAAGAGAGGGAAGGGAGGTGGTCGACGCGTTGGGCGAGTCGCTGAAAGACGAGCGGCGAGAGGAAGAGCGAGATGTGGCCGGCGTCGGGTAGACCGATCGGGCTGCTGCGTCAAGAGTGGCTGCAAGGCTGGCGGTATCGGTAGGAGCGCTTCCGCCGTTCGACGGGGAAGTCGAACCGCTTGGAGCGGCAGCCTGTCCGCCTGGTCCGTTCCCAACAATCCGCATCGCAACCGCGCTCGCGTCCTCGAGGCGACCCGTCATCTTCAACCCGACGACCTGCAACGCGAGCTCGAGCAGCGAGCGGTCCGAGTCGTCCTTGTAGGTGAAGAGCTGGAGGCCGGTACCCTGTTCGACGGTGAGAGGCACGCCCTTGATGCCGACAACGACGGGTCCAGGGTTGGCAGACGGCGGGAGGACACAGACCAGCGTGTTGTTCGACCAGTAGTGCGTCGCGGCAGGTGTGTCGCCGAAGACGCAGACGAGATCACGGACGAAGTTCTCGCCGAGGACGGTGATCTCGATTCCGCCGTGAACGGGGCCTTCGCCGGGGATGAGGCGGCCAATACGAGGCGCAGGCGCAGGCGGCTGCAGCTGGTTCGGCTGTTGCTGCAAGGCCCAGCTGGGCGTGAAGCTCGCTGGCATCGGCTCGGTCGCGGGAATGGCGAACGACGGGACCGAGGATGGCGCAGGCGGTGTTGGCTGAATCGGCGCAGGTGCAGGTGCGGGCTCGACGACCGAGGCGTTCGGCGAGGGGAAGGCCGAGGCAAACGACTGGAAGGTGTCGGAGGGAGCGGTCGAGCCTGGCGAGTGAGGCGGGCTCGAGACGTTCGATCGCCGATCGTAGCCGTTCGAGAAGGACGGACCCATCGAGGCGGATCGACCATTCGGCAAGTAGGCGGAAGACGGCGTAACGACGCCAGATGGCGGCGCAGACGGGTCTGCCATGACGGCGTCGCCCAAGCCGCCGAGGCCAAGTGCCGACCCGAATGACGATGACGACGGAGCGCTGTTGAGCGGCGGGAGAGCCACGCCATTGAGCTGCGCCAGCTGTTGCTGTTGCTGCTGGACAGACTCGGGGACAAGTTGGGTCGTCGAGGTCATGGGCGAGCCTGGCTTGGAAGTGGACTGAAGAGGCGTCATTGCGAAGGTCGGCGAGCGATGCTGGTTGCTCGTGCGTTTGCGGGACGGGCGCGCATCAGCATCGTAAGGGCGGGCCTTCTTGCTAGCAGCGTGGTAAGCCGGCTCGGCGTCCGCCTCGTCGTCGCTGTCAGTCTGACCACGGCGCGAACGACCCGTGGCGGCGCGACGGGGGCGGCTGGAGGTACCGTTCGCAGCGGGAGGTGAGGGCGCCTTCTTCTCCCGCTTGCTCGCCGCACCCGCCTTGCCAGCCTTGCGCTTACCAGTCGCTCCGACCGCATCGGGATCCTGCCCAGCCGCCGCAGTGAGAGCTTGCGATGCTGCCACCGCCGCCGCACTCTGCTTGTTCGAGTTGGTCTTGTGGTCGTCGGTGATCATGATTGGCGGGGTGGACCCGCTCGCGACGATGTGGCCGAGGTGGTCGCGCAAAGCGTACGTGACGCTGCGAAAGAATCTTCTTAGTAGCTTTATGAGCCCACGAAGCGGAGCGGACGCACCAGAAGCCCTTCTTCTCTTTGTGATGGCGGCAGTAGCAGGTGACGCGAGTCGGCAAGACCACTTCGCCCGAGGTGAAGTCGACAAACTCGGTCACGTTGAAGACGACCACCTTGCGCCTCTCCTCCTCGGACGTGAACTGCGGCTCATCGTTCGCGACCGGGGGCGGCGCCGTGTACGTCTTGCCCTTTGAGTCCTTCTTGCGCTGCGAGCGCTTGATCTCGCGCGCTTGGCAGTTGTCGCAGATGTAGACTTCGCGGTTGGGTTCGGTAGCAGAGACGACCGCGACGTCGAGGTCGAGTGTCGTTTCGGGTGTAGGGTCAGGCACTGCGAGAGTCGATGTGAGCGATAGCGGGGTTGGACGGAGGACTGAACTCACGAGGCTTGGCGTTCTTCTTCGGCTGCCCCGTCATGCCCACCTTGTTTCCCCTGCTGCTCTTCAGCGCAAGGTACCTCGGCAGCCGGATGTGGTTCCAGCTCCCAATCCGCTCGAGCTCGTCTCCCGCCTTGGCCGCAAGTCCTCCATCCGGCATGACCATTTCGTCCGCAAGCGACTCGCCCGCCGAGTAATCCATATCTTCGCGCTTGATGCCGCCCCGTGGTCGGACCAGCGCAAGGGAGATCTTGATCTGCGTCTCGACGCGCGACTTGGCGCCGACTGCTGGGACGCCCAAGACGAGAAGTTCGGGTGGTGCGGCGGAGACGTTCGAGGGCGAGGGGAGGATGGAGGAGGTCGGAGGAGCAGCGAGTGCGGGGATGTGATTCGCAGCGAGGACTGCTTCGCGCGCGACGAAGTTGACGGATTGAGTCGGTCCGCCGGCCTGCTTCGCCTTTGCTGTGGGTGCCGCCGCACCGACGAGTCCGTTTGGCTGAAGCGCTGCGGACGAAGTCGATCCGTCTGAACGACGCGACAGGCTCGGGTCTCGTGAAGTCCGGGTCGACCGCGCGTAGACCTCGCCGACACCGTCGTACGCAGTCGACGCGCTCGCAATGCTCCCTCGTGCGCTCGAAGCGCGAGTCGATCGGCCGTACGGCGAAGGGGCCATTTCGGACGTCGGGGAAGGGAGGGGGGAGGGTGTCGCGACGCCACTCGTCGCGGGTGCGCCGGTGTTGGTAAGTGCGGGTGCGATGCCTGCGTTGACGGCAAGGAGGTCGACAGGGATGGACCAGGGCTGCTGCTGTTGGGGAGGCTGCTGCTGCTGCTGGAGGAAGGCGTTCGGGACGGAAGGTGCGGGAGCAGGTGCGCTGTGAGGAGGGAGCGAAGAGTGCGCGTAGGCCGGCTGAGAAGACAAGGGTGTCGGCAGCGCATGAGTTGGCGCCGTTAAGGTTGAGGGGCTGTGTCAAACAAGGGTGAGCCTCCTGTCGACACGGCATTCGAGGTGAAGGGGACGCACCCGCAGACGTCCTCATGCACCATATCGTCAAACTCCATCTGCATCTCGTTCTTTCCGCCGTTCGCCTGCGCGCCAAAGTAGTCTGTCGCCCGCTGAGCGCCGTCCCGGTCCTGCTGCTGTCCGCCCGCGCTCCCCGAGGGCGACAATGCCTCCTGGCCGGGCGCCGCACTCCAGAAGTCGCCCGTGAGAGCAAGCCCGTCGTTTCCCGTGCCGTTCCCGCCCTGTCCGTGCCGAGCAGCGAGCTTGAACGCCCCTCCCGACGCCGTGGCCTGCGAGGCGACAAAGCCCGGGTCCATCGCTGCCATGCCGCCGAGCGCGGCGGGGGACGCAGCAGTCCACGGCATGGTCAGGCCGAGGTCGAGCGCCCACTCTTGCTGCGACGCGGCCGAGTACGCGGGTGAGGAACCATCCGAGGGCGATGAGGTGCTGGCGTCGCCGCCGGACGAGCTGGACGAGTCAAAGTGCGCGTCGGGATCGTATTCGTGCATGCTCGAGTGCGCCTGCGCCGCCTCGTAATCCATCGCGGCGTGCAGCCGGTGTTGGGGTGAGGAGCTCTCCCTTCGGCGGTGCTCAGAGAGGTGATGAGGTGGAACGACTGCGGCGGACTGGCGGGGGTTGTAAGCGATTCGAGTGTGCTGCTGGGTGCGTAGACAGCGTGTAACAGCGGTCTGGCAGCCGGGAAGAGCCAGTCGTCGCTTGTCAAGACGCTGGCAATTGCGAAGTCCCTCTCTCGGCTCAACCTTGTCCTCACTGAGAGCTTGCGTATCTTGCCTGTGTTACGCTCGCAGTAAAAGGCAATCGATGCGCCTGCGACACGTTCGGCGCGGGTGCAGCCGTTGCAGAGGAACCAGAGACTCCTGGTCGATCCCCCGGGAAGCGAGCCCGTCCAGCTCTGGTTCCAGCAGGATTGCGAGCCCGCGTATCGCTTGATGCTTCCGCCCCGCGCCGAGCACGAACGGGAGCATCGAGTCCCGAGCGGGAGAAGAGTGGAAACGAAGCGGTCCCTCGACAAGGCGCATGGAGGAGAACGACTGATTGCGGATTGATGCGGGCTATGCACAGCGACAGCGAAGGTGTCTTATGTCCAATAGTTGTGATAGCTGCGTAGGCAAGCCGGGTCAGCACGCAACAACCACAGCGCCTGGTTCCAGCGGACAGGAAACGGACTCACCGCTCCTGGTGGACTCGGCCGCGTCCTCACCGACTTGATCCATGTTGAGAGGGTTTATCTCAGCGTCCTCAGCGATGGACTTGACGCATTTGACGGCGGATTCGGAAGCCAGGGATCTTGCCTGTACCGCAAATCCGCGTCAGCCTGAAGATGCTCGCGCCGCTGCTGCAAGACACACACAACTTCGACATCTGTCGGTCTACCCGCGTCGGCACACTGCTGCTGGTACAGTTCTCGAGCCCGCCAGGCGGCAGCTTTGCCCAACAGCTGCTCTGCTTGTCACTTGGACTCGATTGCGGCGGTCATGAAGCGTTGGTCGGCCTCAGATTTTTCGGAGTTGTCGCTGACGAAGGACATGTCGGGCTGGCGAGTGTCGTAGGGGTGTGAGGAAGGAGGGAGAAAGAAGCGAGTCGCTCGAACAGTCGCAAGCCAACCTCGTCCGACGTCATCGAGCCTCTGGCCTGTTCTGCCACGTCCTCTCCAGCGCTGCTAGTGCGCCACGACCGGTCCAATTCCGCCCGGCACACGCACTGCGACCGAAGAAAGCAAGTTGGCGGTTGGCCGGTGAGGCATCGTCGACAGCGCGGCTCGAGGGCGTGGGGAGCGACGGGACAGGTCGAGCGAAGTACGTGCACCCTTGCAGACAGGTCTAGCAGGCATTCAAGCGGTCCAGTCGCAGCGGGAGGACGAGGTCGAGGTGCAAGAGGCGAACTGGCCGGTTCATCAGCGTCTGTCTGCTCGCTGAGCGCTGTGCTGACTCAGTGTGCTGCCTGAGCATCTGTACAACTCACTGGATCTCAGCTAGACCACCGCCGAGCCGCCCGAAGCCGTCGCATCTCCCCTCGCCTCCTCCACTCTTCACGCTCGTCCGGCTATTCGAAGCGACACGACACTCTGCTCGAGCGATTGGTGGAGCATCTTGACTGTCTTGACGACCCACGATAGTGCGTACAGTCTGCCCATCTGCGCACGGACGAGCTGAGAGCTGACCCGGATCGTTCGCCAGCTTCACGATGCCTCCCTCTGCGCAGACGAAGAAGCTGCTCCTCGATGGCTCGCTCTTCATCCTGTCCCAAGTGGCTTTCTACTATGCGTTCAAGGTGTGTCATCCTTGCTCGTCTGGCACCCGACCTGGCTAACCTCTTCCTCGGCTCGCCAGGTCGTCATGAACCAGATGGACCCGCAGAAGTCGAAGCGGAAGGAGTCCAAAGCCAAATCAAAGGAGGCGCTGGGCAAGCTGGGCGTCGACCTGTCGACGCTCGAGCTGAGCGAGCACGAGGAGATCATCGCGGGCGAGGTGGTGGCGCCGGAGGATATCCATGTCACTTTCAGCGGTACGTCCTTCTCGAAGACTCCGGCGTGCTTGCGGCCTGCGTCGCTCATGGCGCATCGAACGAATCGCTGACTGACCCGGCCACCTCGTAGACGTCGGTGGACTGGATCCCATCATCTCGCAGCTCCGCGAAGCCGTCATCTTCCCTCTCTGCTATCCTCAGCTCTTCGAATCTTCCGCGGGACTGTTTGGTGCGCCAAAGGGAGTCTTATTGTACGGTCCTCCGGGTTGCGGAAAGGTGCGTTTGAAGGCGTTTCCCGTTCTCGACTTGGACTGCACTGACCGTGCTTCTCCGCGCTACACAGACGATGTTGGCGAAGGTCATTTTCAGCCTGCATGATTCGTAGATGGAACAGCAAGCTGACTTGTCCTTGCGACAGGCTTTGGCACGGGAATCAGGCGCTACCTTCATCAACATGCACGTCTCGACCCTGACAGACAAGTGGTACGTGCAGTCCGACACTCGCGGAGCCGATAAAGCCTGGAGCTGACGGTTAACGGCAACCAGGTTCGGCGAGTCGAACAAGCTCGTCGCCGCCCTCTTCTCCCTCGCGCGAAAACTCCAGCCGTCCATCATCTTCATCGACGAGATCGACTCGTTCTTGCGGGAGCGGAGTCGGGCAGATCACGAGGTGACGGGAATGATGTGCGTGCTGAGTTTCCGGATCGCTGTGTTGCACATCCCCGAAACGAGACTAATCGTCTGTGCTTCATGACCACGCAGGAAAGCCGAATTCATGTCGATGTGGGACGGCCTGACAACAACAAACGACACCCGCATCCTCGTCCTTGGCGCGACGAACCGCCCGAACGACATTGACTCTGCGATCCTCCGCCGGATGCCGAAACGATTCTCCATCAAGCTGCCCGATGCGAGCCAGCGACGCAATATTCTCCAGCTCATGCTGAAGGACATCAAGCTCGACAAGGGATTCGATTTGGAGGGACTGGTGCGGAAGACAGATGGGCTCAGCGGGAGTGACTTGAAGGAGGCGTGTCGAAATGCGGCGATGGTGCGTCCTTGCTAGCGACTCTCCTCATCCCTCGTTCTCTCGAGCGCTGGGCTGATAGCACGGCGCATCGGTTGCACAGGTCCCCGTCCGGGAATACATGCGCCAGAACCTCGGTACCGGCGGCCAGATCGACGTCGAGAAAGTCAAGGCCGGCAAGTTCAACATCCGCCCCTTGCGGCTGTCGGACTTCTTCGTCTCGGACTATGCGCAGACGGGGACGGGCGGGGCGATGGAGCAGGAAGGGTTGGATTGAGGCGGGAGCGAGGGAGGATCAGGTATAGACGTACGAGGGAGCCTCTCTAAGTTACGTAGCTGCTGCTTGCAACATTCTTCGCCTGTACACCCGCTCGAATCTGCGAGATTCGCGAGACGAATCTCGCCGCTCAAGTCGAGCGACCTGCGAATACTCGTCAAATACAGCCTGCGTCTCCGTCGCTCTACCACCCCTCCTTTTCGCCCAAGACCTCCCTCCACCCACTCATCCACCCCTCCTCAAACCTCCGCACCGAAAACCGTTCCTGCGCATTCCGTCTCGCCGCCTCACGGATCTGGTCTTGCTCGTCCTCGGGGAGTGAGACGATGTATTCGAGTTGGGCGGCGAAAGATCCGGGGAGAGAAGAGGTGGGCGAGGAGGCGGAGGCTGCGAGGAAGCCTGTTGGGGTGCCGGAAGGGGAGGGGAGGAGGATGTCGAGCAAGGGACCGGCTGAGGCGTGCGCCAGAGGGATTAGGCCAGCAGCCTGCGATCGCCGTCAACGAAACGTATCAGCTCATGTGCCTCGATGGAAAGTGTTGCCAGAACAGATCAAGTCGGAATTGCTGCGACGCACCTGGAATTCGACGACCGTGATCCCAAAGTGCTCATCCACCATCGTATGCAGCCCGACGCTCGCCTTTCCCATCCACTCGCAGATCTCCGCATATCCGGCATTCACCACAAACTCGACCTTGTCCTCGACACCCAACTCCCGCGCAAGTGCTCGAAGCGCCTCGACTCTCTGCGCATCCGCTTCGTTCCGCACTGAACCGGCGCAGACAAGTTTGACTCGCGCCTTGAGGGTTGGAGAGAGGGTAGGCGAGGAGAGGAGGAATGCGAGAGCGTGCAGCTGGGTTGAATGCTCCTTCTCGGGTCGGAACTGGGCGAGGGAGATGATGATGATGGGTTCGGAGAGGCCGATGCGTGAGGAGGTCGAGAGCGGGAGGGAGGAGAGGTGGACGGTGTCGCAGGGCGGGTAGAGGAGGCGGATGCGAGGTGAGGTGCTGGGTATCTTCGGCGTGCGAGGAGGGGCGGCGGCGGCGATCGCTGGCTCGGCCTTTGTCAACGTCCGCCGTTGACGCAGCTTCGTCGTGCTTGACTCCTCCCCATTGTCGAGGAGCACCTCGCCCTCCTTATCCTCCTCCTCCTCCTCCCTTTTCGCTCCAATCAACCCCTCCACATGCCCCCTCGTCCAGCTCGAATTAACCCACACAACTCCCGCCTTTCTCAAACTCCAGCTGTACACCCTCGCAAAGACGACGTAGTAAGCGAGCTTGAGAGCCGAGAGTGCGCGGGAGGAGGCGATTAGGGTCGAGTTGGTGTGGGTTGAGAGGCGGGATGAGACACGGTGGAGCATGTCGGTGCTGCGCCAGTAGACGGTCAGTGAGGAGATGTTAGAGATGCAGGGAAGGAGGCGGAAACGAACCTGATTGTTGGGTAGTGGGTGTAGCTTGCGACGGGAATGCGGCAGAGGTATTTGACGAGCGGATAGGCGAAAGCGTAACCCATCGTGTCTGTGAGAACATTCGACAAGAGTATGTATCAACCGTCGCTCTCGCTCGAGAGTCGAGATAGCCGAAGCGCCTCTCCAAGCCGAACTCACCAATCCAGACATCCGGCACGCATCCCTCCGGCCCGATCAGTCCCTCCAGCGCAAGCAGAACGCTCCCGAAGCTCTGGCCGAGCAGTGTGAGGCGCGGGTAAGTCGAGTCTTCGACGAGCCAGCGGTTCTCGAGCGGGATGAAGTGGAGGGTCGAGGGGGAGAGGGTGATGTCGAAGCGGGACTGCGACACGCAGCTCGAGGATATTAGCTTGTGATCTCCGTCGTTACACGGTAACAGCCGATGCAGAAAAGCCGCATGCGCACCTTGACTTTCGCCAGGATCTGCTCCTTGGACGCCTTACCGTGTCCGACGTCGCCCGTATAGACGACGAAGACAACCGCCTCGCCCTTCATCGCCCTCTGCATGCACGCGAGCGCAGTCCACAGCACGCGTTCTCCTCCTCCGCCGGCATTGCTGCGGGACCGAGGGTGTGAGTGTCGTTTCCAGAGGGAGAGAGGAGGCGGCGCACCAGTAGGGATGGAAGAAGCCGACGATGCGGATGTGAGGCGAGGTGTAGCCTAACTTTGCGAGCACTCGCAGACGCTGGGCGAGTGAGCGTCGCGGGATGAGGTAGCGGCGGAGTGAGGCGAGAAGGAGGGTGAGCGACAGCAGCGGGACGGCGAGTGAGAGTCCGAGCGACCACAGTGCGGTCATGGCGAGGCTCGAGAGTGCCAGCAAGCCTGGGTAAGCTGACAGCGAGTGGTTGTGAGCAGGCGAGCGGGCGACGCTGATGAAAGTCGAGCTGGTCACGTGCAGCGAATTCGGCGGGAGAGGAGGCGACAGACAACAACCCTCGCTCATTCTCCCTCACGCACGCTGACACGCTAGCTGGAGCAGTGCACGGGTGAGTATACGCTACATACGCCTGACGAGCAACTCCCGCGGCCACCACACTCGCTCGTCCGGCCGCCGACTCGTCTCACCCAACTCGCGCCTCTCGCCCGCTTCACACGACTAACACAGGCGCAGCCAAGACAGCGTCGACCGCACACGCATGGCTCACGCACTCCTGTGCTCGCCCGCAACCCGCTTCTCGCCCGACTCGAGCTCCGACTCGCTCAACTCGCTCTCGCCCGCGACCCCTCCCCCTCCCTCGCTCGACTTTCTCTCGCACCTCGGCGACGGCTCGTTCGACCGCGAGGCGAGCCCGACGGGCCAGTTTGACACGCCGACGAGGAGGAATGGGTATGTCAGGGAGGAGAAGGACCAGGGACCGCGGCAGAGTACGCTGAAGGGCGGAGTGGGCATCGACTTGGCTACTCCGCAGCCCGACTGGGTGACGCATGAGCTCGACGAAGAGTGGATCGCACAGCCTGAAGCGGAGGCAGACGACGATGGCGCTTCCACGCGAGGAGGCGAAGGTTCAACGACGATCCTGGCACCCTCGTTCGCTACCCCGTCCACCCAATCCCCGACGCTCATGCCTCCATCCCCTCTCCCTCCTTTCCCGCCTTCAACGCCCTCTCACCTCCTTCGCACCCAACCTCGCGTACCCAGCAGTCTCCGCCACGCCTTCACAGCCGCTTCCTCGCCCTCATCCAGCATCGCCTCTGTCTCGGTTCGCGGGAACGCGACTGATACAGAAGCCGAGACGGAGACGGACAACCACACGAGGGATATGAGCATCTCCGCTGGGTCAGTCGTCGAGATCGCCCATACCGATGCGGAAACCGACGCAAACGAATCTCTCGCCGCTCCCCCTCTCATCGAGTTTAGCGCCGACTTGCCCGCCTCAAACGAAGCTGCCGACGACGAGAACGACGAATCAGTCGGCTCGGCCGGTACAGTCGTCGTCAACTCCGACTCGGTCGTTGATCGTGGCTCGAACGCTGCGAGAGGGAATGAGCAGCTTCAGGCGGCCGTCAGGGCTTTGCGTGGACCTAATGCGGGATTGTTCATGGCTGCTGAGGGCGAAGAGGGATCCGAGGAGCAGGAAGAAGACGAGGCGGGCAAGAGGAAGGCCAAGGCGCTGTTGAGTTTGTTTGAGCCGCCTAGTCCAGACGGTGCGGCTTCCCCTCGCCTCGTAGTGCACGACACGTACTAATTCGTCCTTCGCCGTGCAGCCCTGCCGCCGACGAACCCGCTTCCACCCTCAACCCGTCCCGCACCCTTCCTTTCATCCTTCACCTTCTCCCCGCCCTCGATCCTCCCCCCAACTTCCTGGCGCTCACTCAACCACTTCTCCCCGTCCCCTCCTCCTGCTCCTCCACAAGCCGACGAAGACCGCACCCCGCTCGCCCGCAGTCGTGCCCGTCTCGGAGGCGAAGAAGTCGACACTCCGCGCGCTGGAGAAGGGATGAAGAGGCCGCCTGCGTTGGGCAGGAGGGAGAGGTTCTTGAGACGGAGCGTGAAGGCTGAGGAACGGAAGGAGGAGGAGGGAGGGGAGAGCTCGGACGATGCGCCTTTTGTTCCTGCGCCCTTGGAGGGAGGGACAGTCACGACTACATCGGAGGACGACGAGGATTCGACGGACGAGGAAGAGTTGCGGAACGGCGGTCGTGCGGGAGGAAGCGGGCCGCTTGAGATGGAGGTCAAGCCCGGGCTTGGGTGGAGCAGCGACGAGGACGAGGGATCGCTCTCGCGTGACGATGAGGAGGCCGACTTCCCCTCGAGAAGCATGTCGGCTCTGCCGACTCCGCCTTCATTCGACGCTGCGCCCCTTCCGACCGTCTACGAAGCGTCCGAACCCGCTTCCTCCATTCGCTCACGCACCTCACTCGCTCCTCCCGCTCAACCCTCGCTTCCCCTGCCTTCTTCTCCCGCGCGCATCCCCATTCCGTCGCCGCTCCTCCACCCACCCGCATCACCTCTCAAGCTCTTCCAGCCAACCTACGACACCGTAACCCGCCACCACCTCGCCGCGCTTGTCGACGAGATCGACGCGCTCTCCTCCAATCGCGACGAATACCTCCGCGAAGGTGCACCTGCGCCGCTCAGGCAATCACAGGAGCGAGAGGAGAATGTGAGTGACGAGGGATTCTTGGGCGAGGAGGGGGAGAAGAGGAGCTCGAAGAGGATCAAGTTGAGTCCCAGGAGCGAGTTCGTCTCGCGCTTTAGGGCGGATGGCGAGGATGGGTTGTCTCGCGTCGAGGAGGAAGCGGACGAGGAGAATCAGACGCCTGGACGGGACGAGCGAAGCAGACGAGGCGGAAGGAGGTCGACGAGGTCGTTCTCGATCTCTCCCAGCGCACGGCGGCCGACTCCGCTCCGCTCTGCGCGTCGACCACCTCCATCGTCGCGGCGCCGCACAGCCGACATCTCGTCCGCCTCGTCGCTCCTCACGCTCCCAACGCTTCCTTCGCCTGTACCGACATCGCCGGGCGGCTCGAGCCGGCGTAGGGAAGCAGTAGAGGAGGCAGAGCGGGTCATGGAGCGCATCAGGAAGAGGGAGGAGGAAAAGGAGAGGGCGAGGGAGGGAACTGTCGTGAATCGCGTCGAGGAGGTGAGCTACCCTACCTTTTATTCGTCCGCGCAACATATGGGCTGACCGGAGGTTGCTTCGCAGACGAACCGCTCGTCCGCTTCGCTTTCCGCAACTCCTGTTCGCGGCGAAGCCTCCTCGACTCAGCACGACGACACCTCCCCTGTCCCGCTTCCTCACCTCGCCGCAGCGGCTTCTGCCTCGCTCCGCTCCGTCCTCGGCTCGCCAGCACCCGCACCCGCCTCTCCCTCGCTCGCATCTTCCTCTTCCCTCGGCTCGGGCGCGAGGCTTCCGTCAACCTTGCTGCAAGAGAAGGGCGGCTCGATTGGTCGTCGACATTTCGCGCGTACCCCTGTCGGTGCGAAGAAGAGCGGTAGCTCGAAGGCCAGTGGTCTGCACGTTGGCGTGCTGAAGGGTCTATGGGGGAACGAAGCGGAAGATGCGGACAGTGAGAAGGAGGTCGAGCCTATGCCTACGCCCACCCTCGAGACGGAATCGGCTGCGGCCGCGACACCCGTCGCTGCAACCCGTCACGCCCGCCAGACATCCCTTACGACTCTTCACCCTTCTCTTCCCGCGACACAACGCCTTCTCGCCTCGGCCGGCGCTTCCGCTCGCGAGAAAGGTCTCGTCTTCGACTCGGAGCAAGGTCGATGGATCCGCACGCCCAGGCGCCTTGCAACGCATGTGGAGGAGTCGAGCCACGCCGAGACGTCACCCGTTGAAGACCCGCTCGTGGACGCTCAGGAAGATGAGGACGAGGAGGACCCTTTCAAGGACTTCAGCGAGTTGCGGAGCGACAAATCCATCGTCGCGCCACCCGCGGCAGATACAGCTGCGGATGCGGCGGTCAACCTTGATCACCTCCCTCATGCCGGCGACGGAAGCGGCAGTCTCCCACGTCGCTTCGTCGAATCCGTCAGCGGCCTCGGTATCACCAAGGGAACGCCGCCTCTCACCGGTGCTGCATCGTACGCACCTGAACCACCTTCTTCCGCCATGCAGCAGTCGCCCGCCGGAGCGTGCTACTTCTCACCTCCGCCAGCCGAGACGCGACCTGCCGAAGAAGGCACCGACGGCCCTCATCTCGTCCTCGAGAGCGAAGACTCGGCCACTTGGGGCCGCGGCGATGCGCTGCGGAAGAGGGAGGAGGCGCAGAAGCTCTTTAACGTCGAGGAAGCGGCGCAAGAGGAGGACGAACTGGACGACTTTGCGGAGACCAGCATGCTCGGGCTGTATCAGGCGACACATGGCGAGATAGAGGAAGATGAAGACACGACGGCCGAAGCGCGACCTGCGCCGCCCGTCGTCGCTCGTCACCAGCCTTCACACTCTACGCCTCCCGCGACTATAGCTCCGACGCCTGCCACACCCTTCAGCGCGACTCGTCCTCCTCTTTCCGCCTCTGCACCTCAGCCTCCCCGCTCCGCCCTCAAAGTGCCTCGCGCTCAGTCTGATCCCCTGGCAGTAACTCCTCTCGCTCGGGTCGTCGCCGCCGCCGGCCCGCCACGCAGCGTCAGTTTCTCCGACGGCAAGACGAGCGGCAAGATCGAGGGACTCGTGCCTCTCGAGCCGTACAAGCCGTTCGCCTTCCCGTCGAACGCGCCTGTCGGATTCGGCAGTGGCCTCAAGTTCGAGATGGGCAACGGACCAGGCTCGTTAGAGTTTGACGAGGGCTTTGAGACCCAGAGCGAAGTCGCCGAGACCGACGAGGGCGACACGACAATCACGCAGGAGCAGGTGCTCGCGGTTGAGGCGCCGTCCGTGCGAAGTCGCAAGGTTGGCGAAGCGTTGGAGTCTCTCACCCGAGGCGAGTCGTTTCACGCTTGACCTCGCGCGTCTCTTAACCCCTTCGAACTCGCAGGACCCGCCGATTCGCCCTTCGCCGCCCATTTCAGCCGCGCAGCGAACCGAGACTCGTCCCTCGCGCTCTCAGTCACTTCGTCTACCACGTCCTCGCCAACGACGGCCTGTGTCCGCCCTCGCTCGCGCAGCTTCACCCGGACGCACTCGCAGAACGGTAACGCGACCTTCCTCACCGAATGCTCGTTTGGCGTCTCGCACGACCGCCTGCTCCAGCTCATCACCGACGTCGAGCCCTTCGAGCCGGACTGGGAGGGTTTACGCAGCATCGACCTGAGCCGGAAGAAGGTCGAGAGCGTGGTTCGCTTGAAAGAGTTCCTGCCCAAGCTGGACGAGGTGAACCTGTGCGTACAGCTTCCGATTCCTCGCCGGCCGCAGCGGTTGACGCCTTGTCTCGTGCAGCAACGAGAACGATATCTCATACCTCACCGGCATCCCCTCGACCCTTCGCACCCTGCTCGTCTCGTCGAACCGCCTGACAAGTCTCGCATCCTTCTCGCACCTCCGCAACCTTGAGCGGCTCGACCTCAGCAACAATCAGCTCGAGTCGGTCCACCAACTCGCCTGCTTGAAGCACCTTCGGGAGTTAAAGGCGGACGGGAACGAGATCTCAAGCATTGAAGGGGTTGCCCAGCTCGACTCGCTCGTGCGGCTGAGCCTCAAAAGCAACCGGCTGCAGAGTGTCGACTTTGGCAAGACGAAATGGTGCGTCGAGCATCCACGTCCCCCGCACTTACGCTGACCATCTCCCGTTCGCAGGACCCGCCTCGAGACACTTCACTTCGCTCGCAACGAGATTGCCGCGCTCCACGGACTCGAGCACCTCGTCTCCCTCACGACGCTCAACCTCGGTCCGTCGACCTCGTCCGCTCGCTCAGCGCCACTGCTAACGCCTCCCTCCCGCAGAACACAACGCGCTGACCGTTATCGAGCCATCCGCCGACATGCCTCGCTTGCGCGTGCTCCGCCTTTCCAACAACCCTCTCTCCGCCCTGGACGTCTCGTTTGCGCCCAAGCTCCGGACGCTGTACGCCGACTCGACCCGCCTCGGCGCTCTCGAGGGTACCGACCAGCTGAGGAAGCTCGAAAACCTGAGTCTGCGAGACCAGTCGGTCGAGGGACTGTGCGTAGCACCTTCAAGCTGATGCTGAGTCTCGCTGACCCACCCGCCTGCAGGTCGCTCTCGATGCCGCACATCCGCGATGTCAAGCGCCTCTACCTCTCCGGCAACCCTCTTCCCAACTCATTCCCGTCAGAAAAGTTCTTCAACCTCGTCTACCTCGAGCTCGCCATGTGCCAGCTCACCTCGCTGCCCGCCGACCTCGCCAGCGTGATCCCGAACGTCCGCGTCCTGAACCTCGACTACAATTTCTTGCACGACCTGGCGCCATTGCAGGGTCTCTCTCGGCTGACGAAGCTCAGCGTCGTTGGCGCGAGACTGGCCAAGGCCAGACCAGTCGCGACGGTGCTCGCCAGCCTGCTCGAGCTCGAGTCGGTCGATCTTCGGTGCGTGCCGTCGCTGTCGTTCAATGCTTTACGACAGCTGACAACTTGTTCGCTCCTCAGGATGAATCCCTTTACGCTCGCCTTCTACCCGCCTCTCGTCCCGCCTTCCGACTCGCTCCTCCCCTCGCACTCCGAGCACCGCATCCTCCACCCCGACTCGCTCCCCTCCTCGGTCCCATCTGACGCCATCGCCGACCCAGCGACGCACAGCTCGGCGTGGCAAGCGCTCGACACCAAGTTCCGCCGCGCCTTGCCGGACGAGTGGTATCACCGCCGTGCCGCCTACCGCGCCGCCATTCTCCAGTCTATCCCGTCACTCGTTCGCCTTGACGGAATTGATGCAATGAAGGAGCGGCCGAAGCTGGCGAGGCGGGTGGAGACGCTGGCGCAGAGGCGGAGTCGGTGAGGACGGTGATTCTGCGAGCTTACCCCTTCGACTTTCGTTCGTTTTGACGTTCTGTTGTTCTTTATTACGCATGTGCATTGCGTTGCCTCTTTCGATGGCATGATGCGAGACTTTGCGGGCGAAAAGAGACCGAGGCTGTTCGTAGCCTCCCTTCGCCTGCTTGCCCTCTGCTCCGAGTCTATCCGAGGAGGCCGCCAATGCTCTCGTGCTCTTTCTGCTGCTGGCAACCGCCGTGATGGCTCGCAGTCCCCAACTCCGCCTTCGACAGCTTTTCTTCCCCCGGCCTTCTCAACCTCCTTCTTCGTCTACGAAGCCATCTCTGGCGAAGCCTGGGGCTGCTCCTGCCGTCAACGGGCAGCTATAGGCTTGAGTAGTCGAACGAAAGGCTGGGCTCATGCTGCAACGGCCGCAGAAATCCCCGCCTAGCACCTCCTCCTCCTCCTCCTAAGCTTTTCTTCCTTCCCCAGGTCTGCAGAATCCCCGTCCAGCCTCACAGGCACATTTCTGCTCTTTTTCCGCACGTGAGGGGGTGTAACTCAGTGGTAGAGTGCGTGCTTCGCACATTCTTCGGTATGGATGCATCGAAGGTCGACGACTGCACGAAGTCCAGGGTTCAACTCCCTGCTCCTCCAGCTCTTTTGCCTCCCAGTGCGACAGACGAGCTGTCGCGCGACGCTCGAAGCCTTTGAAAGTCGAGTATGGACGGTAGGAGGAGGCGAAGCGAAGATCGCTCTTTTGCCGTTTCCTGCGTCCTTCCGTCTCCTGTGCGGCCGTATTCTGACGTCTTATAGACGCTCGAAAAGGCCTGAAGGTTTCCCGAGCTCGAGGGACGACGTTTGGCTTGCGAAGAGGCGAAGCCCTTCTCCTTCCTCGTCTCTTCGCCGCAGTTTTGCTCCGTCCGTCTCCAGCTCGCTCACAGTAGCTCAGATTGGCGCGTTGTTCGTCCCGTTCCCTTTCGCTGCTGGAGATCCAGCACTCGACGCAGCGTCCCGCTTAACCTTCTCCCACTCATCTCGTCCAGGCTTTCGCCGCACGACGCTCGCGACCTATTTGCTCCCCCAGCAATACAGAGCAGTGCACAGTCTTCAGCAAGGGGCTGACAGAAAGACTCAGAGTTGTTGACTTGCGAGCACGGCGCAAGGAAGCGAGAGATGGTGACAAGGAGCAAGCATGCATTAGTCGTGTATCGTGAGGGGATGCAAGGGGTGCTACATGTAATGGGAGAGGACAGAGAGAGAGGCTACACGTGCACATTTGACGGAGAACAAGTATGGAGCAAACCGAGAAAGCAGAAAGCCCTGACGAGAAACGTCCCGCCTCACGCCTCCTCATACCTCGGCGGCTCCGCTCCTCCTCCTCCTTCTGCGCCTCCCGCTCCACCCGCCTCTCCCGCCGCCGCTGCCGCGGCGAGCGCATGGAAAGAGTATGACGAAGGGATGACGAGTTCGCATCGTATGATGGGGCGATAGGCGAGCCAGTATCCTCCCTGCACAATCCGCATCCATCCACATCAGTTCGTTTCACAGGTAGGGTAAGGAAAGGGAACGCACCTCCGTCTCCCTCAACCTCCACCTCAACACCGGACCCTCCTTCGGTGCCATACTCTCCGTCCTCCCCCTCTCTGCCTCTCCATCCAGGTAATTCCTCATCAGTCCTGCGTTGGTGGAAGATGTGATGGGGAGGGGGGACCAGTCGCGCGTTCGGGCGCGGAGGAGGGTGGAGAGCGTGTACCGGCGCATGCGGACGGCGTTGATGGCGAGACCGTTGAGGAGGATTATCAGGACCAGGGCGATCTGTGGCGTGTCACTTCCTCAGTAAGGAGTGAGGGAGATCCGAGCGAGAGGAAGGGAGGACGAGCGCACCTCGACACCCTTCAGAAACCCCGTCTGTTTCCCCCCTCCCTGTCCCAACGCCACCACCAACGCCACCAGCCACACATAGTCCATCAGTTCGACCAATGCGAGCCACACGCGCGTGATGGCGAGCGAGTCGGGAATCGTTTGGTTCAAGTCGGCGATGCGGGATTTGAAGAGTGGGACGAGCGGGTGAGGGTCGGACGAGAGGGGGGAGGAACGCGATGCGTGCGGTGTGAGGGCGACGCCGGAGTCGGCTGTTGTAGATCGACGGAGAGCGGAGAGCGAGATCGTGCTCCGTGTCGAACGGCGCCTCGAGACTTGCGATTCCTCGTCGCGCGCCTCTCGCGCCACAGTTCCAGACTCCGCCTCGACCTCCCACGGCGCCGTTTCGTCGCCCCCGAACTCGCGCGGCCAGCGATTCCACAACTTCTCCCTCTCACCCCTCAATGCCCTCCATATCTCCCCGACCCTCAGTCGCTTGTCCCACCTGCCTTTCCCGCCGACTGCCTCAGGCGCAGAAGGGTGATAAGCCCACTTGATGACGCAGGAAGAGGTCGAGGCGGTGTTGATCGAGGGGATGTGGCCTGGAGGGAGGTCGGCGTCGTGTGAAGCAGAAGGGGAGTGAGGGCCTGTCGAGCGCCGCCTGTTGGGTCCGGGGAAGTAGACGGGCGGAGGGGCGTCGCGCGCGGGTGCGGTAGATGTGGTCGAGGCAGGCGATGCGGCGGGAGCCTGAGGAGGGGAAGCAGAGGGTTGTGCGAACGAGGGTTCGCGGACGGGGTAGATGCGCTGTTGCCAGGACGGCGTGTACGATGGCCGGTTGAAGAAGCTTGCCATGCGTGCTCGAGTGCACGGTGTGGTGAAGGCAGTCTCGGGACGCGCGAGAGTGGAGGAGGCGGAGGAGCTTTACTGAATAGAGGCAAGTATGCGAGTGACTATTCGTAGCAAAGTCAAGTAGCAGGAATACAAGTTGACCCATTGTCCTGCATTGCTCCGTTGTTCCCCCTTTGCAATTTTCACCGGGTCTCCATCCGGGGGTTCCTCTTGTCCTCCCTCACTTGCAACGCTCGTTCACCGGCGCCACCATGGTGTGGACACTCTGCCTGAGCACCGCACTCTTGCCCATCGTACTCGCAGCGCCCAGTCCGTCCCCACTCCCTTCCCACCAGAACCTCGCCGACCTCGCTCGTTCAACCCCGCTAACACCTCGCACACTCGTAACAGCGGGAAACGCAACTGCAACAGCGACAAACCTCTTGCCTGTCCCCTCGTACGCGACCCAGTCCACCGCAGCGTTTGCGACCGCGACAGCCAAGGCGCTCGCTTCGTCTTTGCCTGGGTGCGCCGGAGTGTGAGATGTGTGACCGGGGATTCCGCTGACCTGCATCTGGTCGTACGCAGGTACACCTACAACCTCACCGAAGAGGTGCGCTCCCCCTCTCCAGCCCTCCACGACGCCCGCTGACCCTTGCCGGCAACTTGTTCCCCCCTTCTGTGCTCCGATCGCAAATTCCCCATCTCCCCCCTTCCTTCCTCGCCTCGCACACATCAGAGCGAAGCGACCCGCGTCTCCATCTGTAACCAAACGACAGCGTTCTGTGCTTCGGCGGGGTGCTCGGCCGACAATGCGAATGTGACGGTCAACTTGTGCGTCGCTCTCGTCCTCTGGAGCTCGAGTGCGGGCTGATTGAGTGTCGGCACAGTTGCAACCCGACGACTCTGGGCTGGAACTGCGAGTGCAACAACAAGGCGCAGAGCAGGCTACAGCCCCTCACTGTCCCCGTAAACACCTACGGTTCGTCCTCCCTCCCTCCCGCTCCCTCTCCCTCCCGCTCCCTCTCCCTCCCTCCCTCCCTCCCTCCCCAACTGACGCTCGCTTCGCTCGCGCGCAGACTGCCGCCTCCGCACCTCTGCCTGCCTCGACCAATGCCAAAACCCGAAAGCCTCGCCGCCCGTCAAAGACGTCCAGGCGTGCCGGAACGCGTGCAATTACGTGATTGGCAGTACGTGCGGGACGGGCAATCAGGTGCTGCCGGAGTATCAGGTCAAGAATGAGGGGGACAAGCCGAAGTGAGTTTGCGCGAGGCGGTGGACTTGCGGGCGAAGCTGATGGTCTTTCTTCTTCCGTTTTCTTCCTTCTGAGCAGATACTACGCCGAGTACGCCCCTCTCTCTCTCCTCCCATCGCTCTCTCCCGCTAACACTTCACGTGCGCGCGCAGCACCTCCAAAGGCGGCGTCGCAATGGGCATCACGACCTCCTCCGCGCTCCGGTCACTCGGCTCGCCTGCGCCTGTGCTGGCGGGACTTTTGGCGGTTGTTGTTGGTGTGGTGGTGGTTGGATGGCGCTGAGGCGGCGCGGGGCTTCTCAAGACGGACACTCTTTTCGACTTTCCATCGGTTGGACTCTATCCGGTTTCTCCGTACTCCTTCTATCGAGTCGGCTGCGCATGGCTGGCTCAGTTTGTATCGCTCCTCTTTTGCTAGTGTTTGTACCAGTCGTGCTTGTATTGCCAGTTGCGCGGCCGTACGAAGAGGACGACCTTCTTAACCTCCGCTCCTTTGCACCGTCCTTGTTCTTCCTCACCGCACTCTCAAGCTATACCGTTCACTCGCTCGAATGCCGTACGCACTCACGCACGAACAGCGACCGGCGACGTTGCAGTCGCGAACGGGCGTCTCCGCAGCTCTCGACTGCGACGGAAATAGCGTCAAAGGGCGAGGGGCTGGGCGTACGAAATTACATCAAGCCGTTTAGTCGAGGCTGCGTCGCTCGCTCGCTCCCTCTCTCTTCTTGCTCTCCTTCACATCACTCGCACTCGCACTCGCACTCTCAGACAAGCACATCGCAGAAACCATGTGTGCGTACCCGCTCTCCCTCGCCCTCGCTCCTCCCGCTCCCGCTCTCGCCGTTCCCCACCTCCCCTCCCTCGTGCGTGTCGATCAGACCACGTCGACCCCCTTCCCTCCTCCTCCTCCTCCCCGCCCGCGAAGCCTTACTGACCCCTTCGTGGACGCACACAGTCGACTTCTTGTCCGTCCCCCCATCCTCCCTCTCCCTCCCTCCCTCAGGACTGACGAGGGTTCGTCGCGGATGCGTGTGAGGGTACACAGTGGAAACGACTCGTACCAGGCTCAGGCCGCGCAGGACGTGCAGAACAAGCACAAGAGCGAGGTGCGCGAAGCTTGCATGTCGGCGGCGGGGACATTGTTGCGATACTGACACCTTGGGTTTCGTGTCGCGCGTTGCAGCTCTCGCACGAGGTGCGCTTTCGTTCTTGCTGACGGGCTGAGGACGACGCTGACGAGCGAGTGGGAATGCGCAGCTCATCGCCGCCGCCGCTGCTTACGAGGTTCGTCCGCATACTTCCTCCTCATCTTGACTTTCTCGTGCTGACCATGATGGTGATGGTCTGTACAGGCGCAGAAGGCCTACGCCTCGCATGTCGCTGCCAACGGCAAGCCCGAGTCGCACCAGAAGGTACGCTTGAGCGTCTTTTGAGCCTCGCGAGTCGTTTCCAGGCCTTGGCGACTCTCCCCCGCCTCTCTGCCTTCTTCCCGCCTCTTTCCGACTTTTCCGGCCTTCTGAGCGTTTCTATGTCTACTCTGAACGCCTACTCGCCGCCCTACACTCCTGCTCCGTCGCCTCAACCCTCGTCTTCGAGAACCTCGACCACTGACTCCTCAACGTCTCATGCGCGACAGGCCCGCGAGCTCCTCGCCGCCTTTGCCGCCGCCGAAGCCGACAAGCTCATCGAGACCAAGGGACTCGACTTTATCGACCGCGAGGAGGCCAAGCGCCAGGCTCGCCAGCACGCCGAGCAGGTTCGTTCTTCGCTCGCCTCCCCGCGAAGAGAGCGCTGACGAGTGAGGGTTAACGCAGGCTATCTCGCCTGACAACTACTGAGCGTCCACGCGCTGACCCTCGAGGACGTGAGGGGAGAGAAAGGGAGGAGCCGCTTGAAGTCTGTCTGCCAAAACCCAAATGAAGTTTTCGTCGTCTCGCTTGCGGTCTTGTGAGAGAGGAGAGGAGCTTGAGCGTGGCCTTGCTCAGCAGGAGATTGTGAGCGTCAAGTGAGCGTCGCGGACGGCGAAAGGTGCAGAAGAGAGCGAGCAGGCGTCCCAGCAAGTCCGGCCTCGTCCCTCTCACTTGTGACGCCCCCCCTCCGTCTTGCCTGTCCAAATGCCTGCAAAAGGACTCCCTTCACGCAGTGTGACGCACTGTGGGCGCAGAGAGTTGCGCAGCCGCTCCCAACTCATGCTCGAGAGGACGGAAGAAGTCGCCTCGTCGACAGCAGGAAGGGCGCTGCATCGCTCCATCGCACCCTACAGCAAGTGTTCAGTGCCGAACCATGAGTAGCGGCATGCGCCGATGCGCCGAGAGACGTCCGAAGCTCCTCCTCCCTCGCAACAACGTTGCCCTTGCTTCTCCCTCTTCCTCGCCCATATCTCTCGACAGCGCACACGATGCACACGCAGATTGTCCACACGCATTGCAAACGGCATTCTTCCAAACTCGAGAGACAGAAAGGAGTAGAGACAAGGCGAGGGAGCGAGCGGGGCATTGTCGGGTTTGCTGGCGTAAGTTGGGTCGGGGGGATACAGGAGCGGAGAGAGTGAACATGCGAGAGAGGGGTTGCGGCTGCGAGGGCGCGGAATGGGCGAGTCCCGGGGCGCTTAGCGGGACTTGGCGAGTCCGACGGCCTGCGAGCGGTCTGGAGGTTAGTAGGCGTCTCGCGGGGCTTCGTGCGGGACAGCGTACGTTGCGCTTGAGGTCGTAGACCGAATAGACTGCGAGGAGGAGGCCGGAGGAGACGTGGGTCAGCGCGGAGGGCGCGGGAGGAGGAGGGGATGGTCTGGGGACGTACACTTGCGCAGGAAGACGTCGCCGATGACCCAGATTCGCAAACCCCCGAGATCGATGCCCATAAATGGTGAGATGCATGTGCCGCCGCTCTCGAGGATGTAGTCCTTCGCGTCGAGGGCGTACTCCTTCCCGCCGAAGACAAAGGTGACCGGCGGGAGCGACGAGACGGTCGAGCACTCGACGGTGTCTGTGGATAAGATGCGTCAACACACCTACTTCCCCTGTAGACGCCGTGAGGCGCCACGGGAAAGGGGGGAGGAGGAAATTGAAGTACATGCGCCCCCGAACCGCCCTGGGGAAGCCCCAATCTGCTTATTTACAATTGCGGCCGTATCCGTGTCAAGCGCAATCAAACTTGTACCTGGAAGCAGGAGAAAGAGGAAGAAGAAAGGCGAGAAAGGCGAGGGACGACGAGGTGAAGGTCAGCCCGGCCGCTCCCGAAGCCCCGCCCCACACCCATAACCACAGCAACAGTCCAAGACGCACCCGTGTCGATAGCGGCGCCCGTGTTCTCGAGCTCGAGCGTCTCGTCGCCGAGCTTGAACGCCTCGAGCTCGATCTCCCAGTAGCCCTTGCGGCGAACGGGGAAGTACTCGATCTTGCCCTGGTAGTGCTTGTCGTCGATTCCGCCATAGACGATCTCGCTGTCGTCGTTGTCCTTGCCGAGGTAGACGGAGAAGACCTGCTCGTCGATCAGGCCTTGGTTGATCATGTTGTAGAAGGGCGGGACGACGCCGTTGACCGAGATCGTGTCGTACGCGATGCCCATGATGCCGTCTGAGCGCAAAAGCCGTGTCAGCGGCGCCCGAGACCACAAGAAGCGAAACACCGCGCACCAAACTTGCCGAACGCAAAGGTCAGGCCGGGCTCGCTCGTCGCCTCGGCAAAGTCCTGGTGCTTGATCTGCAAGTCACCGACGCTGACCGTGTCGCTCGAGATGAAGCCCTCGAGCGAGCCCGAGCCGTAGCGGATCGCAAAGTCGGACCCGTTGGCCTTGTACGTCGACGACTGGCTCGAGTCGTACTTGGCGTGGAGGAAGCAGGCGATCGACGAGCATTTGACCGAGGGGACTGCGCGGGGAGACCGTCAGCGCGGGAACGACAACCGAGGCCGGAGCAACGACAGAGCCGCCCGCTGAGAAGGTCACGCATGGCAGACGACGGCGAGACGACCCAGCGACGACTCCGACGACGCAAAGACACCACGAAACGCACCCCAGAGGTTACTCGATCCAGAATCGGGAATGACCTGCGTGGACAGGAGCAGAGTGAGCGGACTGAGCCACCGAACAACTCGCACACACAGCACGCACCTTGAAGGTCTGCGGCGGGGTGCCGATGGTGATTTCGTGGTAGTACTGAGCGTTGGCAAAGTCTGCACGCGACAGAACCGGTCAGCAAGCCCCTCTGCGCCGAGCAAGGCCTCATCGGGAAGGCGGGCGGCACGCACTCGAGATGGGGACGCCGTGGCCGCCTTTGGCGAGCTCGTCGTTGAACTGGTCCTGCTCGACCTGGATGCGGAAATCGGTGTCGCGGCTGGGCGGGTACTTGCCGCGCGAGAAGGCGAGCTGGTTCGAGTACCGCGCCAGGTACTTGTCGGCGAGCGCGGCGACCGAGTTGACGCCAAAGTCGTCGGCGGTGGTGCGCTCCATCTTGTGCAGCTTCATCCTGTGTCATCCCGATCCACGCAAGCACACCAGAAGGGGAGGAAGCGAGGCCGCGCCATCGTCAGCTCTGCGAGGTGGGGAGGAGAGGCGAGCCATCGCACCTGGTTCCGCCGGCCTGGGCGCCCTGGGACGCCGCGAGCAATGCGAGTGCAGTCGTAGTTAGCGCGAGCATCCTCGATGAGCAAAGTCAAGCGAGGTTGAACAAGAGGAGAGACCAGGGTCCGGGTCAATGAGGATGACACGGCTGGAAGAGGGGGAACGGCTTGCAACGCTTCACTCGCGATAAGAACGACGGCGCAACGACGATTACAACAACAGGACGACGAATGAACTACTCCGCCCGACCCGCCTCGAGCGAGCGCACCAGGTCCGCCCACGCCTCCCTCTCCAGCTCGAGCGCGGCGACACTCAGCCGTTCCTCAGCCTGCGCCTCCCGCGCCTCCTCCCGCACCCTCTGTGTCTTGCCATCCCACAGCGGTACCTTGCCCTCGAGCGGCTTGAGCAGGTCGGCGAGCGCAACGCCTCCTGGACCCACTGCTGATGCTGCGGGTCCTGCTGTGACGAGACTGCCAAACGACGGGTCGATCAACGGTGCTGCCGACGTGCGGGAGACGCGGAGGTGTCGGATGGACGTGCGGAGGGCGAGTTGGATGTCCTACGGGCGTGCAAAAGGTCAACTCTCGCGGGAAAGGAGAAATTCGCAAAAACGCACATTCAGCGTGGCATAGTAGCCCTCCGCGTACTTGCTGAAGTCGGCGAGCTTCTCTCCTCCCTCTCCTGAGGCCGCGCCGCCCGCCTTTGCGCCGTCTTCTACCTCGTCGTCGTCCACCGCAAGTTCTCGAGAGGTGAACGAGGACAGCGGGTCGGGGTGGAGGGACGCGAGAGTGCAGCCGGCAAAGTGGAGCAGTGCAGCAATGTTCTGGGCGCCACCTCGTAGGATCAGCAGGGCTTCACGGCGAGTAACGGAGCGCGAGAGAGGAACGCACCTCCTCGACGACCTTGAGCTCCTCAATCCGCTTCCCCGCCCGGGTCTTCTGCCACGCCTCCTCCTCGCCTCCGTTCTCTGACCCGTTTTGAGACCCTTGATCCACCTCCATCTTCGTTCAGCCCCGTGCTGAAAGCGTCAAGTCGGCGAGAGATGTGTCGGGCGAGAGGGGGTGGACAGCGAGTCGTGCGCCGTCTAGCGGGTCATGCGCTCAATAGACGCGTACAAGAGCAGTCTGAAAGCTCTACGAGCCTCTGCAAGCGCCACTCAGCCGGCGCAGTGAGCGACAGAGGCCAACCCAGCTGCTCGCTCGACGCTCGACCTTGAACCAGACGCTTCTCGCCGTTCTCTCGCTGTTGAAGGCTCAGACTACGCTACTTCTACTCGCCCAAACTCATAGCTGGCTCGAGACCGTCCGCAATCGCCAGCCTGTCGTTTGTTGACTGCGAAATCGCTCGGTACCGACGGTCGACGACATCGCGCGGCGGGACAGTCTGTGGCGCGTGCTGGGCGTAGGCAGGAGCACAGACTAGGTCAGTTTGAGCCGGGCCAACTCAGCAAGCAGACTTGCGCGTACTGACACCGTTCACCTCCCTTCCAACTCCCCATCACAACTCGCTCACAACGCCGTGCCCGTTGGACGCCCATACGACCTGCTCACACGAAGAAGAAGCATGAGTGGACCACGGCCGAGCGGGCGCTACCCGCCCGATGCGCCAGACCCTCGGTACCATCCAGGTCTCCCGATGCCCCCTGCGCATGGCATCCCTCCGCGCCCCGACTTTTTCCCGCCAAACCAGCAGCAGTACAACTCTCCGCGTCCCAACTTCCCGCCACCGTCACTGCCTGCACCGCCTGGGCGTTACTCGCCCGCCGTCGGGCCCGGATCTGGCTCACGAGCTTACGACGAGCGATTCGCGCCGAACAACGCCTTTCCGCCGGGGTATGGGAGCCCAGGACCGCAGGGATTGCCCTTGCCGCCCAAGATGAGCTACCCTCCTCGCGAACCGATTCCCCTCCCGCGACCACCACTCCCCATCGATGACCGCATGCCGCCGCCTCCCATGCGTTCGGGCAGCGGTGGAGGTGCGGCCACGCCGGGAGGCGCAGGGTGGCAGCAGCAAGGAGGACGTGTGCACGACGAGCGGTGGGACTATCATGGCGGACCTCCACCTCCAGGCGGATTTGCCGGCCTGCCACCTCATCCTGGCCATATGGGCGTCCCGCAGAGGCCTCCTCCGCCGTCTTCGAGCGCGCAGTTCCCTCTCCCGCCCCACCCAGGGGCCGCCGCAGCGTATCCTCCACCTCGAGCGTCTTACCCAGAGTGCGTTCGTTCGAGACAATGCCGGTCTCGCAGAGCTGACTCGAGGACTCTGGCAGCGACCGCAACGGCTCTCGAGCGTCCACCTCGTCCAGTTCCTACCGCCCTCACTCGCCGCCCCGCTCCTACTCGCGACCCGACCTCGGCCCTTCTTCCTCCTCTCGCTACCGCAGCCCCTCTCCCGACTACTCCCGCTCCCCGCGCCGCCACCGCTCCCCTTCCCCGTCCTACCGAGCTCGCGAGCGCGAACGCGAGCGGGACTACCACGACGGATACGAGGATGAGCGTCACCGCGAACACCGGTCTCACCACCGCCGACCTCGTCCGCGCTCCCGCTCCCGCTCGCCCATCTCCCGTTCACCCTCCCCGCCGCCAAGACGACGCCGTCGCGGCTCGTCGTGCTCGTCGCCCGGCATCTCGCGTTCGCCTGAATCGCCTCGCGTTCGTCGAACTTCTGCAAACGCGAAAGCAGGTGTTTGGCGACGAGGGCGGAGTGCATCGAGGACGCCGAGCGGGAGCAGTGATAGCGACCGAGGGTACAGGTCGTCGAGGTCGACGTCGAGGGATAGGCGGAAACGGTCGGGCAAGCGGAGACATCGCGATGAGGAGACGCATCGAAGCGGTGGACGCAGGAAGCACAGTCCCGAGTCTGAGCGGAGAAGTAGCGGGCACAAGCGGAGGCGGAGCACGGACGAGCGATCGCACGAGCGGTTTGACGACCGGGACGACAAGAAGGCAAAGACGGCTGCGTCTGGGCCAGGTTACGCGCAGCCGCCTTTGCATGCCAATGGGTCTCGCAGCGTCTATCCGCCGTCAGTACCGCAGAACGGCGCACACGAGCGGGCCTCGTATCCTCCGCCGAACGCCCTCCCGACCGGTCCTCGAGCCGTCAACGACCGTTCCCACCCTTCGACGCCCGGTGCACCCGGTAACGTCTACCCTCCTCCCGGTCCGCCCCTTCATCGACCGCAACCGCAGCATCCGAACGCCTTGCCGTCCCAACCTGTCGGCGCCGTCAAGGTCCAGCTCGCTCCTACCGGTCCTCGCGCTCCGACTGGCCCGAAGGCGGCTCGCCCTGGTTTCGTACCGATCGGTCAGCAGGCGCAGCACCAGCAACAGCGACTCGGGCAAAGCGCGCAGCGAGTTGCGGCCAGGACGGGCGTTCCCACCGGTCCTCGCAACGGACCTGTCGCTGGTGATGTCAAGCGGTTCTTCCCTGGCGATGAGGACGAAGACGAGGTCGCGAAGAACGCGCCCTCGGGGCCTGCGAAGGGCCGTAAACCGCCACCGCCAGCGCCGGCAGACAAAGGCATGGAAGGGCCGTCATGGGAGGAGAGGTTGGGACAGCGAGACGGCGGAGCGCAGCAGCGTATGCAGGACGATCGAAGCTGGGTCACTCGTCAAGGTGGAGAGGTTTCGCCGCCCAGGCGACAGTTACCGCCCGACGAGGACGACCGAACCCCACCGTCGCAGCCGATGATACTCAATCCCTCAGCGAACGGCGGTCCACCGCAACCAGCTGTTCTGCATCGGGCCTCGTACGAGCGGCCAGGCTCCGGCCCAGCACGACCCGCGCCGAATCAGCAGCAGCAGCAGCTTCGCGCAGGGGGCCCGGCTCAGGCCGTCCCTCCGCTCTTCGCGCCTCGTCAATGGGGCGCACCACCGACAGGTCCCGCAGCTCAGGCATCCTTCACTCCGCCCGGCGCGAATGGACAGGCCACGCCAACAGGTCCCGCCTCTCGCGCTTCCTCAGCTGCCACGCCCGCCCTTACCGCTCCGCCATCGCCAAAAGCGATTGACCGCGTGGACTCGCAGTCTCTCCCGCCGCCCACTCCGTCAAACCCGCCTACGCCTGTCCCGACCGCAGCTCCCACAGCTGCCGCAGCTGCCGCCCCGCCTCCCCCGCCGCCTACCGAGCTGTACGAGCGGCTCGTCCAGGTCGGCGAGGGTACGTACGGAAAAGTGTACAAAGCTCGCAACGTCGAGACGGGCGGGCTTGTCGCGCTCAAGCGGATTAGGCCGGAGGCGGAGAAGGACGGCTTCCCCGTGACAGCGGTCCGGGAGATCAAGCTCCTCCAGACGCTGCGGCACCCGAACGTCGTCGAGCTCGTCGAGATGCTCGTCTCCAAGGGTGCGCTCTAGTATTCCGCTCAATTCGCGCACTCCGGAACTGACAACTGTTGTGCGCGCGACAGGCCAAGTTTACATGGTCCTCGAGTACCTCGATCACGATCTGACTGGCGTCCTGCACCACCCGTCGATCAACTTCAGCCCGGCGCACCTCAAGTCGCTCATGCAGCAGTTCCTCCAGGGACTCGGCTTTATCCACCGTCGCGGCGTCCTGCACCGCGACCTCAAGGGCTCGAACATCCTGCTCAGCAAGCGCGGCGAGCTCAAGATTGCCGACTTTGGTCTCGCTCGCTTCTATCAGCGCGGGCGCAACAACGACTATACGAACCGCGTCATCACGCAGTGGTATAAGCCCCCCGAGCTGCTCTTCGGCGCGACCGTCTACGACGAGCGAGTCGACATGTGGAGCGCAGGGTGAGCATCGACGTCCTCTCGAGTACGTCGACCTTCACTAACGGCTCTGCCTTGCAGTTGCATTTTCCTTGAGCTCTTTGCGCGCCGGCCCATCTTCCCTGGGCAGGACGAGATCCACCAGCTCGACGTTATCTTCAGGCTGACGGGGACGCCCAACCTCGACGACTGGCCCGCCTTGCAAGACCTGCCGTGGTACGAGCTCGTGAAACCGAAGGCGGTCATCGAGCCGTGTCTGCGCCAGGAGTTTGCAAAGTGCGTGCGCTCGCATCTCTCACACTCTTATGTCGCTGACCCCTGTACTTCGCAGATACCTCACGCCTGCCGGTCTCGACGTCGCCGAAGCCCTTCTCGCGCTCGACCCTGCTCGTCGCCCGACTGCCGACGATGCGCTCAGGATGCCATACTTCGTTTCGGAGGAGCCCCAAGCCGAGATGCCGACCATGTGCGTGCACCGTCAACCTGCTCGCCCGGACAAGACTGACAAAAACGCAACCTCGCAGGCTCGCCGATGTCGAAGGCGAATGGCACGAGTACGAGAGCAAGCGACAGCGACGGCGCCAGCGCGGCGACGAAGGCGCGTAGACCTTCATGCCCGCTCGATCTGTATCATAATCTGCACATCTGCACCTCGCATTCTATCGCAACTTCGCACTTTCTCGCGCGCCCTCATCTGCACATCTTGCAACTCTTGCGTCTCTCGTGCGGAACCGATGCGAGAGAACGCTGTTATCACGCACGCCTCACGCTTCGCTACCGGCAGTCCAGACGGACCCAGAGTCTCCCGTCTCGTCCTCGTCCTCACTCGCCTCGCCCGTTCCGACTCTCCCATGCAGACTGGCCTCCCTGCTGTCGCCATCCCCGCCCGTATCCTCGTCGCTGTCCGAGATCCACTCCTTGCTCTTGACCTGCTGTCCGCCCTCTTCCATGACCTCGTCGTCCTCGCTGTCCACGGTCGCCTTCGAGCGGTTCCTCCTGCGGCCATGGGTCTCCTTCCGAAGTCGGTCAAGCTCTTTCCGCCGCTGACTCTCAGCGACCTTCCTCCGCTTCTTCTCCTCCGCAGCGGTCGCGCGCGCCTCGTCGACTTTTTCTTTTGTCGCCTTGGCCGACTCGCGACTCTGAAGGAGGACCTGTTCGAGCTGGTCGACGAAGGGAAGGAGGTTGAGGACACCGTCGAAGGAGTCCTTCGGAGCAGCGCTGCGCAGGTGTGCAGGCAGCGCGCTCGGCAAAGGGGTGAGATGGGACGCAAGAACGGTGAGAAGACGATAAAGGGCGTGAGGGAGCGAGGCGATGAGGGCGGACGGAGTTTCGTGAGAGGCTTTGTCCGGCAAGACGGAGGACAGGGTTTCAGGTCCGGAGGAGTCGTCCAGATCGGTGCAGGGAGGCGCCCTGTACAGCGACGAGATGATGGAGGCGAGTTGCGAGAGGTACGATTCGGGAGTGGAGGGAGGACGGCCTGAGGAGTCTGAGGTGTCTTGAGGCGGGAAGAAGCGCGAGATCTCAGGCATGCCTACGAGAAGCGTAGGACTTCAGCTGCAGTCAGCAACCTGGGATTTACGCGAGTTGACGCACGGCTGGGGACCTTCTCTTCGCTGACAATCTTGGTTTCGATGAAGCCGAGGTATGCGTCGATGTCTTCCGGCAGCATATCGACAACTTCTTGACTACAAGTGCGAAAACGGTCAAGATGGCGCGGATGGCGGGAAGAATGGCTGCGCACCTCCAGAGGCGGGACTGATCGCCTGGACGTTCGAGCGCTGCGATGCGCTCAACAGCATCGAGCCAGTCGTCGCAGCGAGGAAGCTTTGAGGCTACGGCGGACAAGATCGGACTGTGTGAGAGCTTGTCATTCGCAAGAGCACCTGGCGGAGGAGCGCAAAGTCGACTTACGCTTTGCCATCAGCCCGGTCCTCGTCGAGCGTCCACAGCATCCGACACAGCAAGACCAGCACGGTCGCGATCTTGACCTCAGGCAGCGCAGTCCGCCAATCTTGTGCGAGACCTTTGTCGACGAGCCGGACGGGCCAGGCGGACTTGTGAGCGGGAGAGGCGGAGGCAGGAAGGATGATACTGTCGGCGAGGTAGAATGAGGCTGTAGCGGGAAGCTGGCCAATGAAAGTGAATGCGAGAGAGTAGGCGAGGGCTGTCGAGGATCGCGCTGTCAGACTACCTGAACTCTTCAGGTCGACGAAATGCTCAACTTGCGCGGAAGAGCGAGAACCTCGCACAGCCGTCCGAGCATCAACGGGACGTTCGCCTCGGGGAACTCAATCGACCAATCCTCGCGGTACATCTCGACGAGCCGGGCGAGCCAGATCTGAGCTGTTTCTTCGCGATGCTGGTCGAGCGACGGGTTGTGCGAGTAGAGGTGTGGGATGGCCTGCGATGGCAAAGCTAGTCAGCCACCGGCTCTCCCCCATTCTAGCTCGAAAGGAACCCACAGTGGGCGAGAGCAGGTCGCGATTGTGGTGATGAAGATGTGCCTGCATGTTGGCAGGCAGGTGGATGACGGCGTCGAGGTAGCGGATCTGGTAGGTTTCGGCGAGGCTGCAGAGAGAAGTCAGCACATGCTCAACCAACGAAGGCGGCTTGCGCAACGCACCGGAAAAGGTCGGCCAGGAAGACGGGCAGACGAAGCGTAATGCAAGCGAGGTAGATGACGAGCAGCGTGTACTCCATTCGCGGCTGATCGCGAGGATTGTCGCTCTTTGTCTGAGCAGGCACGAGACTCCGCCGCTTGTGCTGAGGGTATCGAGCGGAAGCTGGAGGCTGTTCCTGCGAGTTGCCTGTCGCATGTGGCGAGGGTTGCCGTGAGAAGGGGGAGCCGGTACGACTTGCTGCGCCTGCACGCGGTCGCTCGTCGTCGGCGTCCTGACCCTCGGAAAAGTACGAATCGGCGTCCGATTCCTCCTCGTCCTCGTCCGCGCCTTCCGCATCTGTCGTCGTGGCGCCTCCTCCGTCTCCGATATCGTCTCCCGCATCTTCTTCCTCCTCATCCAACTCCTTCTTGACCGGCTTCTTCGCGCCTCGCCGACCGTACGGCTTCCTCCCAGCGCGAGTGTAGCGGTCTCCCGGCCTCGGTCCGCTGTAGCTGCCCGCCGGTTCCTCGCCCTTCTCGTAGTCGATCGGCGCAGCGGGCACTTTCGAGCTGGCGACGAGCATAGTCCACAAGTCGCGTGCGACAGCCTCCAACTCGACCGGCCAACCCATCTCGTCGATCAAGACACGCAGCTGCTCGCGCAGGATGAGCTGCATGCACTGCCAGACGAGGAACGTCGCCCTATGGCCGTGAAAGTGGTCGTTCGAGGGCGGCTTCTCCTTCTTTGTGCGCCCTTTGCGCATTCGGCGGGTCGTCTGGGTGTGCTGAGAGGGTCCTTCTTGCGTTTCCGTCGTCTCTTGCACGTAGCCCTGCATCAAATGGCCTTCCTCGCAGACGATCGAGCCTGATAGCCCGTCTCGGTGCCATCTCTTCGAGTTGCAGACCGGGCAGCGCGGTCGTTTGGGCATCTTGGGTGAGCTTCGAAGGGTCGGGGCCGGGAACGGCGAGGGGACGATGCACTGGATTGGGCGAGACGGGAGTCGCTAACGGAACGTTAAGGAGAGGGAGTCAAAGGAAAGCCTGTGTGAGAGTTCAGCGAGATGTCAATCGAGAGGCCGGAAACAAACAGCTCGTCCAGGCGCAGATGGGAGTGTGTACGCACAGTCAAGATCTTCTGAGTCCGTCTGAGCGTTTCATCAGCTCCGTGCGCTGTATGTCCCTACGTCGCGAGTCGCTGAACGGGAAGAGCTTCTGGAGGAGGCGAGGGAGACGCGGTGGCTTCGGGAGGGCTGATGGCGGTAACGCTGCGTTCTAGCAGGTCGCACGAGCGTCCACAGAGCACGGCAAGGGAACACAGCGCTCCGGGAGCAGACAGACGTGATGAACCGGCCAGTTCGCCTCTTGCACCTCAACCTCATCCTCCCGCTTCGACTGGACCGCTGGAATGCCTGCTAGACCTGTCTGCAAGGGCCCACATGCCTCTCTCGACCTGGCCCACCGCTCCCCACGCCCTCGAGCCGCGCTGTCGACGATGCCTCACCGCTCGACCGCCAACTTGCTCTCTTCGGTCGCAGTGCGAGCGCGCTGCGAATTGGACCGCTCGTGGGACGCTATTAGCGCTGGTGAGAACGTGCCGAGACAACGAGCCCGAGGCCCACCGACAGACGACGTTGGCTTGCGACTGTTCGAGCGACTCGGTTCTTTCCTTCTTCTTCTCATCCTACGGGGCTCTTCTGCCCAAGATGTCCTTCTTCGCCGCAGACTCCGACGAAGTCCTCGATCATCAGCGCCTGATAATCAAGACCGGGCGAGGCAATGAAGACAGAATAGGAGCATGGGTTCAATGCAGCCGCTTGGCGTGCGCAAGGAGCCTAGAATGAGCACTCGAACAACGAGGGGCAACTATCAGATGTCCACAATGTGCGTTCTATGATTCCTCGGCGCCTACGAGCGAGACGACCGTCAAAATTAACGCTCGCGTTCGTGCAGGCAACGTTCCTCGCTACCGTCTCTGTCGCCCAGGCTGTCGATCAGTTGGCGAAGGACGTCAAAATTGAGCACGTCAAGTTCGACAAGGCGAACGAGACTGGCGCCGCGCGAGCGCGGGAGGCTGACGCCGCTTGGCTTCCGGTCTTCCTTTGCCGCGCGCAGACCCCGGCGCTCTGGCGCACTCGCAGTGAGCATCAATAACATCAACAGACCCTCAGCACCTCAATATCATCGTACATAGCCCGTGTCAACGCGCAACCAGTCGGCTCCATCCAGAATCCTCAGTTTCGCAGCATCCTCAGCTGTTCCTCAAGGACCAGCCCGTGCTGCATCTTCGCTCCTTCGCTTCGGTTGCGCCCTCCACTGCTGCTTCGCACCTCGTCAGCCTGGGGCCAGGCTGGCTGCGGACAACTCGCTTGCGCCATCGTCGTCCTCCATGGCGATTAGGCGCGTTGTTATCGCTGGACATCTCTCTTCTCCTCGGATTGTCCGCCCTGCTCCTATGCTTCTGCCTTACACCTGTCACGATGTCTGCCGCTCTGTCAAGTGAGGGCTTTTGCGAGTCGAGCGCTCTGTTGCCGTCGTCGCCCGTAAATCGGCCGGCGCAGGAAAGGACCGCTCCTTGTCCTCCCTCAACCTCTCGCAGCGACCACGAACACCTGCTAGCGACCAGTCCAGCATCCTACGGCACCATGGAGACACACGAACTGCGCCGCACTGGCTCTGCTTCCGTCCTCGCCGCCCACCCCACTCGACGAAGTTCAGTTGCCGAGTCGCCCCTCGCTGATTTGCTGGACCCGGCGACGAGTACGAATGGCTTTCCTGAACAGCAGATACGCATGCGCGGGGCGGCCAGCGCGACAGACCAGAAGAACGACACACTCGACACCCCTTCGGCTCCCGGACCTCCCCCTCAGCCAACTGCTCAGCAGAAGACACAGGGTTCGAAGAACAGGAAGCGGTGGGGCGGACTGGTGTGGGAACTCGAGAACAAGGGCGCGGTCGCACGGGATCACTTGGCGGGAGAGAGGACGTTCCTTGCTTGGCTGAGGACGAGTCTGGCGCTGGCGAGCATAGGCATCGGTGCGTCGTTTTCTCAAGCTACACCGTTATGACGGTCGCTCTCAAGGCGGTGGAGCGAGAATGCTCGATATAGGAGCCACAACGCTTCAATCTGCGGGACTGACTAACCCACACCCTTCCAACCCGCAGCCATCACCCAGCTCTTCCGCCTTCCCTCCGCCTCGACCACAACCAAATCAGCAACACCCACCTCCCTCCCCTCTTCCGCCGCCCAACTGTCATCCGCCCTCTCCGCCCTCGCGACTGCCGATCCATCTCTCGCAACCTCGATCGTGCCCATCCTGCGAGCGCAGCAGGCGCAGATAGATGCGGCGCAGGCGATGGTACAGGACTCCACGAAGTATCGCAAGCTGGGCAAACCGATCGGCGGCACCTTCATCATGCTCGCCTTGCTATTCCTTCTTCTCGGTGAGTCGCCGTGCGTAACCCTGGATCGCCTGTCGCCACTTCACTAGTTGTGCACTTCATTCCTGGGACGTTGGTCATCGCGATTGATACGACTCTCTTTTGCAGGCATCCACCGCTATTTTGCAATCCAGCTCGCCCTGATGCGAGAACCCAGCCAGTTCCCTCCATCAAGACGAAGCGTCGGGCTCGGGTCCTTCTGCGTAGGTGCGTCCCAGTCTCCACGTCGCCGATCTGCGTGCCAAGTCCTCCGACGGTCGCGCGGTGCTGATTCTTGCGAGAGCTGGACGACAGGCGCACTCATTCTCGCGACGTTCATCTCTATTCTTGCAACGCAGTGAGTGCAGCGCTCTACGTCACTGTCAGTAGAGCGGTACGCTGACTCGCTCCTTCCGCAGCTGAATCTCGCTCGCATACGAGTGAGGCGGACGAGCGACTCGCTGCTTGCCGCTGCATCGTTCGCTTCTGCTGGTCAAATCGATCTCTCGCATTGCTGCGCATCTACTCTCCCGACACGTTTGATCCCACCACCCTTCCCAGCTCCCTTACGACCGCCCTCAGTTCCAAGCCCAAATTGCCCGTGGCCACCAACACCCTCTCTACGCGCTTCTCCAGCGCTTCCTCCCCCCGTGCTCCGCTGAGCGCCTCAACGACTGCTTGAGGCGCCACGAAGGAAACGCGGTACGTCCGCTCGTCTGGCGATTCAGCGGATGGGAACGGGCTTGTGAGAGTGAGAGTGAGGGGGAGGCCGGTGAGAGGTGAGGAAGGTGAGATGGGAGGAAAGGGGAAGGAGAGGGCGAGCGATGGACCGGGAGTGGAAGAGGAGGAAGGAAGGGCGGACGCGGGAGAGGGGTAGTAGATCGAGACGGGGAGGATGAGGGGCGAGTTGGCACTCGGCGCTGCAATGAGAGAACGTCGTAAGCTCTCGTCGAGTTCCTCAGGATCAGAGGAGAGAAGCTCGCCCGCGAAAAGATCGTCCAGCGAGATCTTCACTTCCTCCTTCGCCTCCGCTGGGCCCACCTCCTTCCTCCGCTTCGGGTCCGGCACTGCCGCATCACCCTGACCATCCCGCTCTCTTCTCAACTCCTGCTCCAGCGCGACGCTCTTGACCAACTCGTTCATCCGCACTTGCGCTTCCAGCACTTTCAGCGCGTCTTGCAGGTCCCGAGCGGCCTTGAAGCGGAGGTGCGTGGCGAGGAAGGCGGGTTCGGGGGTGTTGCCGACGATGGGAGCGATGGTGAAGCGGATTGTGAGGGCGATGTCGGTGGGAGAAGCAGGGAAAGCCTGCGAGCGGAAAGGGCGGGTCAGCGCGTATCCTGGACAAGTTCTTCGTGCCCAGCGCGAGGACGCACCATTTCGAGCGTCCTCTGATCCGCTTCCCGTTGCTCGCCGCCCGTCAGCGGAAGCAACAAGTCAAGCAGACCTCTTTCCTGACTCCGCGCCCTCATGAGCGGGGTCTCCGATCCTTCCTTCGCCGCCCGCATCTCGATGCCCAGCACCTTGCAGACCGCACGACCAGTCGCCGCCTCAAACGGGACAGGCGGGTCGAGCGTAGCAACGTAGGTCTGCGAGTCTTTTCCTGCTGCGCCAAGGTCGTCTTCGATCGCGGCGAGCGAGATGCGGAGGCTGTAGACGCCTGCCTGGCGGAGCGAGAGTTTGAGTGGGGGCGTGGAGGAGGACGGGTCGGCAGGGGAAGTTGCGGAGGATATGGTGGATGCGAAGGCTGCGGAGAGCCGGGCGAAGGGCGTGGCGTGATAGACAAGGAAGGGCTGGAATGATGAAAGAGTCGGTAGGAGGAGCGGCAGCTGAACGCTGAGAGAGCAGGCAAGTCAGCTTGGGATGTGAGCAAGTTGAACGAAACCGAAGCGAGGAACGCACTCTTCAGCATCCGCTCTTATCGCAGGGAGCGGAAGCGCAGACTTCAGGTCATCCGGAAGCGTTCGGTTCAGCGCTGTGAAGCAATCCTGCCCCAGCCGCTCAGTCGCCTCGTCCAGCTCCTTCAGCTGCTCGAGCAGAGTCTTGACGCCCCGCCAACACCGCTGCCTCACTGCCTCGTCCTCCTTTTCCTCCTGAGAGCACCGCAGCAGCCCTTGCAGTTTTTCCGCTGCAACAGAGCACTGCAGGTCCTGCCCGTCGACGACATAGGCGACCTTGACCTTCGCGACGTCCATCTCACCGACGACTTCGAAGTCGACAACCATGACTTTCCCTCCGACGCTTAGCGTTACGGGTCCGTCTTTCCTGCCGCCGTCGATGCCGTCGTCGTCGCGAAACGTGACGAGCTCAAGCTCTTTCGCCAGACCTTCGAGCACGCTCAACACGGTAGGCCCGTCCGAGCCGCTCATCCGCGGCGTGGTCACCTCCCATACATCTTCGTAGTCTCGTCTTCGCCGTTTCAAAACTCGCCTGGCCCGTTCCGCATCGTCTTTGCGTGCCGCCAGCAAGGACGATTCGGTCCCTGCTGCATCTCGCAGGAGGGTGAGGTAGCGGTCCCGTCTGGCCTTGACGTCCTTCGTCTCTTCCCCGGCCACCGAATCGGCTTTAGGTAGCGCGAGAGAGGAGAACTGCGAGACGCCGGAGCGGAGGGTCGAGACGGTCGAGGCGAGCGCGGCACGGAGGTCGTGTACCGAGGTAGGCGATGTTGCAGTGAGACGATGAAGGGAGGCGGCTGATAGATCTGGCAATGTGGAAGAAGAGGCGAGGCGAGTCGTGAGGAGGGTCTGGAGGGAGTGTGCGGTCTCGAGGAGGGATTGCTCGTTCGTCGCACCCGCTGGGGTCGGCGGTTCTAGCTCCATCGCTTCGGATCGAGTGCAAAGCGAGTCCTGTCCTTCTACCGGCCTTCGCTACTCCACGCAGCGGCGAGGGGACTACCGTAACAGCGCCGCGCTGATGAGGAGGCAAGCGAGGCGGCGTCGCAGTAGGGCGCGGTTCTGAGAAGCCTGGTCAACAGTAGAAGCCTTCAGATAGACTAAGCAGCGGCAAGTCAGCCGAATAGCGAGCGGAGGCTGCCGTGGACAAGGCCAACACATAACACCTCTCCTCGCCTCTCAGCATACAACGGCTCACTCGCTGCACTCGCTCACACAGCCGGACGCTCCTTACACACGACGAACACACGCACAGAGGGACACTGAATGTGCGTAGTCAGTCTCGCTGCGCTCCCGCTTACTCGCTCTTCTCGTCCGCCTTCCCCGCCCGTAGAGTCCGTCCCCTCCGCTCACGCTTGTTCGTCCGGCTTGCAGGTCTCTCTGGCAGACGGCAGCGTTCTTCACCAAACCAGTGTCATCACCTCTCGACCAGCAGGCGGCCAGCGACGACGCCGACGACTCGACCACCCCCACTTTCGCTAGCGCTCGTTCGTACGGCGACCTCTCGCAGAGCGTGGAAGGCCAAGGTGTTCAGGCTCGCAGCATGCGAGTATTAGACGGACGTGACAACGGCGCAGGAGACGCTGGAGGACACTCGGCCGCACCTCACCTGACTTCGGCTCGAACGGGACAAGGTGCGGGATCGGGTGCCGAGGACGAGGACGCTGCCATGGGAGAAGCCGCTCGCTCTCGCTTGATGAGTCCCGAGCCCATGGACGGCGTCGAGCATCACGGAGACGAGAAGAGGAACGGCGACGTCCGCATGAGGGGGATGAGCGAGGTGCGTCTCCCTTCCTGCACGTGCTGCTGTGCGTTTAGAGCGCCTACTCCTTGCTGAAACCCTCTGACTTCGCAGGAGCCACACCACTCTGACCCTGTCGCTTTCCCTACTGCCGCCAACCGCGTCGACACCTCGTCCAGCTTCACCGCTTCGCCCGGACCTTCGCCTTCCGCCTCTCCAACGTCCGGCGCCGCACCTGCGAGCGCGGGCGTCCAGCGTAACCCCTCTTTGCGTGCACGAGATGCGTTCTCGCGCCTTCGCATCGGCTCTTTTGGCGGCACGATCGGCAGGCCTCCTCCGCCGACAACCAGCTCGACCACGACAAGCCCTGCACCTGCGAGTCCGACGCTTAGCGTAGGATCATCTGCAGAAGCCGCCAGTCTCGATGCCAGCACCTCCTCCCTTCCGCGCCGACAGAACTCGACCGGAACGTCCAAGGCCGCCTCGTTTCTCTCCGCCTTCCGCTCTCCCCCTTCTTCTGTCAGCGGCCGCTCGCCCTCTCCGCCTTTGCGAGACGGGCAGATGCCGTCGTTCTCGAGCGCGCTGCCGCTCAGAGGAGACGAGCGTGGGTACAAGCTTGTCACGAAGGGTGAGGACGGGGAGGAGTATGAGTATGAGCTGGGCAAGGAGCTCGGACGAGGCGGGATGGGTCTCGTGAGGGAAGCAGTGAGGAGACGACGACGTACCTGCGACAAGGGAAAGGGGAAGGAGCGGGAAGGTGACGGGGATTCGGCGGTGCAGAGCGACTGCGATCCCGATGTCGACGACGAGATCGAGGACGACGCCATCAAGGTCGCCGTCAAGATCATCCCTCGTCACCACCACGCCTCGCTGCCTTTCTTGCAGGGCACGGGCGCAGGCGCTCCCGTTGGGAACGGCATACCCGGCTCAACCCTACCGCAGGGTCTCGTCCACCATCTTCACCCGTCACCTTCACCTTCGCCCGGCACACCTCAGGGTCGACGGAACGCCAGCAGCGACAGTCCCATGCGCACCGACTCGTATTTCTCAAACCCGTCCCTCTCCTTCCGACACCCTTCTCGTGACCGCGCCGCCGCTGTCGAGCGCGCAAGGAGCGCCTCGTCGCCCATCCGACCCGGCATGATCACCCGCGGATTGACGCTCACAGCCGTCGAAGCAAGTCCCCTGCCAAGCCCTTCGCTTCAGGACGGCGCAGACGGGTCCGATGCCGCGATGATGGGCACGAGCGCGCCTGAGCACGAGGACGGCTTGTTCGCAGCCCGGTCGCAGTCCGACGTTCAGCCAAGATGCGAGGATGACCACCCGCCCGAGCTGGACCTGCAGAACCCGTCCGATCTGCTGGACCTCCTCCTCCAGCGCGAGCTCTCAATCTGGCGACAACTCTCGAACCTCCCTTCCTCCTCGACCGCCTACGCCGCAGAACACCCGACGCGCTGGACCGGCAAAGGCGGTCACCCGCACATCGTTGCGTTGATCGGCTCGCACCGCACGAACGAGTTCGACTACGTCTTCATGCCGCTCGCTGAAGGCGGCACTCTCCTCGAGTACCTCAACAACCCTGATGCGCGCCGCGAAGCTTCGCCTGCCGGTCGTGCGTCGTCGAGGTCGGGCTCTCGCGCTGCTTCGCGAGGTCGAGCGCAGAAACCTCGTCCGCGCGGGTCGATCCCCATCGCAGGCTCGCTCTCTCCACCAGGAGGGCTCGCTGCGCAGTCTGGACCGAAGGGTCTTCCGCTCGACGAAGCGGGCGAGACTTTCGCGCAAATCGTTGAGGCGGTTCGGTGGATGCACGAAGAAGCGGGCGTCGCACACCGGGACCTCAAGCTTGAGAACGTCGTTGGGTGCTGGTCGACCGATTCGGGTCCTGCAGCGCATTTTGAGGCGCCTATGCAGGCTTCCCAGGCGCAGGAAGGCGGGAGGGGGCGAAGCAGGTCGAGGCGAAGAGGGTCGCAGATGGAGGACGAAGGGCCGCCGCAGATGATGCGGATCAAGCGCAAGAGGAAGCGGGTGTGGAAGCTGGCAGACTTTGGACTTGCCGAGGTCATCCCGCCGCAGAACGACTCGCCGTCATCACCCAAAAGTCCCGTGCACGACGTCCAGCCTCTCGCAGCTCTCGCACGGGCGGGGTCGCTCAACCGACCGCCTGGCGAGCGAGGAGGAGGCGGGAACGGACTCGGGTCGTCCATCGGTCCTGGCGCCTCCGCTGGTTCTGGGCAAAGCAGCTCAGCGTTCCTCCCTCACCCGCACCGCAACCCGCCCGTCGCCTTCCCGCAACACCACGCCTCTCCAACTGCCGCCTCGACCTCCCACCCGGCTCACAACTCGCCTCTCTCGGCGCTGCTTCACCCCGTGGGCTCGCTCCCCTACTCGTCGCCCGAAGCGCTCCGCTCGCCCGTCCCGATCGTACACCCCTCGACCGACATCTGGGCACTCGGATGCGTCCTCTACGCACTCGTCGCCGGCCGCCTCCCGATCTGGGAAGAATGGGAACTCCGCCTGCGCGTCAAACTCGTCAAAGGCGAGTGGGACATCCCGGACGAGCTCGACCCCGACCAGGCGACCTCCGAAGCGGACCGCCACGAGCGCGAGCTAGCGCTTGAGGTGCTCAAAGGCTGCCTCGAGAAGGACGTCGAGAAGCGCTGGACGATCCGGCAGGTTTGGGAGAGTCGGTGGCTTGCGCATATCCGCGAACGAGACGCGCACGAGCGCGAGCAGCGCAGGAGAAACAAGATGGCGCATTTGAGGTTGCAGGTGCCGCCGTCGCCGTCTGCGGTGTCGACGACGAGCTCGCTCGCGCCGAGTCCGTCGCCAACTTCGCCGACTGCCACTCGCGCTTCGTCCCGCGGTCGTCCGGCGACTCGCTCGACTTCAGCACATCCCGGGTCGCACTACGGCCCGTACCCGCCTCCTGCACCGTCGACAGGCGCCTCGCACACCCCTGCCGCCAGCTCGACTCCAACAGGCGGACGGCAATCCCGCTCTCGCACGCGCCTCGCGACACACACTCGATCTACGTCGCGCTCGTCAGCCTACGCACACCAATACGGCGCTGCGGGCTCGGAAGGCGGCGAGCAAGAGCGTCGCGAGCGCGGGCGTTCCGAGCGCCGTCTGCGGTGGGACGAAGAGCGCGGAGTCCCTTACCCTGGTGCGGGTCGTCGGAGTCTCAGTCAGGCGAGTTCGAGCACCAGCGCGAGTTACGGTGACCAGACGGGCGAGGCGAGCGGGAGTTCGACGCCTGGAGGACCGGGGACGCCGGCGGAGGGCGGGCATGCGTCGGCCCAGTCGGGGCATTCGACGCGCGGTGGACGGAGGCATGAGTGGGACGACCAGGGGCGGCTGGAGACGGTCGGCGAGCCGTACTGAGCGACACGAATACGCTCCGTCGTCCTCGTCCTCGCCTCCTCGGGGATTTTTCGCTCGTTCGATTACGCTGTATCTACGGTGTATCCTAGCCTGTAACGCACGCCCCATGCTACAAACGTTTTCATAGGTTGACGTGTCCCCAAGTCCTCCACACCTTGAGCGAGCGAGAGGCTTCCCCTCCTGCTCCTGCTCATTCACACTTGTGCTGTTTCATACGCTTACGATGCCCGACTACTCTGTCAAGACGGTTCAGACAAAGGCCTTCCAGGACCAGAGGTGCGCCGCGCTCTCTCTCGCTCACTCCCCCCCACCTCGCCAGAACACAGGATCGTCACCACTCGTACGCACTCACAATGGCGACGGAGGCAGGCGGCATGGCTTTGGAGGGATGCTGGGAGTCTGCTGGGAGTGGACAGGCTGAGCAAGCCAGGCTAAGGGGCCGCTCGCTGACCTTCGCATCCTTGACATCACCCCCCGCGACAGGCCTGGTACCTCTGGTCTCCGCAAGCGGTGAGTTTGCGCTTGCTCCGTTGAGACGAACAACGCTAACTAACGGTTCTCGACAGCGTCCCGGTCTTCAAGCAGGAGCACTACACCGAGAACTTTGTCCAGTCCATCCTCTCCTCCATCCCCGGCGGTCCAGAGAAGTCGACACTCGTCGTCGGCGGTGACGGACGCTACTACTCTCCCGAGGTCATCCAGAAGATCGTCCAGATCGCAGCAGGAAACGGCGTCTCGAAGCTCATCATCGGCCGCGACGGCATCTTCTCGACTCCTGCCGTCTCGCACGAGATCCGCGCCCGCAAAGCCACCGGCGGTATCCTCCTCACGGCGAGTCACAACCCCGGAGGACCGAATGCCGACTTTGGCATCAAGTACAACATGGACAACGGCGGTCCGGCGCCCGAGTCGGTCACGGAGGCCATCTTCGAGTTCTCCAAGACGATTAAGGAGTACAAGCTCGTCGAGCTCCCCGAGGTGAGCACGCCACTCTGCGAGTGAGACTGTTGTCGTGCTTAACTCTCGCCCCGCAGGTCGACCTGTCGAAGCTCGGCTCGAGCAAGTCGGGCCCTCTCGAGATCGAGGTTATCGACGCAATCAAGCCCTACGTCGCTTTCCTCAAGGAGATCTTTGACTTCGACGCGATCAAGTCCTACGTTCACTCTCCCGAAGTCTCCGTCCTGTTCGACGGCCTCTCGGGCGTCACCGGCCCTTACGCCCGCGACATCTTCGTCAACGAGCTCGGTCTGCCCGAGTCGTCCATCCAGAACTGCGAGCCCTCGCCCGACTTCAACGGCGGCCACCCGGACCCGAACTTGACCTACGCGCACTCGCTCGTCCAAGTCGTCGAGGAGAAGAAGATCACCTTTGGCGCCGCTTCGGACGGAGACGGCGACCGTAACATGATCTACGGCGCTGGGGCGTTCGTTACTCCCTCGGACTCGGTCGCGATCATCGCCGACTGGGCGGACTGCATCCCGTACTTCAAGAAGGGAGGCGTCAAGGGTCTTGCGAGGAGTATGCCTACCTCGACTGCACTCGACCGCGTTGCAAAGGCCAAGGGCGTCGAGCACTTCGAGGTTCCCACCGGTGCGTCCCGCCGAACTCACGTTTGTTCAGCTTGCGGAGCAGGCGAAACTGACTTACGCGTGGATGTGTGGCGCGACAGGCTGGAAGTTCTTCGGCAACTTGATGGACGCTGGACGTCTCTCGATCTGCGGAGAGGAGTCGTTCGGTACGGGCTCGGACCACGTTCGCGAGAAGGACGGTCTCTGGGCTATCGTCGGTGCGTCCGGCTTGCTCTCGCTTCGTTCTCGCGGGCTCGAGGCCTGTTGGCCGATGTAACCTGACGTCTTGTCATCCGCACAGCATGGCTCAACATCCTTGCATCGGCGCACGACAAGGGGATCAAGGGCATCAAGGGCTTGTTGCTGGACCACTACAAGAAGTACGGAAGGACGTTCTTCTCTCGGTGAGTCTCGTCCCTTGGTTCCGCATGTCTCGACTGCCCTTCGTGCCGATAGAGACTGACAGTGATCGACCATGACTCGCAGGTACGACTACGAGGAGGTCGACTCGGACGCGGCGGCCAAGGTCATCAAGGAGCTCGAGTCTGCGTTCGCCTCGTCGGACTTTGTCGGCTCCTCCCTCTCCGCCACCTCCTCCTCGACCTCGTTCAAGGTCGCCGAGACGGGCAACTTTACCTACACGGATCCTATCGACAAGTCCGTGAGCAAGAACCAGGGTCTGTACGTCACCTTCGAGGACGGCTCGCGGTTCGTCGTGCGTCTCTCGGGCACTGGCAGTCAAGGCGCGACGATTCGCCTGTACGTCGAGAAGTACAGCAAGGACGAGGCGGAGTACGAGCGCGATACCCAGGAGGGCCTCAAGCCGTTGATTGAGGTTGCGCTCAAGACGAGCAAGTTGGTCGAGCACACCGGACGCAAGGAGCCCACTGTCATCACCGTGAGTCGCTCGTCACCTGCCTCGCAGCCCTCGACCACCTGCTCACGCTTCTCACCTCGCAGTAAATCTTCTTTCTCCCTGACCCGCCTCTCCCGTTCTCGCCCACCTTTCGTCCCGTATTCAGCAGTACAAAATATGGCCAATGCAGCAGTTTCAAGCACCGCACCGCAAGACCGAGGAGGGAGAATCTTCTCGTCGCTCGGGCACGTTGCGGCCGTCTTCGGTGTCGCTTCGAGGTGAGAATGACGGCGTGAGAGAGGTGGAAGTGCCCGCGCACCAGTCCTCAGCCCCTGCACAAGCGCACGGCCACCCCGTCGTCACCGGTGCGAGTCGAGAGCGCCGTGCTGGCGGTGGGAAGCGGCGAGTTGAGGGAGAACTCGAGGGCGACGCGGGTCAGCTCGGCGGATGGGACAAGGCCAGACGGGCTGCCAGCGTCAAACATCGACGTTTGCCTCGAGCAGTTTGACGTTTGCGCGAGTGTGGGAGCGTGAATCTATGCGACGCTGCGGGTGCTCGCAGAGGTCGGTCCTTTGTCCTCTTGCTCGCTCTCGTTCTCCGTCTTCAACTCGCTCGATAGACTCGATAGACTCGCCTGCTCACGCTGCCCATGTCGCCCGCTTCGTCCGCCGCCGCTGCTCACCTCGACGACCCCGTCCTCCCCACTTCGACCGCAGGGTCCCGCCCCAAGCGACGGCTCTCGAACGCGGCGCAGGCGGCATGGATGGACGCAGAGATGGACGACGGCATGCTCGACGACGACGAGCCCAAGTCGCGGGCGTCGAAGCGCAGCAGAGCGGCCGCACAGCTCGCGGGAGGAGGACTGGGCGGATCTCCGAAGCAAGGGGGAGGCGCGCAGGGAGGAGTGCCGCCCAAGGCGCTCACGGAGAAGGAGAAGGAGGCTCGCAGGGTTGCTCGCATGATCCGCAACAGGAGTGCGTCCCCATCCCTCCCCTTATCGCTCGAGGAGGACGAGGCATTGACCCTTTTTCTCGCCATTGTTCTCGCTCAGATGCCGCCCAGGCTTCGCGCGACCGCAAGAAGGAGCACATCCTGTGGCTCGAACGGCGAGTCGGAGAACTCGAGCAGCTCGTGCGCCAGTCAGGCATCAAGGTGTCTGCCGGCCACTCTCCCTTCTTCGCCGGCGGATCTGTCGCACCTTCTCCCGCTCAGAACCGCCTTCCCGCCATCCCTCGCAACCAGCGGGAGACGAGTGTTGCGTCAGAATCGTCGTCGTCGGGATCAGGCCGTGTCGCCGACCTCGAGGAGGAGAACGACAGCCTTCGCTCGCAACTCCACCTCGAGCAGGTCGAGAAGCAGGAGCTCCTCGCCCGCCTCGAAGAGGTCGAAGAGCAGCTCGCGCGTGTCTCGCAGGCGCCCGACGCAACCCTCGCATCGTCCTTCTCGCCCTTCTCCAGCTCGCTCGTCCCCCTCCCTTACACCGAGCCCACGTTCGCATTCGACACCCAGAACCTCTCGCCTCTCCCGCAACCTGAAGAACTCGCCTTCGTCGAGGAGCGCGACCGGCAGCGGCAACTCGCCTCTCGCCGGACGTCGGCAACACCAGAGTCGGGCAGCGACGGCACAGGCAAGACGGAAGGAGCGGAACAGATCTCGGACGGTAGCTCTCGCCTCGTAGCACGCGAGGACGACATTTCCCTGCAGCGGAAGCTACCCACGAGTCTGTCGCCGCGTCCTCTCCCCTTGCCCTCGCCCTCTCTGCCTCGTCTCTTCTCGCCGACACGCCCTCGCTCACCTCGTCCGCCTCGTCGACGTCTTCGCGGTCGTCGGTTCTCGAGCTCGACATCTCGTCGACCCCGCCTGCGACCGAATCCTACCTCGACCTCGAAGACGCCGTCGTCGCGCCCGTCTGGTCCGACTGGGCCAAGGGCGTCCTCCTTCCCGACGAGTCGTCCGGCAAGCCAGGTGCTGCCGATGACGAGTCGGCTCTCGCCTTTCTCGACCTGAGCGCCTTCCACGACGCCCCGGCGGCCATCGCCTCGCACTAGGAACTCGCACAGGAACGACAGCCATGTGCGTGCGCTCCTTCTTCTCGCCTCCTTTCTCCGGCCTGACTCTTCTTCTGTGCAGACCCCGACGCCAACAACCTTCGCACTCGCCCCCGCCCACCTTCTCTCGCCTCACCACCCCTCGTCCCCCTCGACTCCACCTCGCACTGCTCTCCCGATCGACACCGTCTCGTCCACCCGCACCCTGTTCCTCCCGCAGCCCTCCGCACCCCTCGCCCCGCGCCCTCTCTGCATCGACTGACCAGCCAAACCTGAGCCTTGTCTCCGCTCATAACGAGCGTCGAGCCCTTCTTGTCAGGCTGGCAGTTTGAAGCGAGAGCTGAACGGCGCGTCGGGTACGGTTGTGTTTGCGGTTTCGAGTTGATTCACCCCCTTCCGCGGTGATTGGACGGTCTCTTTCGGTTTGATGAGCTTTGGGATCGGAATTTGAGGTCGACCAGGAGAGGCTATTCGGAGTTGGGTTCGCGGACGAATGTGGAGGGTACGGCGGATCCCAGCGGGTCTTTGGCTGTCGTTTCTGTCTCAGCGGTGGTTCCTTGGTCAACAAGGTGGTCGGTGTCGGGCGTGTCGGCGGCGGTCTCTTGTGGTCTCGGGTCCCTCTTCCTCCTCCCCCTCCCTCCCTTTCGGTCCTTCCTTTCGTTTGTGTCACGATGGCTTACGCAGTTCGCATCACATCCAAAAGCTCTGTAGCATTCACCCATGAAAAGACACTCGGTTCCTCCTCGCCCAATCCTCGCCTCCTCGCTCTTCTCGCTAGCGTTATTCCTTCGCTTGCTTCTTCTCCGCTCCCATCCGTGCCGCTCGTGCTCCGGGGCTGGAAACAGCTCCTCCCCAGACGAAGCCCGCAGCGAACGTACGTAGAACGTCAGTCAACTCGACTGCGCTTTTTCGTGACCGAACGTCGTTCGTGCACCGCTTCTCCCGCTTTCTTCCTGGCTCCTCGCTGCTTGTACAGGCTCAATGAGTGCTACAAACGTCGATGCACGTCAACTGACGACGCTGGATCATCTGTCGCCGCCGCACCCACCGAGTCTCCTACCAGCGGAGGGACGCTTTTCGCCTGCCTCGCCAGCGTCGCCTGCGTCGCCATTCTCGACACCAACGACGTTGGAGGGAGCGAACGAGGTACGTCGAGGCTTACCCTGCCGCTACGAAGGCTCCCAAGCTGACCAGTCGCGTCCCTTCCCAGTTGCCCGTCCTTTCCGCTTCTCGCGCTCCTCCGTCCGGGGCCTCTTCCCCACGCATTCCCTGGGATTCAACGACTCACGACAAGAACGTCGACGACGACGAGAAGGAACTGCTCGCGCCGACGGGCGTCAAGGAATTCTCAACGGTGGACTGGGAGGAACCGAGGAAGCCTCGGACGTCCTGGTGGCGGATCTGGGTCAAGGCGACAGTGGTCACCATCCTGCTGGTTGCGCTAATCGCCGGGATAGCAGTCGGAATCACCGAGGCGAGCAAGAGCGTCGAGTCGTCGGCGAACGAGTCTTCCTCGTCCTCGTCGCTCGCCTCGTCCACCTCGTCCGCATCGTTCAGTACAACGAGCACAACATCGAGCACGACGTCAGTGACATCCACCTCGTCAAGCAGCGGATCAAGCGGGACATCCAGCGCGACAACATCCTCTTCCTCCTCCACAGCATCCTCAAGCTCCGATTCCGCAAGAACGACAAGCCCAGTCTCAAGCACGAGCAGCGCCCCTTCCGCCTCAACCTCCTCCGCATAGACACTGCATCCAGCCTCTCCACACAGACACTTTCCCGCCTCTAGACTTCCTATCGCACCTGTATCCTCTTGCAAGACCCCCGCATCTACTGCTCAAACCTCCTGCAAACCCCATCCCACATCATCTCAAACCTCCTCAACTCTCCCTCTCCCCTCTTGAGCTTCACATCGCCCTTTGCCCGCCTCAAGACTTCCTGGCTCTTGACGACCTGTCCGGTGCGGACGAGTTCCTCGGCGTACGAGAGCCATTCTTCGGGCCCTGCTTCGGGGTGAGAGACGATTCGCTCGAAGATCTGTTGCCGGAAGGGACGGTCGGAGGAGAGTGCTGGACCGGATGGGTCGAGGACGGAAGAGAGGAAGGAGAGCGAGAGGGAAGGGGCGGAAGAGAGGAGCGAGAGGAGTTTGGGCTGGAAAGAGGCGGGCGCGGTGGTGGTGAGGTAGTGCACGTAGCGGCGGGGAAGGAGTTCGCGAGGCGGAAGGGCGGCATGTTCGGTGAAGGTCGATTCGAACGAGGCGGGAGGGACGGCGTCGGTGAGGAGTACTCGTCGGATCGACGACTCGTACCACTTCTCGACAGCGGCGGTCGACTCCGCCGTTCGCTCCGTGAAGTCGGCAAAGAGGTCCCACAGCTTCGAGCTGAAAGGCAGAGCACGGGTCGCCTGTGTCAACAGCGATGCTACGTCCTTCGCCGAGGTCGAAAGCGACTCGGACGTCTCGATTCGCGCAACCCAGACTTGCTCCCGCTGTGCGGGCGGCGTCGCGTCCGAACCGAAGGCCTTGGTCGCCTTCTTCGCGTGCGACAGGACATCGGACGCTGGTGCTTCGGTTCGCAGGAGGTGTCGGAGGTGGACGAGGGACAGGAATGGGGAAGGAGGAGCTGCGGCGAGAGCCGAAGCGAGGTTGGCGGAAAGGAAAGCGAGCTGTAAACGTAAAGCTGGTTAGCGAAAGTCTCTCGGACTCAAGTGGACGCGCACGCACCAGGTCTTCGTCCTCCGTTTCATCCGCCATCTCCTCCAGCCACCCACAGAACTGCTCCCACAACAGCTGCGCCTGACCCGCGTCTTTCTCCTTCCCCTTCCCCTTCTTGCCCCTGCTCTTCAAAACCCTCCAATACTCCTCACACGCCGCCCCCACCGCATCCACCAACATCTCCCCCTCGACCTTGATTGACCTCGGGTCTTCAGGTCCCGCAACTTGCGTCTCGTCCGCCTTGCGCTTCTTGGATTGTTTGGGCGGGACGAAGGGGACGTCGTAGAGTTTTCGGGTTGCGAGGATGTGCAGGGCGGAGGGGTAGGAGAGAGAGGAGGGGGCGATGTGGGTGGAGAGGGAGGTGTAGACGTGTTGGAGGAGCGACAGGCGGAGAGGGGAGGCGAGAGGGCGGAGGATCGAGAGGAGGAGGTTGTAAGCGAAGATTGAGTGCTCGTAGGCTGTGCGAACAAGGCATCAGTGAGTGTGTTAGCGAAGCTTGAAGAGCGCGACTCACACTTGAGCAAGTTGTCAATGACGAGACGGACGATGGCGCCGTCGAGGAGCGCCTCCTGGCCCGACTTGGCCTGCTCCGTCATCTCCTCCGCGAGCTGCGCATCTTGATCATCGCCCTCCTCAGTCGTCGGAAGCTGGATCTCCTCCTCTTCCTCGTCGCCCTCGTCCGCCTCGCCATTCGCACCCTTGACACGAATGATCTCCTTTCCGCCCTTTCCCTTGCCGAGGCCGAGAACCTGCCACCTTCCCCTCAGCTTCTCCACAAACGATACCTCAACGCGGATCCACTCGCGCCAAATCGCCTCCTCCGGCCCCTCCATCCCTTCCTTCTCCCCCTTCTTGCCCTTCAAGAACCGCAATGCGCGCATACAGAGCCTCCGCGCCGCTTCTGCGTTTCCACCGCCCATGCCTTTTCGGTCTCCCTCGCTCTCCCACTGCGAAGCCATGATCCAGTACGGCGTGTGCGTCGGGTGCATGGCGATTGCGGATGAGAGCGTGCGCGAGACGAGGTTGGGCGAGGACTGTGAGAGGGCGTGCGCGATGAAGGCGTCCCAGAGCGTTAGAGATTCGGGGAAGCGCCGGACAGAGAGACGGTGGAGCTGCGTGATGTGTGCTGGGATGGAGTGGTCGGAGAGCGACTTCTTCGACTCGGTTTCTGCGGGTATCAAGGCCTTAGCTTCGTCTGGGCCGTCAGGACATTGAGTGAGTGAACGTACGCAACCGTGCAGCACGCGCCTTTCTCAGCTTTTCGAGCCTGCGCTCGTACTCGATGTAGCGGAGGTAGTCTGCCGGCTTTGTGCCCCTGCCCTGCGCCAGCCCCATCTCGAACGCCCTTCGCTTGGCCACGATGTCGTGAATCTCATCCTATTGGAGCAGTCCGAGGTCAGCTCAGCCCGTCAGAGCGGTGAGCGAGCGCGCTTACCTTGTTGAAGATGCCCTTGTCCTCGAGGTCGCGCAGCTCGGGAATGAGCCGCTCGAGGGCGAGTTGGACCTGCGTGCGTGGGTTATCAGTCAGTGGCTATCCAGCGTGCATGCTGGCTTGGCTGCTCACCTTCTCCATCGTGTGCGGGCGTGTGGTCGAGCTTGAAGCGGTGCGGTGCTCGACCTCGCTCGCTCACACCTCGACCGGGAGTGATGCTGATGGCTGGAAGTTATGCGTTACAGTCTCATTAGAATTGTCCAGTACAGCGCGAGCCAGTCTGGTGGTGTGGGTGGACCCGCCTTCGCCGGCAACGTCGCTCCCGAGTCGTCCTTCGACCTCGACGCTTCACTCGCTCGCACAGCTCGACAGACAGCGTTACAGCACTCTCACACACGCTCACACCCAATCCCGCGACACCCGCTGCGTCCAACTCCCGCGCGCGCCACTCTTCCCAACCCCCCGCCCGCTCATCTCATCCACTCCCCACCCTCGACTCGCACCCCTCGCACACAAGCCATGTCGGGCGCATTCTCAGCCATGATGGGCGGCGCAGAGTGCTCGACCTCGTCCAACCCGCTCCACTCGCTCTTGAAGCAGCAGCAGACCGACCACTCGCTCCACCACGGCGGATTCCACGCCGGCCCTTCGTCGTCGCAGGGATCGTCGATGCGCTCGTACACGGGCACGCCGAACCAGGCGGAGGAGGCGGACAGGTTCTTCCAGATGCAGCAGCAGCAGGCCGCGGCGGGAGGCGCCGGCCCACTTGCGATGGACCAGATGCGCAGAGAGCTCGAGAACGTCGCGAGGGGCCCGGCAGGAGCCCTCAAGGGTGACAGGGGTGCGTGCGAAGAAGGGTGTGCCGCTCAAGGTCGTCGCTAACGTCGTCTCTCGCCTCGACAGAATGGGCTTCGCAATACCATCCCGCCGGCTCGTCGCTCTCGCCCGCCGAGATGGCTCGCATGGAGGAGCAGTTTCGCATGCAGCAGCACCAGGGCATGCCATCCGACTTTGCAGGTGCGCGCATCAACCGGACCTCAGCGTTTAAGCGGCCGACTAACCTCTATCTTCTCGCTCGCAGCCGAGTTCCGCCAGCAACAGCACTTCCCTGCTACCTCCGCCGCTCCCGCCTTTGCGCCCGCTGCGCCCGCCTCCTCCTCGTCAGCCATGTACTCGCGTCCCGGCTTTGCGCCCTCGTACGGAGCCTACGGAGGCTCAGGCGGCATGATGGGCATGCGGTCGTTCATGCCCTCTGCCTCGCCGAGTCTCGCCCAGCAGCAACCTCAGCAGGACACGAAAGGTAAAGGACGGTTCGTCGAGCTTGATGATGCGGATTGGGAGGCGCAGTTTGCCAAGATTGGGAATGCGACGACGGCTGAGCCCGCTGCGAAGGAGGCGGAACAGCAACCGGTTGAGGCGCAGAAGGAGAGCGAGACGGCCAATTTGTTCGAGGGCGAGATTCCCCTCGACGCGACCGAGTCGGACCAGCAACTCCTCAAAGACCTCGAAGCGACTTGGGCCTCACTCAAGACTCAGCTCAACTCGTCCGCGACTTCGGACGCCGAACTCGCCAAGTGGGAAGCGCAGTTCGGCAGCCAGTTCAACGATATCCATGCTTCGCCCCTCCTCGACGACGACGACGGCGAGTTCCTCCGCACGCCTGATATTCGCCGCGCACCGATGTGGACACCCGAGAACGTCGATTCGTTCCTCCAAGACCAGACTCCCTTCCCCTTCAACGAGGAGAACGAGTACATGCAGCGCGCCGACCCGTACGCGGACGGGATGCGGCTACTCGCGGAGGGCGCGCCGTTGAGCGAGGCGGCGCTCGCGTTCGAGGCGGCTTGCAGGCAGGACGAGGGGAGGGCTGAGGCGTGGAAGGCGGCGGGCGAGACGTGGGCGGCTGACGAGCGCGAGGTCAAGGGTATCAGGGCGCTCGAGAAGGCTGTTGCTTGCGGTGGACCCGCCGGTGTGGGCGCTTGGCTGGTGAGTTGCGCTTCTCCGCTCCATGGCTCCGTCTTTGTGCTGATGCCGTTCTGCAGTCCCTCGCTGTCGCCTACGTCAACGAAGGCCAAGAACTTCGCGCGCTCGCCACGCTCGAAAAGTGGCTCTCGCTCGCCTACCCCTCGATCTCGCTCCCTCCGCTCGACACGACCCAGATCCGCTCGCCATGGGACGCCTCGAACCGCGTCATCGACCTCTTCCTCGCTGCCGCGCAGGCTGGACCGCAAGCTCGCGCGCCGGGACAGTCGGACGAGTTGGGCGTCGTCGACCCCGATGTCCAGGTCGGCTTGGGCGTCTTGTTCTACAGCAACAGCGAGTACGACAAAGCCAAGGACTGCTTCGAGGCGGCGCTCAGCGTTAGGCCGAATGTGCGTTCAAACCGCTTCACGCAAACAGGCCAGGAGCTGACTCGTTTGCGTCGCGCAGGACTTCCTCCTCTGGAATCGCCTTGGCGCGACGCTCGCCAACTCGGGTCACCCAGAAGACGCCATCCAAGCCTACCGCAAAGCGCTCGACCTGCGCCCGACCTTCACGCGCGCCATTTACAACCTCGGCGTTTCGTGCCTCAACATCGGGTGCTACCAGGAGGCGGCGGAACACCTTCTTGCGGCGATTCAGGGTCAGATGACGAGGGAGGAGGTGGCGGCGTCGCAGAAGGGGAAGGGAAAAGACGTGGATCTCGGACGGGTGCCAGAGGACGGCTCGGCCAACCTCTTCCACACTCTCAGGAGGGCCTTCTTGTGCATGGTGCGTTCGCGTTGTCTTCGTCCGCCATGGCTACAACATGACTGCTGACTCCCATCCTTGCGCAGGAGCGACACGACCTCGCCGACAAGGCCATGCCGGGCGCCGACTTGAACGAGTTCCGTGCGGCCGGCTTCGAGTTCTGATCAGGCTCTAGCTGTTTTCCTGTACATCCGCATGTTCGCAATGAGCTATTCACACTTTCTCGCCATCTCGCACCCCGTCTCCGCGCCTGTTCCGCTCGGCCTTCGCAAGCTTATGCACACGCCTTGCTCTCACGCGCCCGCTCTTTCTCCCTTCCTTCGCTGTTTACAGTACGCAAGCTCGCAAAGGGACGAATCCAGCAGATGACGACTTGTATTCAGCACGACAAACGCAATAAGTATCGGAGAAACAGGAAACACAACCGAGAGAGACCGACTCTAGCACCGTACGCCTGTTCGCCGTCTATGCCGCATCCCAAAGCTTCTTCCACCATGGCTTGTTCGACTCGGCCTCCTCCTCCGCCCACAACGCCTCGTCCTCGTCGAACTCGCGCTTGCCGGTGATAAGGTCGACCTCTTTGAGCGGGATGAGCTTGGTCTTATACCAGAGCTTGTAGCCGAGGAAGAGGGCAAGGTAGACGGGAATGCCGAGGTAGTTGGTGATGAAGGTCTTGTGGTTGAACTTGACGGTGAACGAGTCGAAGCCTGAGGAGGGGGGGATACTGGTCAGGACGTGCGAGGCAGGCGGCACAGCATCATGCAAAAGAAGCGAGACGCACCCTTGAAGAAGGTAACGATCGCCGTGATGCCGAGCGAGATGTACGCGACGTAAGGCTGGCCCGGCGCCTTCCACGGCAGCGAGTCGCGCGAGGTACCCTGCGCCTTTAGCGCGCGCATAAAGCGGATGTGCGAGAAGAGGATTGACATCCAGACGAGCTGCGAAGGAGAGGCGTCAGCAGAGTAAACGAGACGAAGCTTTCGACTCAGCCTCGAGGCTGGGCTCGTGAAACCGGGAGAGAGCGAGAAAGCGCGGGCTCACAGCAGCGTAGACGGTGACTGTAGGAAGCGCAGACGGTCAGCCATTGGGCGAGAAGGAGGAGGAGGAAGCGTCACGTACCGAGCGAGACGAAGTATCCGAACACGACCCGAGAGCCCGACGAGGTGGCCATGAACCTGCAAGCGAGCTTGTCAGCGTCGTCTGTGCATCGAGAAGCGAATTGTAGGCGGAGGAAGGTGAGCGCACGAGATGCAGCCGATGGCGGAGCAAAGCGCCGTGCACCAGTAAGGCGTGCCGAAGCGGTTCGTCCGCATGAAGATGCGCGGCGCCTGGCCCTGCGCTGCGAGGCCGTAAAGCGTGCGGGTACCGATATAGAGGTCGGAGTTGGCGGCGGAGAGGACCTGCGGACGCCTGAACGGTTAGCGACGGTCGTCACGAGGCAAGGGAGCGGAAGTAGACGTCCAAAAAGCAGGATCGCAGCATTAATTATGTCTGGAAGTACGCTGATCCTGGCCCTTTCAATGGCGAGAACGAAGGGAGAAGCGGCGGCGGAAGTAGCCTTCTTGGTCGTCGCGATGAGGTCGGGGTCGGTAGCTTTGACGATGAGCCCGACGACGAAGATGGAGCCGATGTAGAAGAACAGAATGCGTGCCAGAGTACGCCTGATGGTCTGCGGGATGACCTTGCGGGGGCGCTTCGCCTCTCCGAATGTCACTGGTGAACGAAAAAAACGTCAATCGACGCCTCCGCTTCGACATGGACGATCCGACGCACCTCCGACGAGCTCAGTACCCGAGTACGCAAAGAGGGCAGAGACCATGCAAGCCCAGACGCCGCAGAAGACTCCCAAGTCGCCCTTGTAGATGTAGTGCGAGAAAGGCTGATCCCTCCAATAACGGAAGCCGATGCGCTCGACGCCGGCACCGCCAAGGTCGATGATCAAGCCGAGAAGGATGAGGCCGGTGAGCGTGACGATTTTGATGAAACTCATCCAGAACTGGGGAGGGAAGGTCAGCGGAGGAGATTCTTCAGGAGGAGCTCGAGGCGGCGCACCTCGATCTCGCCGAACAATGCGATGCCGAACAGATTCAGGCAAACCGTGAGCACAAGCCAGATAGCGATCCAGGCGCCGACGGGGACGGCGTTCGTCCAGAATTGAACCTGTTGACAGGGACAAGTCAGCGGTGGGTGACGGGAGAATCAAGCGCTGTCACGCACGACGATAGCAGCTGCGACGACGTTGTTGGCGGTGACGATCCAGTACTCTGCAAAAGGGAAGAAGCGTCAGCGAGAAGCGAAGGCGGAGGTGAGCAAACGAAGCGCACTCTGAAGGTAACTCCAGCCGACAGCGAAGCCCATGGCGGGGTCGACGAACCGTGCGGCGTAGCCACCGAAACCCTTCTTCGACGGGAGCGCCGTAGCCTGAAGTGCGAAGGAGAAGGTCAGACGGGGTCGGCGGTCTGCAGAGTCTTGCGACGCACCATCTCTCCCAGACTCATCATGACGCCGAAGCATGCGAAGCCCATAATCTGTAGCCAGAGACAGCGTCGTCAGTACTCCTCGTCGAGCGAGACTGGCAGGCAACGCACGATGTAGGCGAGAAGAAGGCCGACAGGACCGCCCTTCGCGAGGCCGCCACCACTACCGATGACGAGTCCAGTACCAATACTACCTGTGAGGCGAGAAGCGTCGGAAGCGTCAGCTCGACGTCGAGCCAGCGAGAGAGCGCAAGAAAGGCGAACCTCCGATGGCGATCTGGGAGTTCACGACAAGAGAGAATCAGCAACGTCGTTCCTACACGACAGTAACGACGTCGCAGCACGCACCATGGTAATCTGGCGGGCCTTCAGCTTGCGGTGCAAGTCCTCGCCTGGCGCAACACCTTCGTCGACCTGGCCCGTGTACTTGCCGCCGCGGCTGAGCACATTAGCGGTGGCAGGGAAGTCCTTCGACATGCCAACATCCTTCTCGTAGTCGGCCATGGTGGGTGGCTAGCGAGGGAAGCGCGAGAGAGATAGCAGAGGATGAGAGCGGAGGAGAAAGTGGAAAAGCAAGCTTGTCAAGCGCGGGGCCCGTCAAGAGGCGTTTCTCCTTTCGCTGATACCGGCAATTTGAGAGGCCTCGAGCTCTGCCAAGGAGTGAAAAAAGTCGCTAGCCAGGGTGGGCGCGCGGAGTCGAGGAAGGGATCCCCGTTGTTCCCGGTCGGATGGCTCCTGCGTGGACGCCCGCAGAGTACCGGCGCCTCTCTCTGCGCCTGCTAGGTCCCCTGCGCATCTCCGCCCCGGGGGTCCCCAGCTTGTGCGAGCAAGCCCATCGTATCCGCGCAAGGAGAACCGCGAGAGGAGGCGCGAGCACACCGCGCGGGATGCGGCGGGGGCGAGCTCGACAGCGCTGAACATTTGCGCAACGCCATGAGCAGTCTGGGCACACGTGAGCCGCGCCACGAACGAGAGCAGCAAGGCAAGCCGGCGACGGGGCGACGGGCCGGGACGAAGGCCGCCTCAATCCCGCTGCGCTGTCCCCTTCGTCCTCCGCACCATCCCTTTGCCAAGCAGATCCTTTCAGACGAAGCACAATCGAACCCTCCAGGCGATCGAAGCGAAACGGACGAAGCAGCCATGCATGCGCGGAGGAAAAGTTGGCCAGGCAATAGGGCTTGCAATACTGTCTATGGTAGTCTACGCGCTCGAACAAGGCTGCAAAAGCGCGCAAAGTCAGCGAGAGCGCCACCGGAGCGTTATTAAGCGCACGCACGCCATCTAGAGGTCGACCCAGTCCGCCGTCTCTCCCGCCTTCTGCACGACACCGATGTTGTCCAGCTTGGCGAGGTTCGCCAAGCGCTGCTCCTCGTACATGCTCATACCGTCGTCCTCCCAACCCTCGCCCGCCGCAGGAAGCGCTCCCGTCCACTTGCCCGCCTTTTGCGCAACCAGCGCGCCGCCGTACTCGAGCCACTTGCCGACCTTGCGCTCCTTTCGCAACTTGAGTGTTCGTGCCCAGTTGCTGCGGTCGGAACCAACGCCAGAGATTGAGAGGACGCGAGAGGGAGGGATGGAGAGGCGAGACCCGCGCAGCTTGAAGCAGGATCGAGAGAAGGCGACGCAATTCAGCGTGCGCTCCTTCGAGCCTTTCCTCGGTGCGGTGGTGAAGCGCGAGACGTAGTAGATCTGTTGCGTGTCTTGCTGTCAGGCAACAGAGCGGAAGAAAGGGACGAGGAGAGCGAACACACCCATTTCTCGTCCCAAGAAACGATATGACACTCGATCTCGTACTTTGCGCCGAGCGGGATCTCGCGGTAGAACGTGTAGCTTGTGCTGGCGAGCGGAGACCAAATCCCTTCGCCCATGGCCGGACCGACGAGTTCGAGGAGGAAACGGAACCGTGCTGCGTCGCTGACCTTCGCGTAGGACGAGTTGGACATGCTGCGGGTGAGCAAGAGGTCGTCAGTCGATGCTTTTATCCACGCAAAGGATGCTGCACTCACTGAGCGTTGTAGTCGGCATCAGCGAAACTGACATGCCCCTTCGTGACGGTCTTGACCTCGAAAGGCGAGCGCCCGATCGCCATCGCCTTGTCATGACCCTTGCGGAAGATCTTGAGGTACAGCTCGGGGACGGTCCACCAAAACGAGCTGTGTGAGACGAGGAGGGTCAGCGAGGCGGACAGCGGAGGTGAAGACCGGCCGAGATAGAGGGCGTGGGAAGGGTCAGAAGACGCACGTGTGCCATGCAAGGGGCAGATTCCTCCAGTTCAGCACGAGCAGCGCGACAAACACCTTCTTGAGGAGGGTCGCGTCTCGCGCGGCGAGGGCAGCGACAGATCCGATGAGCACGGTCGACGGCGACGGGAGACGAACAAGACCCATTCCTCCAGCACAAGCACGAGTCAGCGTGGCGAGCAGCGGCGAGAGCGAGGGAGGGAAAGGTCGCCTTCATCTCCGAGAACTCGGTCAGCAAGTCCGCCCGAGCTACCGACGACGATATGGGCGAGCGCAGCGTCGTGTGCAGACGCAGCGGGTGTAGGAGGTACTGCAAACGGATTGCAAGTCGAGTTGCTTTTTGGAGGGAACGACGGAGGAACACAACGAGTGTTTGACAGAACGAACGATGGAATGGATGGGTAACAGACAGGATGCGGAGATAGTCGTGACAGATGCAAGCGTCATTCAAGACGTGAGAGGTAGAGGAAGAGGGGAGAGAGAGAGGGGGAGGAAAGGGAGGGGAAAGAAGAAACCACAAGAGAGTCCGACGCCGACACGCCCGACACCGACCACCTTGTTGACCAAGGAACCACCGCTGAGACAGAAACGACAGCCAAAGACCCGCTGGGATCCGCCGTACCCTCCACATTCGTCCGCGAACCCAACTCCGAATAGCCTCTCCTGGTCGACCTCAAATTCCGATCCCAAAGCTCATCAAACCGAAAGAGACCGTCCAATCACCTCGGAAGAGGGTGAATCAACTCGAAACCGCAGACACAACCGTACCCGACGCGCCGTTCAGCTCCCGCTTCAGACTGCCAGCTTGACAAGAAAGGCTCGACGCTCGTTATGAGCGGAGACAAGGCTCAGGTTTGGCTTTTCAGTCGATGCAGGGAGGGGACGGGGCGAGGCGTGCGGAGGGCTGCGGGAGGATCAGGGTGCGGGTGGACGAGACGGTGTCGATCGGGAGAGCAGTGCGAGGTGAAGTCGAGGGGGACGAGGGGTGGTGAGGCGAGAGAAGGAGGGCGGGGGCGAGTGCAGAGGTTGTTGGCGTCGGGGTCTGCGCGAGGGACGGTCAGGACGGAGAAAGGAGGCGAGGAGAAGAAGCGCACGCACATGGCTGTCGTTTCTGTGCGAGTTCCTAGTGCGAGGCGATCGCCGCCGGGGCATCGTGAAAGGCGCTCAGGTCGAGAAAGACGAGGGCCGACTCGTCCTCGGCAGCACCGGGCTTGCCGGACGACTCGTCGGGAAGGAGGACGCCCTTGGCCCAGTCGGACCAGACGGGCGCGACGACGGCGTCTTCGAGGTCGAGGTAGGATTCGGTCGCAGGCGGGGTCGACGAGATGTCGAGCTCGAGCACCGACGACCGCGAAGACGTCGACGAGGCGGACGAGGTGAGCGAAGGCGTGTCGGCAACAAGAGACGAGGCAGAGAGCGCGAGGGCAAGGGGAGAGGAGGCGGCGACAGACTCTTGGGTAGCTTCCGCTGCAGGGAAATGTCGTCCTCGCGTGCTACGAGGCGAGAGCTACCGTCCGAGGTCTGTTCCGCTCCTTCCGTCTTGCCTGTGCCGTCGCTGCCCGACTCTGGTGTTGCCGACATCCGGCGAGAGGCGAGTTGCCGCTGCCGGTCGCGCGCTTCGACGAAAGCGAGTTCTTGAGGTTGCGGGAGAGGCGAGAGGTTCTGAGTGTCGAATGCGAATGTCGGCTCGGTGTAAGGGAGGGGGACGAGCGAGTTGGAGAAGGGCGAGAAGGACGGAGCGAGAGTTGCGTCGGGCGCCTGCGATACACGCGCGAGCTGCTCCTCGACCTCTTCGAGGCGCGCGCGGAGCTCCTGCTTCTCGCTCTGCTCAAGGTGGAGTTGCGAGCGAAGACTGTCGTTCTCCTCCTCGAGGTCGGCGACGCGGCCTGATCCCGACGACGACGACTCTGACACAACGCTCGTCTCCCGCTGGTTGCGCGGGATGGCGGGCAGGCGGTTCTGAGCGGGAGAAGCTGCGACAGATCCGCCGGCGAAGAAGGGAGAGTGGCCGGCAGACACCTTGATGCCTGACTGGCGCACGAGCTGCTCGAGTTCTCCGACTCGCCGTTCGAGCCACAGGATGTGCTCCTTCTTGCGGTCGCGCGAGGCCTGGGCGGCATCTGAGCGAGAACAATGGCGAGAAAAAGGGTCAATGCCTCGTCCTCCTCAAGCGATAAGGGGAGGGATGGGGACGCACTCCTGTTGCGGATCATGCGAGCAACCCTGCGAGCCTCCTTCTCCTTCTCCGTGAGCGCCTTGGGCGGCACTCCTCCCTGCGCGCCTCCCCCTTGCTTCGGAGATCCGCCCAGTCCTCCTCCCGCGAGCTGTGCGGCCGCTCTGCTGCGCTTCGACGCCCGCGACTTGGGCTCGTCGTCGTCGAGCATGCCGTCGTCCATCTCTGCGTCCATCCATGCCGCCTGCGCCGCGTTCGAGAGCCGTCGCTTGGGGCGGGACCCTGCGGTCGAAGTGGGGAGGACGGGGTCGTCGAGGTGAGCAGCGGCGGCGGACGAAGCGGGCGACATGGGCAGCGTGAGCAGGCGAGTCTATCGAGTCTATCGAGCGAGTTGAAGACGGAGAACGAGAGCGAGCAAGAGGACAAAGGACCGACCTCTGCGAGCACCCGCAGCGTCGCATAGATTCACGCTCCCACACTCGCGCAAACGTCAAACTGCTCGAGGCAAACGTCGATGTTTGACGCTGGCAGCCCGTCTGGCCTTGTCCCATCCGCCGAGCTGACCCGCGTCGCCCTCGAGTTCTCCCTCAACTCGCCGCTTCCCACCGCCTCGATCGTTCAGCACGGCGCTCTCGACTCGCATCGGTGACGACAGGGTAGCTGGGCGCTCGGTGCAGGGCAGAGCACGAGTGCGCAGGTTCGTCTGCTCTGCGCTGCTCTCTTTTGCTCGCTCAAGGGAAGAACGGTCGGCCGAACGTGCGGGTATCGTGAATGCATGAAACGAGGACAAGCGGTGCTGGTACAGTCACAAAGGGAGAGAGAAACAACTCATGCGGAGGCAGCGACAGGAGCGGAAGCCGTGCTGGACGCTCCTTCCGCCAGCAAAACCTCGCACCTCGCTGCGATAGACTCTGCGAGCTGCAGAGTCTGCCTGATCTGCATATCCCAGCGCTTCGTCGCAGGCGCGTTGCCCGCCTCTTCCGCCGTGTCTGCGCCGTCGTCGCCGGCTGCTGCCTGCGCAGCGACGTTCGAGACAGCTGCGTCGCCGCCCTCGCGCGTACCGACGTCGAAGAGGATGAGGCCGTCGATCTGGTCGAGGGTCGCCTTGAGACGCTTTTGCTGGATCATCGTGCGCGCCATCGCCTCTGCCGCTGAGGACCGCAAGCCGAGGAGAAGACCCAGTCCACCGAAGGTAATGTTGTTGTAGACCCGCGAGGCGGCGAGGACGTTGTGCTCCATCATGGCGCGGTCGAGGACCGTCTCGGGGCCTTTCTTGCCCGTCTCGAGCTCGGCATCGTCGGCGATGACGACGGCCTGGGTTGGCGGAAGTTTGGCGAGCTGGTGCGTTTGCAGCTTTGAGGCGAAGGCGGCAACTTCGGCGGGGCGGATCATCTGATCGAGGAACATCTTCGACAGGATGGGGTAGAACTCGGACTGTGCGGCGCGCTCGTCGCGGTAGAGGGAGGCGAGGAGGCGGGAGCGAACAGGGCCGGCGGGGGCGAGGACGGCGCAGATGATGGCGGCACCGCTGCGAGCGTGGCAGCCGATGTCAGCGAGGAGAGTCGACAACTACGAAAGGGCGCACGCACAGTGCTTGCAGCCTCTCCTCCTCAGCCAGCGCAGTGACATAGCTGAGCTCGTGATACTTGCTCGACGCCTCGGCGAACCTCCTGCTGTAGTCGAACATCCGCGCCTGGCACAACTTGAACTGCAGTTGCGTCTCGAGGTCCTTGGCGCAGTGTGCGAGAAGCGAGGCGCGGTTGAAGTAGGTGTCGGCCGAAGTCGAGTCTTCTTCCTCGAGGAACAGGCGGACGATGCGGATGTAGACCCTCAGCTTGTAGTCGTCGGGCCTAGGAGCATGTCGTCGTCAGTACGGATTTGGCGTGCGCGAGACCCCCCAGCAGAAGACGCACCGACTGCCAGACTCGAGAGGAATACCGATCAAGACCTTCGCCGCCTCAGGAAACTCCTCGTCCTGCTCGAGCAAGTCCGCGTACTGCTCGCGCAACCTGCAGAGCTGCGAGACAGTTGGAGCGCAGTCAGTCAGCCCAAGTTGTCCTGCCTCCAGCTAAAAGGTACGTACCTGCTCCTCGAACGACGTGACCCTCGGCTGCAACAGCTGCACGCTCCTGTTCAAGACCTCCTTCCTCGCCTCCCTATCCGTGATCTCAGGCAGCTTGGCGACGTAGCCATCCAGGACCTGCCTTGCAACGATCTGAGGGAAGTCGGATCCGACGACGACGGAGAGCCACTGCGAGAGGTCGGCGGGGAGCGAGCCTGAACTAGCGAGGATCTGGTCGAGCAGCGAGAGGTACGCTTGCGACTGTGAGGCGGGCGACGAGGGTCAGTGTACCGAGTGGGGCGGTGTGAGGAGAGAGGGGTGGAAGCGGCCTGCGCACCTTGTCCTTCTGTGGCAAGTTGCTGATACGCTCAAGCTCGGCGTCCATCGTGTCCAGGGGGCCAGCAGGCGAGGTGAGCGGAAGAGAGTGGAGGGGAAGAGGGAGAGCAAGTGCGAGGCAAGGATTTGAGAGTTGACGGGCTGAACGGCTCTTTGCTGCGCTCTGCGAGTTCCGTCGCGGCTTGCAAGAGTCGGAGACTGAAAGCGAGAAGCGCGGCGGAGTGAGCGGAAGCGACCAGCAATACACGAGCGTCGAAGCGAGGTGAAAGGCAGTACAATGCGACTACGATAGAGAGTGGCACTATATGCCTGCTTTTACGAGATCCTCGGCCGCATAGCCGACTGCCCAAGACCGCCCGAAACCGCAGAAACGCCTCGACTTCGTCTCCTTCCTCACCTTTGTCGCTTCACCTGCGCCTTCATCATCTTCTTGCGCTCCTTCTCCTCCTCCTTCTTCTGGAACTTCATCCGCTCGGCGGGCGTCATCTTGCGGAGGAGCGATTCGCGCTTGTCGGCCTCCATCTTGCGCTTGAGAGCAATCGCGTCCTGCTTGGCCTCCTCAACACGCTCGGCTTCCTCCTCGCGCAAGGGCTTGAGGAGAGTCTCGAGTGCATCGGCGCGGCGCTTCTTCTGCGGTGGAAAACCAGGACTTATCAGCCACGAGTCTTGACAAAGCCAGATCATGCGCGAAAAATTGCGTGGTTGTCCACGCACCAGCTTGTTGATGGCCGTTTCGGGCACAAGCTTCTGCTTCGAGTAGAGGATGTCGGCGATGTTGCACGCAAGCGAGATCCACGGCGCGGTCTCGGCGGAGCGGGAGGAGGGCGGGAGGCGGAAGGTGAGGGTGAGGTGGTACTCGTTCTCGGGCAGCTTCGGCTTCCTGCAAGCGTAGAGAATGATCAGCAAGCCGTCACGTACGGAGTGGCCTGACAGTTAAGAACGCACTCCTCGTCCGGCGTCTGAGCAGGCATGTCGGAAACGACCAGGCTCTCGAGCCACTCGAGACCCTCGGCGCCCTCCTGCAGAGCGTCAAGGAGACCAGTCTCCTGGTCCTTGAGGAGCGCATTCGTCACGTCGCCCGACTCGGTCATGGCGATAAGCGAGGGGGCGACACCGGTCGCTTCGGTTACGGCGGTGAACGTTCGCTAAGAGCGACGAGTTGCGTCAGCGAGGAATATGCCTCGTGTAATATCCTCGCGCAACTCACAAGGTCCCAGCGAGCGTCACGGGTCTTGCGGAGGACGTCGCGCTTGACAACCGCGAAGCAGAGCTTGGCGCCAGGCGTGCCCTTTGGCTCGGCAAGCTTGAAATCGACGGTCTGCAGGAGGAGGAATTACTAAAGCGGGACATGAGGCACGCGAGGGGACTGGCGCACGCACCACCTTGTCCGAACCCGAGTCGTACTGGTAGTCGATGATGCCGCGGACGATGTGATACAGCCTCGCGAGGAGGTCCTGCCCATTGGTCCTGACCTTTGTCCACACATGCTCAACCGCCCGCCTGCCCGTCGCGTACGAGACAGCCTCGTCTCCGCCGTCCATCGCAAAGAGCTGTCCTTTCCCCAATCCGACGCCAGCGAACTCTTCCCGGAACGCTGCCTCGTTCGCCTTGAGCCATGTCGACGCGCAGGAGGCGTTCGACTTGCGAATGATGAAGGTCGTGAGGAGGTAGCCCGCGATGAGGGAGAGCATCACGCCCTCCATCTTCATCTCGGCAGGTCGCACATGGAACGGGCCGAGCTTGTACTCGATCCCCTCGTACGGAGGCAGTGCGGGCGCGGCTCCTGCGGCGGGTGCGCCGACGATTTCGGGGAAGAGGGGGTCGTCCGCTTTGGGAGGAGAGGCAGGAACGGGGTCGGCAGCGTCAACGGGCGAGGGTGTGTCGACTACTGGCGTGCAATCAGAGCGTCAGCAATCCTCCGCGCATGCCCGCGAGCGGTGTTGCGCAGTGCACGCGCGGATGTCTTCGACGGGGTGGGGGGACGAGGTGTAGAAAAGCGAGAACGCACCCTTCTTGGCCCAAACCTGCGCCGCACCAGCCACGACACACGCTGCAGCAGTACCAGGCACGAAAGCAGCTGTGCGAGCCATGTTGCGAGTAGCGAGACGAGCGGGAGGAGGAGAACCGCCAAGGGCGAACAGCGAGCGAGGTCGACTGTCTTTGCAGGGCCAGGCCACGCTGACTGAAGGTGAATGTAGATTACGCGTGCAAGGGAATCGGCGATAACGAGAAACGAAAGGCGAGAGTAGCGACGACAAGAAGGAGAACGGAGAGAGGCTGCAAAGTGCGGTACAAGAAAAGTGAGTGGATAAAGGAAAGCCGTGTACGCATGTACATGTCGATTAGGAAAGGTGCACGCTCAGGAGATGGCAGCGCCCTCGAGCCGCCGCCGAGTGTCCTCCTCGAAACCGCCGTGAACTCGCGGGCTCGCGCGTCCTGCCTGAGTCGGTGGCGGCGGCGGTCTCCGGCGCCCGCTCGTGATAGTAGTGGTATGTGGCGAGGGCGGACCGGAGCCGTCGCTGCCGCCTGTACTCTGCGGCAGGAGCGTTTGCGATGCCGGCGTGCGAGGTCGACTGCCGCCGTCGGTAGGAGGTGGTGGCGGTCTTCGTCGTCGCGGTGTGGCGCATGCTGAAGGCAAGTCGCCAACGCTGGCGGAGAGAGAGGCGGAAGACATGGCGGGAGATGGCGGAAGAGGCGGAGGAGGCGACTCGCTCAAGCCTAAGCCGTGGGTGGAAGAGCGATAAGAGGTGGCGGAAAGTGAGGTGGAGCGTGGTCGAGGGTGTACTAGAGGAGGTGCGAGGCTGCCGGACGTTGGTTGCGTCGACGAACGCGGAGAACCGGCCATCAGTCGCCGAGCGACAGGATCGAGTATGTCGTGGCCGGCAGAGATGGACGGGATGGAAGGTGGCAGCTCGTAATCGAGAGCGGGCGAGGTAGACGGGAAGCGAGATTCTCGCTCGGGCGATGTCGAGGTATAGGTGGCATAGCTTGACCGGACGACTTCCGGAGCCTGACCAGTGACGGCTCGCTCGGCCAGCGGTTGCAGCACCGTCCACCCATCCGCAATGGTCACGCCCGCATTACCATACGAGCCTGACGAGACCGTCTCGTCGAGGCTAGTCTGCCTCCGCGACTTGCGATGCGAGTGTTTCCGCTTGTGCTTGCGCACAGCCTCGTCGTCGGCCCGCGCGACCGCATCAACACTGAGCGTACTGCCCGTCGCCGAGTCCGAGCCGAGCGTGCGTCCTGCAGCGACCGCTTCGGCCGATCGCAAGCCCTGACACCAGCTTCCTCGCAGGTTCCGCTCGACGAGGCGACGAGTTGTCGGGTCGCAGTCGCGGTAGTACGATGGCGCAACTAGGCATTCGAGGACTCGGCGGAGCTCTTGGCGCTTGTAAGGGTAGTGGCGGAGTTGGGTATTCGTGAGGAGAGGGTGGAGGACGCGGAGGTAGGTGTGCTTGAGCTGCGGAGTCGAATCGTCAGGATCCTGCCTCAAGGCAATCAAATTAACGACTCACCCCTTCGGACTCTTCGCCCAGGTTGTACAGCTCGCGGATGAAGACGTCGACGAGCACGCAGAGGTCGTTTGTGTAGAAGTACTCCTGAGTGCCCGAGGTCGTAAAGAGGAGGTACAGGATCTTGAGGATGAGGAGGGAGACGCAGAGCGAGTCGGGCGTGCCGTCTGCAGGGGGAACGGTCAGCAGAGGAAGTGCAGCGAGGAAATAGGGGACGCACCTGCTCGGTTCAGAATGAAGATGATGTTCTCGCCGAAGGTCTTGCTCTCGTGCTCCTTCTCCTTGAGCACCTCCAGCACCGTATTCGGTCCCCGTTCCCGCTTCGTCTTGCCCACGACAGTCGGGAGAATAGGCGGAGGGAGTTGGCCGCTTCCTTTCGGTGCTGCCGGGACGGTGCAGACCATGAATTGCTCGTTCAGCGCGATGATGAGCTTGATGAGCGAGTAGTTGAAGGTCTCGTCCTCGGCGTCTCGTGTCCGCTCGACGAGGGAGAAGAGGTGGGAGATGAAGTCGAAGGTGAAGTCGGCTGCAACGGAATGTAAGCTTATGATTTCTCAAAAGGACCAGAACGTACATAGCTCGTCGAGTGTGAGCTTCTGCACCCTGCACATCTCGTACAGCACGGCCGTCGCCGCCGTTCCGACCCTCTCTTCCCATCCTTCAGCCGGCATGCCCACCTGCTGGTCGTCACGCTTCTCAGGCTCGCTCAGCTCGCCCGTATGCCGCTCCTCGACAACTCCCGCATCACACACCCACTTCATCAGGACCGGCACGACCTCATTCCACCGTTTCCGCATCCGCCGGAACACCTTTGAACTCCCGACCGTCACGCCTGCGCCCGGTTTCTGCGGGTTCGCCCACACGCCCGCTGTCGTCAAGGGGTTCGCTCCCTCGCCGAGGTGCAAGACGAGCATGAGGGAGATGAAGAGGGTCGCGCTGGAAGCGTCGGGGTGGACGATCGAGGAGACGATGTTGTCGGTCATTCGGTCGGCGTGGTCCGTGAAGAGTGGGGACGAGAGAAGTGCGAGGAGAGCATGGTCGAGTGCGCCAGGCTCAGCTAGGAACTGGTCTGTCGAGGGAGGGAGTGTCAGTCGTTCGTCGAGGAGGAGAGGTTCAAGCGCGGCGACGCACCCATGAAGCTGCTCGCAAACGCGATGTAGTTCCGCAAGCAGTAGTCGAGCTCCTGCAACGACGAGTCTGGCGGCACTGCGATCAACTCGTCCAGCTCTGCTCGCACGCCAAGCGATGACAGCGGACCGCGAGGGAGACGGTGTCAGCTCGACTCGTTCGCTGGACCGCCCGAGTAGACGAGCAGTGTCGCTGAGAGCCGCAACGCACCTTGCCAGAACTGTTCTGCCGTCGAGAAGTGCCATTCCTGCTGCGCCTCCATCCCCGGAAGAGACGAGGAAGCGGTCCGTCACCCGCGCCGCAAGTAGACCTACTGAGTTGCTCAGCCGTACAGTCAGAACATACACAGTCGTCTGGACCAGCCAGGCGAGCAACAAGCGCAGAGAAAGCGAGCAGCGGGTGTGTCGTCGTCCAACCTTCCGCCGGACCGTCCTCGTACCGTCCCCAACTCGCTCACTCCGCTTGATTGGGCTAGCAGGGTGCGCAACCGAGTGTCAGCTGTACCCTTGAGCCCTGTGACTGACCGAGATCTGTCCCCATCGCGCCGCTCACTCCGCTCAACTTTCCATCGCACTCAGCTTCACCTCGACTTTTCGTCGCCTATCCCTGGTGAGGGCAGGATTACAAGGGTTGTGAGGACTGTTAAGCGAACTGACAAGCCGCTCTGCCCGCGCAGAACCGCCTAGCTCGCACCGCTAGGCCAGTTGATGCTCTTTCGCCTCCTTCGACCCCTCTCGACCCCCTCGTTCACCCGTGAAATGGCTTCCATCGCCAAGAAGGCGCGCACCACGCCGATCCTCACGTCGCACAGCGGCACCTTCCACGCCGATGATGCGTTCGCCCTCTCCATGCTCCGCGTCCTGCCCCAGTACGCCCAGGCAGAGGTCCGCCGCTCACGCGACCCGAAGGAGTGGGAGGAGGCCACTGTCTTGTTCGACGTCGGAGGCGAGTACGACGCGGAGAAGGGCAAGTTCGACCACCACCAGCGCGGGTTCAGCGAGGTCTTTGGCCACGGCTTCGTTACGAAGCTCAGCTCGGCTGGCTTGATCTACAAGTGCGTCTCGCAGCGGTTGTGCGGTACTAATCGCATCTGACTCTCTGTCTTGCAGGCACTTTGGCCAGGAGATCCTCTCGACTCTGCTCAATGAGCCCGTCAGCTCGCCCGTTGTCCAGACTCTCTACCTGAAGATGTACGCCGACTTTGTCGAGGCCTTCGACGGCATCGACAACGGCATCTCGCAATACGTCACCTCCGAGCCTCCCCGGTACCGCTCGCGCACCGACATCTCCTCGCGCGTGGGAGCCCTCAACCCTCGGTGGAACGAGCCGTCCAACGAGGACGTCCTCCTTGAGCGCTTCCTCAAGGCGAGCGAGATGTGCGGCAACGAGTTCAAGGAGCGCCTGGACTACCTCGCCAAGGCTTGGTTGCCTGCGCGCGAGATCGTCCAGCGCGCCGTTGAGGCGCGGAAGCAGGTCCACCCGAGCGGCAAGATCCTCATCTTTGACGAGTTCGCGCCCTGGAAGGTAGCAGCCTACCTATCCGCTTCTTTCTGTGCGTCTCGCTAACGCCGTCTATCGCAGGAACACCTCCATAACCTCGAGGAGGACCTCAAAATCCCCACCGACGAGCTCCCCCTCTACGCCCTCTACCCCGAGAACGAGAAGCCCGACTCGAAGTGGCGTGTCCAGGCTGTCGCCGTCTCGCCCGAGTCGTTTGAGAGCAGGAAGGCCCTTCCCGAGGCGTGAGTCGGCCGTCTTTGCATCGAGCGTAGCTGCTTCTCGCGTGGATCGACTCTGGTGCTGATCCCTCTCATTCATGCAGATGGCGCGGAGTCCGCGACGATGCGCTCTCGCAACTGACCGGCATCGACGGCTGTGTCTTCGTCCACGCCGCAGGCTTCATCGGCGGTGCGCTTCCTCTCTTCCTCCTCTCGTCTTTACAGTACTGATGTCGCTCTCGCAGGCAACAACACCAAGGACGGCGCACTGGCGATGGCCGTCAAGGCTCTCGAGTTGTAGATGGGCAGCGGGGTGTGAAATACAGGGCTTCGAGACACACAGTAACAGCGCGAGAAGGGCGAGGGATACAACCGACAGAGTATACTACCAGAGCGAGAAGCGGGCGACACAAGCGGGACAGCGAGACGGGAAGAGGCGGGATCTAGATGGCGATCCTGCGAACGAGGCGGCGTTGCTGGAGGAACTGGAGGACGTCGCTCCGCTCGAGGATCATGAGGCAGCGGTCGAAGGCGTGTTGAGTGAAGCCGCGGTTGCGAGTGAAGTAGTCGCGGAGGGACGAGTAAGGGAGTGTCCGGCCGACTCCGAGGCGGTTCTTCTTCCGCAATTCGTCCTCGATCGCATTCACCTCCTCCATCAGCTCGCTCTTCGAGAGTCCATCGACGTTGCCGGCTCGCACGGCGTCCATGGTCGAGAACTTGAAGAGCCGGATCGCCTCGTCGACGTGCGAGTCGAGCACTTCCGTCTTGAGCTCAATCTTGGCGAGCGATTCGGAGATGCGGATGATGGCCTCCAGTTGACTGCGCATGGCGAGGCGTGTCAGCTGGATTCTTTCGCGAAAACGACGAAGAGACGCACCGAACGGTGATGGGAATCGATGAGCGCTCGTTGTTGTCCCTCTCAAGCTGCTGGACCTGCTTCCTCAGCGCGACAAAGTGGCTGCTGAGCTTCTGCGCCGCATCGGACGAGAGCCTCGGTGCACGGCGGCTGTTCGTCCACATCCCGTCAGCCCGAGAAGCGAGAGACGGAGGGGAAGAGGAACGCACGCCTTGCAGTACGAGACGTAGCGCTTCATCGTCTCGATGTCGATCTCGCCGACAACCCCCTGGTCCGTCGCGCGGTTCATGTGAATGTTCATGACGTGCTTGGCGATAGTCTGCGCGTTTCCGTCCCGTCAGCTGCGTTCTCTCGAAAGCTGGCAAACCTCGCAACGCACCGCATCGCGCGCCTCGTTATGCTCGTCCTTGACAAGGAAGATCATATCGAAACGGGACAAGATGGTCGTCGCAAAGTCGATGTTGTCGGCCGGAGTCTTCATGTCGTCGTACCGTCCAAAGACGGGGTTGGCGGCGGCGAGAACCGAGGTGCGCGAGTTGAGGATGGTCGTGATGCCTGCTTTGGCGATGGAGATGGTCTGTGCGGCGACGCGCGGTGAAGGCAGACGAGTCAGTGCCGGCTTCAGCGGGAGTCGTCCAGTGCACAGCGCCGAACGCACCTGCTGCTCCATCGCCTCGTGAATCGCAACCCTGTCCTCGTCCCTCATCTTGTCAAACTCGTCGATACACACAACCCCTCCATCCGCCAGGACCATCGCGCCTCCCTCCAGATAGAACTCCCTCGACTGCGGGTCACGCTGCACGGACGCAGTCAAACCCGCCGCCGAGGACCCCTTGCCCGAAGTGTAGACTGCGATTGGAGAGACCTTTTCGACGAATTTGAGGAGCTGCGATTTGGCGGTTCCGGGGTCGCCGAGCAGGAGGACGTTGATGTCGCCTCGGAGACGCATGCCGTCGGGGAGGACCTTCTTCGAGCCGCCGAACAACAGGCATGCGATCGCCTTCTTGATGTCTGCGATACGCCCTCGTCAGCCACTCCATCTTGCGCAACGAAAGAAGAGGCGGACTGACCAGCATTCCCAAAGATACTCGGCGCGATACTCCTCGCAAACTTCTCATAAATGTCCGGCTGCTTGCCGAGCTTCTCGAACTCTTCCTCCTCCTCGGCGGTGAAGTTCCGGACGCCTTGGCCGCCTGCGCCTTCGCGATCGACTTCGAGGCCGAGGATGCGGAGGTAGGGCGTGCGGAGGGCAACTGGGGTATCGCGCTGCGAAGGAGCGAGGGAAATCAGCGATGTGAATAGTGGATAGAGGAGTGGAGTTGCGCACCCTGCTCTTGCCGGACTGGAAGGTCGAGTAGATACCCGTCGCGATAACCCTTGAACCGGGGACGACCTTGCCCGTCAAGTACCTTATCTCCCACACATCAGCGTCGTTCCCCTGACACAGGAAATCGCAACGCACCTGTCTGCACTCAGGATCAAGTGACGGGGCAGTTCTCCGACAGGAACCATGTCGGGCGCTTCTTGCAGCTTGATCGTCTGCTGGTCGACGAACGTGCATTTGTCGTGTACGATCACGTAGGGATCGAGCGGGCAATCCTTCGTCTCGCCAGGCGGGGCGGGTCTGTCCATTCCCCAAAGTGAGCGCAAGCGAGTCGAGGAGAAAGGGAGGGAGGACTCACGCGATACACTTGCGCGGGAGCTGGAAGCCAGAGAAGCCGCCTTGCACGTCCATCGTCGTGACGTGTCGGCACGACTTGCAGGTGAGGTGGAGACGGATCGCGCGGGACGAGAGGACCGAGGCGGAGATGACGATTCCTGGGAGGCGGACAAGGCGGGAGATGTTGGTTGCCTGGTCGAGTCCAATCTCGCGCGTCAGCTAGCTGTCGAGAAGGAGAGAGGACAGGACGCACGCCAAGTTCACGGAACTGCATCAGCCTGCTCCCGCTCCGCAACTGCAACTGGATCTCGGGGACCGCCTTCTGCCGCTCTTGCCGCTCCTCCGCGCCGGCCGCCGTAGGGAAGAGGAGATTCCGCGCGACATTGCGCAACGCGATCTCGAACTGCGCGGGAAAGAACCGTAAGCCTTGTCACAAGCGAGTCGACGAGGAGAGGAAGGGTGCGCACGAGGGGGACCATCTCTCCCGGCTCGTTCCTGCACCTGCTCGCGAGGTCCTCCCTCCACCCAATCAGGTGACCCATCTCGACCTCGAGCGTCCACTCCTTGCGGAGGCAGTTGGCGCGCAGCCTGTCGCGGTACACGAACGACTCGTTCTCCCTGAACTCGGTGACGAACTGCTGGAAGTCTGCGATGGTCTGGGTGTTCTGCTGTGCGGTCGTCGTTGCGTCTGATGCGCCCGTGCGGCCGGAGAAGTCGCTGCCGTAGACGGGCACGCTGTAGACGCTCTGCGCGACGAGGAAGACGATGCGGGGTCAGCGGGACTCGCGCGACCGGTGGGAGTGAATGCGCACCCCTCTGTCGAAGCCTGTGTTCATGTTCGGCGGCTCTAAAGGAAGAGAGAGGGGATGGGGAGGAGAACGAGAGTCGAGGTCGGGTCGCGTGCGGACGCGAAACGCGAACGCGTCGAGGGAGATGAGGAAAATCGGCTGCTGTAGCGTTGGCGTTGCTTGTGTACACCGTGTGAGTGTCTCGTACGACCCTCAGAAGCGAAGCCAGAATCGCAGAGTCGATTGATCCCCTCCTCGTTCTGATCCCGCAGAAAACGGCCAGCAGAGCTTCTTTCTCGCGCTCGTGAGAGCTGTACTGGGTCTGCATTCCGTCGAAAGAGCGTATGGAAGCACTGAGAACAAACGCCGATCCTTGTGCAACTTGACGGCGCCCCCTCAGCCCGCCTGACCCACTTCTCTCCCTCCTCCCGCACACTCTCCCGCTCACACACTCTCGCCGCTCAAGCGAACCCCACCATGCTCTTCCGCACGACGTTCCACGCCCTCCGCTGTTCGAAAGCCCCCGTCAAACACGTACGCTGCACCTCCCCGCCCTCTCTCCTCCTCCTCCCTAACCCACTCAAGCCTCCTCCCTGGCAGCCCGTCGTCCGCGCCTACTCGAACGGCTCTCCGCCTTCCTCGATGGGCACCTCCCGCCCAGGCTGGTTCCGCACCGAACAAGACAGGACGAGGGCCCTCTGGGGCGCGGCGATCCTTGCGACGGTGGGTGGGTGGTGGTACATGACTAGGGAGCCGGTAAGTGAGAGGTTGCTAGAGTTGGACTGTGAGGGCGATGCGGTCGTAGTGAACGAGCCGGGTGTGAGCGTGAGGGGTTTTCCTCGGCACTTCGAGGAGGACTTTGCACGCTAGCAGCGCCTTCACGCCGTCTCGCTGACTCTCTCGCACTCTTTACTCCAAGCAGAACGCCCGCAAGGAGTACGAGAAAGTCAAGCAGGGTATGAGGGGCAGCTCGTCGTCGTCGTCCGACTCGTCGACCAAGTGAACCCCGCCCTCTCTTCCTCTCGTCCTCACTTCCCATTCCCTCTCTAGGATTGGGCGTTGTTGTCGCTTGGAAGGCTTGCGGGAGGACGCTGGACATCGCTTGGGTGAGGAAGCCTCGAGGAGGAGGTCGTTCTTGATCGCGCTCGTCTCGCTTGCAAAGTCTACTCGTCCATCTCGCCGCGTCCTCCTCGACGACTAGACGCCTCAAGAGCCGCGAAAAGAAGCGCACGAAAAGCGCATCGACTGTATGCGATGCTCAGCGTCTCGCTCGCAAGCGTTGACCTTCCCAAATCGCTCGCGACGTCACCCTTCTGCCTCTCGTCTCTCGTCTCGCACTCTCTTGCTCTCCTTGTTACTCTCTCTCGCAAGCTACAAGACCCACACACCCAAACGAACACACCATGCTCGCGCTCCGCTCGCTCCGTGCCCTCCGCCTCGCGCCCTCAGCAACTCGAGCATACACGACTCACCCAGCGAAATCCGGCGCGCAGGGATCAGGGAACCAAGGGGTTGGTGAGGACGCGGCGGATATCCAGAGGAAGAACGCGTTGGTGCCGGTTTTTGTGGCGGCGGGAGCGGGGTTGGTTGGGTGCGTTTCGTTCGTTCGAGAATTCTTTGGCTCGACATGGAGGCTAGGGGAGGGGAGGACAGTATAAGGTGGAGAGAGGAGAAGGCTGACGACGGTCGTATGTGCGCAGGTACATCGTCTACTCGCAAATGGTGAGTCGTTCGCTCTTCCCTTCTCTCGACTCCCGAGCGAGGAACAATCGCTTCAGGTCGGGCTGCTGAAGTGTTGTTGACGGTCACTGATATCTATTGGTTCCGCAGAGCGCAAAGAAGGAGCACGAGGAAGCGAACAAGGAGCGGAAGACGGACATGCGGCAGGAGAAGCAGGCGCGTCTCTGCCGTCTTTTCGCTGCTACGTCTCGCGCCGCACTGCGACCAAGGATAGCTGCTCGACGAGATCGAGGCGTGCTGACTGCTGGACTCTCCCTCTGCAGGTTGCCGGCGAGAAGGAGCGCATGGGTGGACGCGGCTAGGAACCCACTCTCTTCTCTGACCCCCGACGCATGAAGTCAACAAGTACCTGTAACGAAGCAGTCTCTTGCATGGACTACTGTACAGACTCGCATCGGAGAGGCTGCGAAGGTTTTTGGCTTCGGTGTTTGTGTCGGTGTCGATCTCCGCTTGGCCTCAAAGACCGCGTGCTCTTCCTCCCTCGTCTTGAGTTCGTCTGGCGGAATTTGAGCGCTTCTCCGCCGTCAGGCTGTCAGGACTCGGAGCAAGCCGGGTTCGACCGCATCAACGCCTCTCCGCTTGATTGCGCCTGCTCCGTGGGTAGCTGTAATGCGCAAATACGATTCCTCGTGGTCATTAGTGAGACCCTTGGGCTCGATTGTCCCTTGGATCGGAAGCGAGAGGCCTCGGGTCGTTCGTTCGTTCGTTCGCCTCGTCGTCCTCGTCCTCTCGCTGGACGGCGTGCTGGCTCGAGTCGATGGCCACAGCCGACTCACGACGACCAGCCAAGCGCGGCGTCCTCTCCTGTCCGTCTCGCTCTCGCTCTCCTCGCCCCGCTCCGCTCGCCTCCACTTCCACGCCCGACAAATTGCCCGACGAGGCTCGAAGCTGACCCTCGTGTGCGACGACTCGACAGGCGCAGAATGCAGGAGGCTCAAGTTGAAGTGCGACAGGGCGCCGTGGCGTGAGTCTTGCGCTGGTTGTCCAGAGGGGGACAGTTCGCTGACCACCGACCATGCTGCTTCCGTCTCCCACTCCTTCCGGCGCTTATTCCTCTCGACGACGACGCCGAAACAGCCTGCGGATCCTGCGTCAAACGAGGTTGCGCCTCGATATGCCCCGACCAAACACTCACTCCGACTCGCACCTCGAAACTCGCAGCGAGCGCATCGACTCTCGCAGACCGCGTCGAGCAGCTCGAGGCGATCATGAAGTCCCAAGGGCTCGGTGGCCTTGTCCCGCCGCTGACGGACGCAGAGGTCGCGGCGTACGGGACTGCTTCGTCCGTCGGCGCGAGGCAGAGACAGATGATGGATGCCATGGAGGCGGTCGAGAATGACAGGGCTGGTGCAGGGGCCGGAGCACAGGAAGAGGAGGACGTCGAGGCGATTGGAGCTGCGGTTGGATCGCTTACGATGCGAAATGACGGGTCGGCGCGGTTTCTGGGTGTCGGGGCGGCGCTGGCGTACACAGGCGAGGTGCGCAGCGGCCTTCTTCCTCGTCTTACGCTGCTTGACCGTCTCTCACGCAACAGGACAGCAGCGACTCCGCCGAAGAGGGCACCGACGGCGAAGGAACCAACCCAAACGGCGGCGGCGGCGGCAGTTCCGCCAGCCTCCCACGTCGCATCTCTCCCCCCTCGACCTCGCACAGCAGCTCCCTCCCTCCCGAACTCGAGTCGCCCGGGTTTCCGTTCATCCAGCTCCGCAATTCGCTCAAGCCTATACAGGACTTGTTGCCCGCGAAGGAGGAGGCAACGCGGTTGGCGCAGGTCTAGTGCGTCAGTCGCTTCACTCTGTGCGATGGTCTGTGCTAACGAGCGCTTTGAACAGCTGGGACCGCTGCGCGTACATGTTCGCGCCGATCTGCCACGAGACGTACTGGGACGACTACTTCCCTACCGCCTTCTCCTCCGATCCGCAAGGCGAGTTTCCGCTCGCGTTTCCTTCTCGCACTTCAACTGACTGTGATTCGCTCCTCAGGCGTCAACACCGGCACCAAGCTCGCCTGCGTCTTCATGACCCTCTCCCTCGGCTCAATCTTCGACCCCTCCGCTCCTCCGATCCCCTCACCCCTCGTACACCGCTTCTACGCAGCAGGCCAAGCCGCACTCTCCGCCTCTCGGTTCCTTTCGCACCCGACGCTGGCGGGTATCCAGGCGATCCATATGAGCGTCAACATCCTTTTCAGCCGACCGAACGTCAAGGAGGGCGGCGAGAGTGCGTCCTTCCCTCGCTTGCTCTCCTCGCCTAGCTGACGAAGGTGGGACACAGTGTTCTGGCCCGTCTACGGACTCGCGATACGCGCGGCGCAGAGTATGGGCTTGCATCGAGATCCGGCGTTGTGGGGATTGGACGAGAAGGAGGTCGAGCGGAGACGGACGACGTTCTGGGAGGTTGCTTGTGTGCGTCCTACCTTTCCTGGACTTCTCAGAGAGGAGAGAAAACTCACGGTGTTGTGAGGAGGACAGCTGGACCGGTTACAGGCTTTCTTGAACGGCCGACCTTGTACGTCTCGCTCGCGCTTCACTGTCTGCTCGTTGCTCACCCGGACCCGGCGCAGACATACTGCAGAATAAGGATTTCGACACAAAGATGCCGACTGAGAAGGACGCCTATCACGTCGAGCGGTTCAAGCTCTCTCTTGTCGTCGGCGACACTATCGACGGTACATCGTTCTCCTCCCCTCGACCACCCCTCAGACTAACCCCGGTGCGCCCGCAGAGCTCTTCTCCGTCAAGCCCGTCACCTACCCCGCCATCAAGTCGCTCGACGAGAAAGTCCGCAAGGCCTACTCGGAACTACCCGAATCGTGTCGCTGCTCGGCGCTGCCAGAAGAGGCGTTCTCGACGCCTGGATCGGTCCCGATGCATTCGCCGCCGAATCTGCCTGCGGCGGGGGAGTCGACGAGACTTGTGCTTCAGCAGCATATGCTTGCGATCTTGTACAGCGTCTTGCTCCTCTGTGCGTGTCGCTCACTGCCCCTCAGTGTCGCGCTTGCTGACGGCATCGCGTCGCGCAGACCTGCACAAGATCCCCTTCTCTCAAGCGCTCGACAAGTACGCGCAAGAACCCCTCCAATCCCCCTTCGCCTCCTCCGTCACCATCGTCATCCTCGAAGCAAGCGCATACATCATCAAGCTCGTCAAGAGTTGGACTCAGGTCGACGAGGTCGTTGGACCGAGATGGTGGAATCAGGCTTGGCATGCGTTTGTTGCGGCGGCGGCGCAGGCGTCGTTGGTCATCAAGTCGCCTGGGTCGATGCTTGCTGGACGTGCGTAGCGAGAATCTCGTTCCGCATTGGAGCTTCGAGCTGACGCTCGTTTCGCCCGCAGACGCCTGGCAGCAACTGAACGAAGCCTGCTCGCTCTTCGAGAACGCCGCTCCCCGCGGTCCGACCTACGCCAATCTCCTCCCTCGCATCCACCTCCTCCGCCAAAAAGCGCACGACGTCCTCGTCTCCGTCCGTCACATCCAGCCTACCCTCGTTCCCCTACCGCCCGACGCTCAAGCAGTCGAGTTGTCCGAGTTGAACGCGCTAGGGACGTCAACGCAGCTTTCGCGCGGTCGACCACGGACTGCGACGATCAAGGAGGAGGGAGGTGCGGTCTCGGAGGAAGCGGCCGCGGCGGCTTTGTCGCTGTTGCAGCCTGCGCCGTGGCAAACGCTCGACTTTGCCGCGCCCGGCACAGCTTCGGCGTCAATGCCGCAGTACGCGCATCCTCAGCAGTACCCGCAGCCGTCGAACCCTTCGCAAGACCAGCAGCAACAGCACCGGCCCTCTACGTCCGACTCGCAACATCAGCAGCACGCTCGCGGGCCGTTCGGCTACGTACCGCCAGGCTCGCACCCCACTATGCCCGTCTACCAACCTTACCCCGCCCCAGGCCCGTCGATGCCTCACTACCTCCCTTCGCAACCGCCCCCTCCGCCGATGTACGACTCGCCTGATCCTGCGCTTTTCGGCTCGCAAGAAGCGTACCGCTATGCGACTCAGCAGCAGCAACAACAGCTGCCGAGCGGATCAGTCGGACCCGCGGGGGAGATGTGGTTCGCGAGCGGAATGGGGATGGGAGGACCGCTCCCGCCTCAAGGTCCGCAAGATTCATGGAGTCTCTGTGCGTCGCGCCCCTCCTCCTGATCACCGCTCGAGACTGAGCTGACGCATCCATTGAATCAGGGGGAGACATGTTGCGCAACGCAGGCTGAACGCATCGACGAGTCCTCTTCGATTAACTCAAGCCGGTCTCTCTCTGCATGCGTCCCCGGCGCGCGCTGTAGAACCCTCTCTCTCTCTCCTCTCGCACATACGCGACCTGTTGTTAATTTTATGCGTGCGATACCCCGTCCTCACGCCTCCGCGCGAGACTCGCGAACGAGAGAGAAAAGCAACTGAGTGTGTACGAACTGAGTTTCACGTCTGCGTTTGGTGGTAGTAGATGCAGGGGGTGTTTGGGCATGCGAAGGGTACATATGAATGCGGAACGGAAGGCACGGCGCTTACGGAAACGAAACGTGGCGGTTTCATTTGAGGAGAACAACCATAACGGTCAAGTTGTCGGTCGTGCGGTGCCTGCGCGCGAAGGAGCGTGAGTTCAAGCTAGAGCTGGAAGAGGGCAGGAGACGGAACGCACGTAAGAGCGTACTGGAGGAGCTTGTCGCTCGCCTCCTGCGGGTCCTTGCAGCCCTGAATGAGGTCGACGGCCTGCTGGTCCGAGCAGACGTCCCAGAGCTGTGTGCGCCGTGACAACGTCAGTACCTCGGATGCGAAGCGAGCGCAGCAAACGCGGACGCACCCCATCGCAAGCGACGATCAAAAAGTCGTCCTCATCGCGCAACGTCGTCTCGGTCGTGTACGGCGAGCCGACGACAAACTGCTTCATCTGCGAGTCTCCGAGCGAGCGTGTGACGGCGAGGTAGCCGTTCACGCGCGAGTTCATCACGTAGCCTCCGGCGGCCTCGATTCGCTCGGCTTCTTTCGAGTCGGCCGCTTTGTGGTCGTAGGTGAGTCGAATGGCGCGACCGCCGCGGCTACGAGCGCCAGATGATTAGCTTGCTGCGCAAGAGGCCATGGCGGCAAGCGCAGAACGCACGAAAGAACCGCCCTCGCGTCTCCCACATTCGCCGTGTACAGCGTCCGCTTCGCCGCGTTGACGACCTCCGCCGGCCCGCTGATCTGCTTCTCGCCCTCGTACGTCGGGGTTGTCGTGCCGCTCGAGAAAGGCGAGAGCTTCGAACCGCCGCTGAGAACGCTCTTCAACTTGCCCTTCAGGCCGGTCGACTCGCCGCCTGAGCCTGCTGTCGGACGCGTTGAGAGTCAGGCCTACCCGACTCCGCAAAGGAGCGAGAAAGCGAGCTCACCATTCGGGTGCTGTCCCTCGCCCGACCCAGGCTTGCCCTCCGTGGGATCAATCCCCACCGCCTCCGCCGCCTTCGCCGCCTCACCCGCATGTCCCTCCAACTTGCCCTTCGTCCCGCCCACCACATGCGGCGCGACTCCCGACCCCTCTCCAACCGGGTTCCCCTCCTCGTCCTCGAGCCGGAGGAGACAAGTGACGGCTGTGCAGCCTGAGTGCGACCCTTCTGCGGCTGAGAGGGCGGAGAGTTGGGTGTCGACGGCGTGGAAGGTCGCGTTCAAGAGGTGGGGGATCGGAGTAGAGGGCGACTTGCGCAGGTTGTCGAGGAGGTGCTGCGGGTCGAAGACGTCAGTCCGCCCATTCCACGAAGAGCCAGTGAGAGGGTGAGAGTGTGCACACCTCGTGGAAGTGCAGACCGCAGTACTCTGCCGCCTTCTTGCCTGCATGGCCGTCAAAGACCGCAAAGTATCCCTGACCCCTCAACCCGGCAAAGTCATACACGAACGCGTGTGCGCTGCGGGTCGCTCAGCCGTGCCTTTAGCTCCAGAGATTCGCTGTACAAGCTTCTCCAAGCAAGCTTGAGTGACGTGGGACGCACTCTTCGTTCGTCCGCCTGCACTGCTCGTTCTTGTCGTGGCTGACCGCAACCCTGTACGACGTCTGCGCATTGGGCTGAGGGTGCTGATTCAAGTGCTATAACCCAGCATCAAACACTCCTCGTCCCGTCAGCTCGCGAGCGGGAGGCGAGCGGAATGACGACGCACCCCAAAGGTGTCTTCGCTCCTGGCGACTGTCTCCTCGGTTACGCGTGCGTCGCCTTCGAGGTGTCCGTTGCCGGTCCGTGGCATGCTTTGAGACTGAGCAGAAGCCATCCTGACCTGGAGAGAGAGATGGCGAGATTGGCGACGAGGTCGGGATGCGGTGACGGAGGTGGGAAACAAGCGAGATCGAGTGGTGTGGGACGCAAGCCGAGCGAGCGAGCGTACGCCGGCGAACAGCGAGAACAAACGACGACAGCGGCGAGCACTCTAACTAGCGGGGAACGCTGCGGAGAGCGAGCAAGAGCACGACGTCACTCTTTGAACGGGGAAGTTCAAAGCGAGAGGAGGACAGGTTGCAAGCGCGGGCTACAGTGAGGGGGTTCAAGCGACAGACTGACAAAGCGAGGAACAACAAAACGATGTAGAGTGAACTCGACCGGCGAGAAAGGAGAGGAGAAACGAAAGGAGGCGAACTCGGGCTCAGGAGGACAAGTCCTCGAAGAGCGTGCGGGCCTTGTTCTTGCGGCGGCGGTCGAGGCGGTACGAAGGCGACGTCGACACCGCATTGCTGGCGCTGGCGACGGATGAACCCCAGGTGGACGAGCTACCTTCCTTGACGGCGCGGACAGCATACCCTCCCAAGTCGGCCGACGGCAGCGAGCGACTCGGTCCGTACCTGCCGTTGCCGTGCGAGAACGACGAGAAGAGCGACGAGAGCAGCGTGACCTGCACGTCAATGAAGACGAGCGCCGGGCCCGCGACGATTACGGCCGTGTTCTGGATGATCGTGTTCGAAGCGAGAGGCTGGCTCGTGCTCGTCAGGTAGACCGAGACGGCTGCGAGACTGAATCAGCGAATGCGTGGCTGAAAGAGCGAGAGCGAAGGGACGCACGACCGCTGATGCCGGACGGAACGATGCAGCTGTGAGCGGGGAAGACGAGCGCGACGGGGGCGCCGCCGATGATCATCTGGCAGAACAGGACCTGCGGCACGAGCGCGCGGGTGTGAGCGAGACTTGCGTGCAACGAACGGAGAGAGCGAGACGAACCTGGACGTCGATTTGGACAATCGTGATGAACTCGATGCGCGAGCCGACGAGGAAAGCGCTGAGGCCCGAGCCGCCGTCGAAGACAGAAAGAGGCTGGTTGGCTGCGGTGGAAGCCGTCAGCGAGGAGCGGGAGGCGAGTACCGAGCAAGCATACCGGTCAAGCCGCTGCGAAGTAGAAGGAAGGTCAGTTCGCTCAACGACGGACGAGACGCCCGACGCACAAGTCGCTAGCCTGGCAACCCTGCAGGAAGCCACCAACGAGTGCGAGCACCTGAGCCGGCGAGAACGCAAGGTCGAACGACTGCGCCTCGAAGGTTCCGCCCGAGAGGAGGTTGAGGAACGACTGGTGGCGCGCTTCGACGGTGAGGATCGAGCCGGCGGCCGTGAGGAGCGACGGGTCCGAGACGAGGTGGGCCTGCGGAGGAGCGGGCGAGGTTAGCGGTAGTGAATCAAGGTTAGGAAGGTCAGCGCGACTCACAGCTCCGAGGTAGGCGCCTTGTCCGACCGCTTCGACAGCCCTTGCGACGGCAAGGAACTCGAGGGGCTGTCCAGAAAAGGGCGCGGTGAGCGAAGTGCGCTAAGGAGTCAGGCGGAAGACGCACGTCGCTGAGGGCCTTGCCAAAGTTGAAGCTGCAACCCTGGAATGGCTGCGCGCCGAGGGCGATGATGGCGCTTTCGAGGGCCTTGACTGCAATTGCCCGGCACCGAGAATCAGCGCCAATCTCTTGAAGGAGTTCAGGAAATGCGGGAGGAACGACCACGCACGGTGAGCCTGCTCATCTCGGAGGAACGACCCAATTTGCTCGATACTGCGTAAGGAGCATCACGTCAGTACTGCGCAGGAGTGGTAGGGTGAACGAGACTCACATGATGACCACGACGACCTGCGAGAGACCGACATCGACGAAGTCGCTCGTCGAGAAGGTCGACAAGGCGCGCGAGTACAGGGTCGACTCGAGCGACTGCGAGTAGAGTGGACGCCATTAGAACGTAAGCAATCGCGAGCGAGGCGGCGAACGCACCTCGAGGACGTAAGCGAGCTGGAGGACAGTCAAGTCGCTGCTCGAGCTGACCCCGCCGCCGACGCTTGACCCGCCTCCTCCGCCGGCGCAGCTCGACTCGCCGCCAGATCCCTGAGCGTACGTCGAGGCCGAGCCAGTCGGTCCGACGAGACCAGCCGAGTCGGTCGCGGTCGAAGGTGGGTAGGACGCGTTCGAGTCGACGGCGGCACTGGTCGGGCTGGCCGTCGCGTTGCTCGCGTCTGTCGCGGACTGGCCACTAGATTCGGTGGGAGAGACGCTCGCGCTCGCCGTAGCTGCGGCGGAGTCGAGCGAGACAGACGCCACCGTCGACGTCGAGTTGTCTTGGCGGCGACGAAGCGCGAGGCGGAAGCCCGAGTCGCGCGCGACGGGGTGGTCAGCGAGCGCGACACCCGACAAGGCAGGCAAGAGAGCGAGCGAGGCAACGAGGCAGCGAGAGAGGCGAGCCATGGTCGAAGAGGAGGGCCCGAGCCAGCGGTCGTCGAAAGGGAGCTGCGAGCGCGTGTGGAGCGTGTCAGTGTGGCTGAGAGTGGTCAGTGCGTGACTCTGTACGCACTGGAAGTGTGTGCGAGGAGAGCGAGGGGTGAGCGAGTGAAGAGAAGGAGGGAAAGAGAGGCGAGCGAGTCCGTTGGCGCTTGGGTCGCGCGGGAGCCGGGTCGAAAACTGTCTCGCGGGAGAACGAGAATGTCGTACGAGAGGCTGAAACACCGCAATACGCAGGGCTTGGCGGAGCAGGGCGGACAGGGGAGGCGGGAAGAAAGGAGAGACGATGAGGAGGAGGAGCTACTCGAGAGGATTGCGATGCCAGGGAGTGCGCGAGCTATACAACAAGGTATTCTATGCACAGTCTGTTCGACGACTCTACGCCGCCCCAGCGCACACGGGCGCCCTGTCACCACTCCACACCCAGCTCCCAAGCACGACGACGAACAGCACCTGCGCCGTGATCCAGCTCACGATAAAGTACCTGTAGCTCTGCCCCGTCTTGAGGCCGCGCAGCTCGACAATCATCGTCGAGATCGTGCTCAAGCACCCGCAGAACCCGTCCTGCACGCCTCCCAACGCCGCGCAGCCGAGAGGCGAACGGGGATGCCGCGCGAGGAGTGCCATGATGGCGAAGACGAGGCTCGAAATAGAGTTGCAGGCGAAGGTGCCGTAGGGGAACTTGGGGTTGAGGCGGTTCAGCTGCCGCGAGATGTGGTATCGTAGGACGGCACCGGGCGGGGCAAGGACGATGGCGAAAGTGGCGCGCGGGCGGTAGTAGTCGGGACCGAAGATGAGGAGGAAGAGGGCGCCGAGCCAGAAGAGCGGGCCGATGAGCATAGTCGTCACGTTGAAGGCGAGTTGTCCGGGGAGCTGGTGCGGCGTCTTGCGGAACGAAGGGACAAACGCGCCGAGGTGGACGCCGACCTGGAAGGCACCGAGAGATGCGACGAGCGTGATGACCGTTATAGACATGCCGGACATGAACTGGGAGCGACCTCCGTCAGCGGGACGAGGGAGAAGATGAAGAGCTGGACTCACAGCCGTGAAGCGACTCGTGCCGGCTGGCTCCTTTAGGTTGGCAAAGGCGCTGAAGATCTCGCTCGACAAGGTCGACCAGGTTGTGAGGGACCCGCAGAACCCCGTGCCCAACATGACGAAGAGGGGAGGAGAGCTGGCGGTCGAAGGAGTCAACAGGGCATTTCTCCTGAGATCATCCGTGCCCACTCACATCTTCTCTATGTCGTCCTTCTTCCGTATAGCGAATCCCATCACCAGGCATCCTGTCATTTGCGCCCAAACGAGGGGAAAGACGGTGCTCGACGAGAACTTGCCGATCCAAATCGTCCCAAGCCTGGCCAGGACGCCCCATATCGCCGCAAAGATGAGCAAGGAGTGAACGGAGACCTTCGGACGAGAAGGCTTGAAGTACGCCGGGACTTCGCTTGGCGGGATCTGTTTGGGTCGAGGAGGAAGAGATGCGGTCCCCGTCTCGAGCGGCGGTTCCTCCGTCGCTGGCCGTGGCTCTACAGACGGCGTAATGTCCCGACTGCGCTTTTCGTCCCGCCCTCGCTGCTCATGACGTCCCTCTTCGAGGTCCCGGGTGTTGCGGCGGCGGCGGTCGTCGAGCGTCGCCTCGTCGCTGCTGGGCTCATCGTGAGCCATCCGACAGTCGCCTGTAGAGCAGCTCTAGCGGTCCAGTTAATGATAGCGCTGCAGCGAGCTGGGGTGGACGAGGACAACCTCTCACCGAACTTCCTCTCCGCAAGACACAACCTTCGGCTCCAGCCAAGGCTCGCTTTTCCTGCGCTGCATGACGTGGGATTTACGCGCTCAGGTCTTGCAGACGCTTGATCGGCTTCGAACGAACCCCGCATCTGCCGCCGTCGCGCTTCTCGCCGTGTTGATCTCGCTCGGACTGATGAGGCTTTTCTCGCGGGCGCAGCGCTTCGAGGTGGCAGGGAAGGTGCGTGCAGCCAATGCATGATCCTCAGTCATCCGTGCGCGCCGCTCACCCGCCCTCTTGTCGCCCACAGCATTGCTACATTGGCGGAGGATCCGAAGGACTTGGGTTGTCGCTCGCTTGCCAGCTTGCAGACCGCGGGGCGCATGTGACGATCGTGTCGAGGAGTCAGTCGAAGCTGGACAACGCTCTTCAGGAGCTCGAGGTGCGCTTGTCGTGTCGCTCAACTGGCCTACCTCGCCCCGTTGATCCCGGACGGCGCTCTTCCTGCAGACGCATCGCCAGAACCCCTCGCAAGTCTTCCAGGCGCTGTCATGCGACTTGACCGACCCAGCCGCTGCCGCGTCAACCCTCAGGAAAGCCTGCAAAGCCACACTCTCCTCCTCGCCAGACTACCTCTTCGCATGCGCCGGCGGCTGCGTTCCCGGCTATTTCGCCGAGATGTCTGCCGAGCAGCACTGGCAGTGCATGGAGTGGAACTTCAGGACGTGCTTGAACACGGTTCATGAGGGAGTCAAGGCGATGAAGGAGGATGGGAAGAAGGGCGGACGGGTCGTCTTGACGAGCTCGGTGTTGGCGCTCATGAGCTTTGCGGGCTACTCAAGCTACTCTCCAAGCAAGTATGCGATTCGGGGTACGTCTTTCCCCGCGCTTCGAGCGATTCAAACAGCTAAAATACTCCTCTCTCGCAGGTCTCGCCGAAGCACTACGGAACGAGCTACAACTTTACGGCATCTCGGTCCACCTCTTCCTCCCCGCCACCATCTTCTCGCCCGGCTTTGAGAACGAGCAGAGGCTGAAACCGGAGATTACGAAGAAGATTGAGGGACCGGACGAGGGAATGAAGCCGGACGCCGTGGCGAAGGAGCTGATCAAGGGTGCGCATATAGCGTCGACGCACTTCATACCCACGGATGGATTGCTGACGACCCTCCCGCCCGCAGGCGTCGAGCGAGGCGACTTCTACCTCACCTACGAACCAGTCGGCCACATGCTCCGCAACAGCCGCGGTATCACGCCTCGCAACAACGTTCTATTCGATTCTTTCTGGGCTCTCGTCGGTACTGTGAGTCGTCCCCTTGCCCTCGAGACTTCCCGTTGCGAATGCTGACCTCGCTTGCATCCTCGCACAGATTGCGTTCCCCATCTGGCGGCGGATGTCTCCGGATGGCGAGGTTAGTAAGGAGGCGAAGCGGATACGAGGGCAGTAGGCTGTATCCGTTGTGCCGTTCCCGGTGAATCGAAGCTTGGGAGAGGACGCGTCGCCGTCGTCGCTTTGCATGGCTTTGCTCGCTCGGTCGATTTCGTCCTCTCATTCGCAAGCTTTCTGCGATACTGTCTACGCTTTTCAGGAGCGCCCGCTCGCAAGTTGTGTGGTCGCCAACTCGCTCGCTCCTGGTTGCCCTCCATCCACTCGCTTCGCTGCACTCGCTCGAGACTGAGACTGCTTCGCAGATGACCGTCAACTACACCGGAGGCGGTCGCAGCACCCACCGTCGCAAGCCAGTCCGGCGGT